ATCCGACTAAACGAAATCCTAATAGAATAAACAAAGATTAATATAGTTAAAGAATAGCCCGTGCTAATAACGCTTAAGGAAGTATAAGCGTTCGTGGGATTTACGAACTATTATCGACGCTTTATACGCGACTTTACGAAAATCGCAGCACTACTCACGGGACTTACTAAGGGAAAAAAAGAATTTAAGTAAGAAACGGAGTAATAAAGGGTATTCGAAGGATTACGAGATACTATATTATTAAATATAGTACTCATAACCTACGACCCCGGAAGATTACTCGAATTAGAAATAGATATATCGGACTACGCCATAAGAGTATAAATCGGTTAACGAGACGATAATAGTAACGTGCGACTAATTATATTCTTCTCGAAGAAACTCCACGGTACGGAACTAAACTACCTTATTTACGATAAGGAATTCCTAGTAATTATCGTAGCTATTAAGGAATTTAAGCACTATATGCTAGGAATAAAGTTTACTACTAAAGTTTATACTAATTACTAAAATATCTCCTATTTCGCGATAATATAAGAACTTAGCGCACGATAAATAAGATATACTAAATTCTTAGCCGATTACGATATTGAAATTATCTATCGGAAAGGTTCGGAAAATAGCAGAGTAGATATACTTAGCCGCCGACTAGACTACGATACCGAAGTACTAAAAGCTAAGGGCTAGATACTTTAATAAAATAATAAAGGAAACTACGTATAAATAGTACTTAACCTTCTTATATTTAGAGCGGAAGTAAACACTATATACTACGATAAAATACTAGAATAAGTATTAAAACATAAAAAAGAAATACTTAACGACTACGCGATAGAAATAGGAAAAGGACCTACTAGGAATAAACTACTCTAGATACTACCGCTACTACGCGATAAAATCTTAATTAATATTTATACGTATCCCACGGTAGGATATTAAGGAGTTAGAAAGACTCTTAAACGAATACGACGAACGTACGATTACTAAGGAATTAAGGTAGACGTCGTATATATCGTCGGATAATATAAAGATTATACGCGTAATAAGGCTACACGGTATAAGCTATATAGAGAATTAAAGCTACTATTAGTGCCTTTAAAGCTATAGGAATCGATAGCCTTCGATCACATTACGAAGCTACCTAAATCTAAGGAACTAGGATCTAATATCGAATACGATAGTATATTCATTATCACGGACCGGATAAGCAAATTTAGATATTTCCTACTATACTAAGAAGCAACGGATATAGAAACACTCGTATATATAATGCTTAAATATATCGTGGCTAACTACGGCCTTCCGGAAGAAATTATTTTAGATCGAGGAACGATATTTACCTCGAAGTTCTAGCAAGTATTAATAGCTTAGCTTAGGACTAAATATAAGCTTAGTATAGCTTACTACCTATAAACGGATAGATAGACAGAAAGATTGAATTAGATATTAGAATAGTACTTACGGTGCTATATTAGCTTTAAGTAAGACGATTGGGTCTCGAAGTTACTACTCGCCTAACTCGCCTATAATAGCGCACCTACGGAATTAACTAAAATCTCACTATTCTACGCGAACTACGGATACGAACCCGAGTTCGGCAATAAAACACTAAGGGATGGACCTCTTGCTAAGAAAGCTATGCTTAAAGTAGATCAATTATACTCACTATATAAACACATAAAGAAATAACTCGAATTCGTATATACACGAATATCGAAGTATTATAATTAAAAAAGATCGAAGGGACCGATCTTTCGGAGGGGAGATATAGTCTACCTACTACGCAAAAATTTTATAATAACTCGACCTTCACCGAAGCTCGACTATAAAAAACTTAGATTATTCAAGATCGACGAGATTATCTTAGGCACTAACTATAAACTCTTATTACCCTTAAGTATAAGGATATACCTAGTCTTTTATATATTATTACTCGAAAAAGCACCACGAAACGCAAAAACTAAGTACGAACTAGAAGTTCTCGAGGAACTCTACGAACTAGAACGGATACTCGATAAACGAATAATTAATAGAGAAATTAAATACCTTATTAAATAAAAAGGCTATGCGAGTAACGAAAATATATAAGAACCCGCTAAATACCTCACGAACTACGGCCACCTATTGCGATAGTTCTATCGGGCCTAGCTAAACCGAAATCCACTAGAATCGACGGATCTAACGGTATATCCTCGTATATAGTATCCCATATCTATATAAAGTTAGGCTCTAAAAAGTTCTTAGTAGAGGAACGACTAGCGGAGGAGCCCGATATTTCTAACCGCCTCTGCTCGCGCTTAGCCTCCTCGCGCTCTATACGTTCTAGCTCCTCTACGCTATTAATACCACAAGACACGGCTCTTATTATCTTCTCGAACTATAGTTTCTTTTATTTTCGAAGATAGAGGACCTTTTCCTCCGCCCGCTCGAGCTCGGTCTCGAGTTTTTAGTATTATTCGGCGATCTTACGAAGCTACGAGGTAGAGACCCTACTAACGTCGTAGGCCGAGCGGTTTAAACGAACGCACTCGGCGTAACGAGAGGAATTATTAGCTAAAACCTAACAGGTCTTAAGACCACGGCGCTCGTAGTTAGAGCAAGTAGGTATATCGACGGAATACGTAAAGATAGTTTTAAGAAGACGGATCTTACGCTCCTTAGCATTAGAGGACGATTTCTACGCACGCTTAGCGACACGGCCGGATATAGTAAGAAGATTAAATAAGGAAGAGGAAAACTCACTAGAACTAATAAGATTAGGGAAGGGCGCGTAATATATAATCTTAGGGATAAGATCTCGGAAGGAGGGGCATTATATTACGACCTAGTATACGGCCTTCACGTGCTTCTAGGCACACCCTACTTTTTCTACCCACTTACAGTATAATCATTACTTATACGAATAATCGCGCCCGCGATTATTGCGATTATCACGGATCACTACGAATAAGCAGAACAAATCATTATCGGGAATAATAATCACCTTAGTATATAGGGAGCTACGCTTCACTATAGTCAGTCTCTACCTAGCTCCTTAGCTATTAATATAATTATCTACGCAAGATCCACTATCTCGCACATAGACTATAACCCGACCGCTTAAGTCAACGACATCCTAGTATACTCAGTTCAAACCCGACTTCTATTCTATCTACCCGGTAGCTAGTCTAGACCCGAACGTCACACAATTATAACGGTTACGCCTAACCGTTGCGCCATGGGCAAAAGATCAGGCATTGATCGAATGACGAGCGATCAATACAGGCGTAATAGCTGCTTATAGGGGGTTACGAGGGACCAGGTCGTAACATTAGCTCCCCTCCTCCAAGAGGTCGTCCCGACCTCCTAGGCTCTCCACGCACTAGCCTCGCTAGCGCGATCCTAGTAGCTACTGACCCCCAAGGCGTTCCGCAATAGTTATGCCCAAGCTATTCACGCGGAGCCTTATTAGCGGCGGGGCTCGAACAGTGGACCTCGAACAGCAGCCCCCTGCCCGACCGGGCCACCAGCTCTTTTCGATCAAATTGTAACGGTTACGCCTAACCGTTGCGCCATGGGCAAAAGATCAGGCATTGATCGAATAACGAGCGATCAATACAGGCGTAATAGCTGCTTATAGGGGGTTACGAGGGACCAGGTCGTAACAACGGTGAGGTCGCGAGCCGTACTTTATGCGTAGTGGTATGATTGGAGGAAAAAGTGGGGTGCACGTGAGAGGCGCATGCGGTCGCATGCTGGGTCGTAACACTAACCCTTTTTATTTTAACGCCTCTAGTTAGTTCTTAGCTAGGCGTTCTTCGTCGATAGTCCCGAAGGTCGCCTTTAATATTTCTTTAAAGTTATTATAATACGCGAAGATATCTTTCGTCTCTTATTTTCGGTATTAGTAAGTATTAGTTACGAAGTCCCTAAGAGTAGGTTCGAACTATACGAGAGCGGCTCTTAATAAATATCCTACCGCGTAGCGTATTTTATCTTCTTCCGTACGAAGGATAAATAGGAAGTACTATTAGTAGGCTCTAACCTAAGTTAGGAACCCTTAAAGGTCCTTAGTCGTACTATCGAATAGTCCTAATTAGCGTGGCTTTATAATCTCTCCTAGGTCCTTACCGGTAGCCTATCGAATAGTATTATTACTCACGCTATTTATCTCGTTTCTTAGCTAGGCGGCCTACTACTATTATAAGGTTATTCCTTCGTAGAAAGAACGGTAGGCTTCGTCGTATTACTACTTATTATAGGCCTATATATCGAGGACTTACCGTAGCTGCCCTTATAACTCTTAGATCTATCCTTTAAGGATCTTCGTATCCTCGTTATCGGACTCGTCCGAGTCTAAGTCTATAGACTAAGCCGTCTAGGAGGGCTCGGCATGCTTAGCCGTGGCCTTACCCTTATCGGCGGGCTTAGGGGTTGCCTTAGAGGATTCGCTAGCTATAGTATCGTATTGCTTAAGTACTTAACACGGTAGTATACTAAATAAGAGCTATTAATATATAACGTTCGGGTTAGACTAACTATAGGGTAGGTAGATCTAAGGTCGGTTTATAAACTAAGTATACTAGGATATTATTAACTTAAGCGGTCGGGTTATAGTCTATATGCGAGATAGTAGATCTTGCGTAGATAATTATATTAATAGCTAAGGAGCTAGTAGAGACTGACTATAGTGAAGCTAGGCTTCCTATATACTAAGGGGATTATTATATAAAGTAAATAATACCCGTGGATTATAAGGCTTATAAGATAAGTGCGATAATCCGGATTATAGTATTTTGTAGATAATCTAAAGTAATTAGTATGAAATAGTAGGGCCTTAGTCGTACGAATAGGATTCGTGCGACCGGTATTCGTGCGAACGATATTCGTGCGAACGATATTCGTACGAATATCGCTTATTCAGGCGGCCGGCATGCCGCTTCATACTTTACTGCATAAAGAATGTGAATGGGTTCGTACGACGAAATTGTGGGGCGCACGTGACATACGTCAGTGGCCGCATATTGGGTCGTAACAGGCGGGTCCGTCGTCGAGATGGACATGACCGAGTCCAAGGACAGCATCACTGCTAAGGTCCAGGCACTGGGCCGCATCGACTATCTCGTCAACAACGCAGGGTACTCTATCCTCGCTCCCTGCGAAGAGATCACGTAAGCTCGACCTTTTTTCTTACCTGTCTCTCGATAATTAATCCCCCCCCCCCTTCTTTTAATCTCGCCTCACCCCTGCCCGCTCTGCGCTAAGCACTAAGGTCCTTGTCTAGGCCTATAACTCAGATCTGGAGGTCGCTAGTGCGCCTTGGCCATCTGAACACTATAGCCTCGTTATAGACACTCCAAGCTGACAAGCCCCACCCCCGAACCAGCGACAAGGATGCCCACCTGCAGCTCAACACCAACTTCGGAGGACGAGTTCAAAAGTTATGCGTTGACGCTAAAGGCGCTAAGTCTGCATGTCGTTTAAATCCAGCTAGCTTTAGTGCAAATCCTACGGCTTATCCTGGCGCCCCTCGATATACTCATTTCCACCCTCTAATTCAATGATCTTCCTGACGTGTCTTAGAACACGCTTAATCCAGCGTTGAATCTCGGCCTAAGGCAGGTCGTTCCATGCCTTCTGCTATCTCGCGATAGCATCAGACCGTGTTTTAGGGGCCCCCTTCTTAGTAATATATCTCTTAATCTATGGCCAGGCCGGTTCGATCATATTAAGGTCCGGCGAGTTACTACACCACTCGAGGCGGCGCATACCTTCGAGATCGTATAATTGTTGTTGTATGTGGTGGGCGTGCGCCGGAGCCTTATCTTCTTGAACCACTGTATCCGGCCTCTCGAGGGCATATTCCTTCGCGAACGGTAATAGCCTTAGCCTAAGAATATGCTTACGATAGCGATACTAATCAATACTACCTTTCCCGCCTCTCGTAAGCTTCCCGGTCGCCTTCGTGAACCGCTAGGTAGGCTTCTTACTAGGTGTCTTCTGCCGTAGATTGAGGCGGCTTATCTTTATCGAGAGCTCCTAGGCTTCCTTCGCGGCAGGCTTAAGGGCCTTATTCATAGCCTTAAGTTCTTCCTTAGCAAGGCGTTTCTTAGTAGTAGTCTCCGGGCACCAATAATAGCAGGGGCCTTTCTTATCGTATGAAAAGCTACCCTAGAACATAAACTCTAAAGAGCCCTTCTAGCGCTCACGGATATAGCTCTTATTCACCTTCTCTTCAGGCGTTCGCTAGAGCCTATAGGCACCACGGCGATATAACAATACCATAGAGGTCTCGTCAGACCATATCACAGACTTCTAGTCCTCGAGGGTCCAATCTTGCCGTGCCAGGCACCAATTAAGGCGTTCTTTCTTCATCCGAGCAGTCAGACCAGGCTTCCTCGTCGGCTTCGTCTTGTGGAAGCCAGCGGCGTGGAGCACACGCCAAACCGTGGTCGCTAAGATCTCGATGCCTAAGAGGCTAAGGTCGCCGGCGATATCAGCAGAACTCTTCTCTCTTCCGTATCGATCGCGGCGTACAATATTCAAGATTAGCTCTTTATTCGAGGATTATTTCGACGGCCGGCTAGATCGAGGTTAGTCGCTAATATCGGTATCTTAAAGCTTTAAAGGGCGTTCGGCTGGGTCGAATCCAGCCTCGCACGCTCTGCCGTAGATACGGTTGATCGTGCTTGGAGTTAGGCCTGTGATAGAGGCAACCTCTTTAGTGGTCATACCGCTAGCCTTTATACCTATAACTATCCCCCTCGTTATAATATTAGTATGCGGTATAATCGCGGTCGGCTTCGTTAAAAAGTTTGATATTCCAAAGTATATATCGATTCATTAGTTAAAGAGGGGTTATGAGAGGGGAATTTTTACACTAAATTTAGTGATAAACTTCCCGGGGGGCTACTTCGGGCTAGACGCCAACTATGGCTAGTTTCTTGGCAACGCATAACTTTTGAACTCGTCCTCCGTTCTTCGGCCCCCTTTACGTGATGCAGGCCGCTCTCCCCGCCATGCGCGACGCCAAATCCGGCTCCATCATCAACGTCTCCAGCGTCGCCGCTAGGGACCCCATGGCCGCCTGCTCCCTCTACGCCGCCTCCAAGGCTGCTCTCGAGGCGGCGTCCGAGTCGCTCGCCAAGGAGGTCGCCCCCCACAACATCCGTGTCCTCATTGTCGAGCCCGGGAACTTCCGCACAAACTTTGTCAGCGCTGTAGGTTTCCACCCCTGGCCCCCATCACCCATGCTTTTGGCCTATCTCTGCCGTCTCTACGTGGGCGAGTCGCTTGGCACATACTAGCTTACAGATTCAACAGCTCTCTGACATGAGCCCCGAGGTGGAATCCGTGCCCAAGCACTACGACGACCCTGTCGGCGTCATCATGCGCAAATTCTTCACGGTCCACGGCAAGCAGATTGGTAATCCCACCGAGGGCGTCTCGCGTATCTTCGAGGCCGCCACCGGTCAGGAAGGTCCTGCTGGTCCCCTGAACGGCAAGGTCCTGCGTCTGGTCCTCGGCTCGGACGCCCTGCGGCGCATCAAGGCGTGGAACGAGAACTGGGCCAAGGAAGTGAGCTTGCAAGAGGACAGTGCCGTGAGCACCGACTTTAAGGAGTAGATAGCGAGACAATCAGCAAAGGCTGTCCCCTATTTTCAGAAGACTTGATTGGGTATGCTGTGAACTGATTTGGCACGCCCTTCTACTCTTTCTGCTCTCGACGTTGAACTGATATAACTCTCTTTCTCAGCACAAGCAAGCTAGATGGCACGCCTCTCATTCCGGCGGAGCAAACTAAATAGTGTAAACCAGTTTCTCTGCACTGAGGACTAAGCCCGCCTGCATCTCCGCTAGCCCCTTCGCTACGCCCTCCAGCCCGCCGCCCATCTTGTTTAGACTCATCCGCGGGGGTTTAATCGCGCCGCTCTCTAGCAGCCGCTGCGTCAGCTCCAAGAACATGCGGTAAAACTCCATCTCTGTCGGGTCCGGCTGCACCGGCACGTCTCCGAGCCAGTAGTAGAACTCGCCCTGCGTGTCGTACCCGCACATAAACTCCTGTCCCGTGACCTTGGGGTTCGTCCGCGCGAGGAGCTCGTAGTCGGCGGGCATGATGGTCCCGTACGTGCCCGGCTCCGCGTCCGACATGGCGGCCGCGCAGATGCCGGCCCCGTCGCCGGTGCAGTCCCACGAGTAGAGGAGCTTGTTGTTGGTGAAGCGCTTGATGTCCTTGCCACAGGTAGGCGAGTTGTAGTCGAACGCGGCGTCCGCGCCCAGGGATTTGACCAGGTCAAAGTTGCGGGTCGAGGAGGTCGTGATCACGGTCAAACCGGACAGCTTGGCGAGCTAGATCCCTGCCATACCCGTAGAGGTACTGCCGCCGTAGATGAGGGCGGGAAACGGCGACTTGGCGGGCGCCGTGGGCAGTGGGAGCTCGAGCTTCTTGTATATGCCTTGGCCCTTTTGCTTTCTTATTAGACATGAAGCTCTCAACAGCGGGAAAAGAAAAAGCCGTTGGTTGCAAACTTACGACAGTCATGTGGGCGACACCGAGTGAAGGTGCTTCTTCAAAGCTCATGTTATCGGGAACCTTCATCTGGACACAAGCTTTCGCAATGGCGAGTTCAGCAAAGGCGCCATATTCATGATTCGCGCGGTTCCTACATGTTCGTCAGCCTCTTGTGGGCAATCACAGAGTTGATGGCCAAGGAAGAAAACAGCAAAGGGTTACACTCACGAGCCATGGATCCAGCCAGTGATCCGATCACCAGGCTGGAAGTTGGTGACATTTGCCCCGACCTCCTCCACGACGCCCGCATAGTCGCAGCCTACTCTGCACCTAACATCGGCGGCGGCCCAAGCAACGTGCTTCCAGTCCGTGGGATTGATGGCGACGGCTTTGACTCGCGCGAGCAACCATCCGTTGCGCACCTTGGGCTGGAGGACGTCGCGAACGGCGGCTTTGACAGTGAGTTCCACCACGACAACGGCTTTTGTGGTCTTGGGGCCGTTCGTCTTCACAATATTGCCTAATGATTATGCTTTTGTTCTTTTTTTCTCTCTCTCTTGAAGGTCAAAGTCTTCTCAGTTGAAACAGGCGAAGAATCAGTTGGGCTTCTCGCAAAGTACTTGGACTGTGCCCGTGGCCAGCACGAGGCTAATGCGGTTCTCCCCGGAGCCGCGTACATGACCATTGCAATTGAAGCTGCTACTCAACTTCATAATAAAGCAGATGATACGGCTCCGATCAAAGCATTCAAGCTTCGCCAGATTGCCATCAACTCATCTTTGCGCGTTGAAGACACTGAGCTTGGTGTGAAAACATTCCTCAACATGGAGAGGCTACTACTGAACAACGCTGCTATCATGTCACAGTGGTACAAGTTCAGCATTGGCTTCATTCTACCCAATAATGATGTGTGGATGCAACACTGTACCGGAATGATCGCCGTTGGTCACTGAAAACGCGGACGTTGATCCATCCAATAAGCTGGAGATCGACCACCGAGCCAAGTCTCTGGATATCTCCCGATGGTACGAACGGTTCTAGACTGCCGGCCTTGGCTACGGACCTGCATTCCAGGGATTGTCCGATCTCAAAGCGTACCGCGGTGCCAATGTTGCGTCAGCCAACGTATCCCTTCATCCTACTGCTTCGTTCGAGAATGAATCGCAGTATGCGATTCACCCTGCCACCCTCGATACTTGCATTCAATTGGCGCTCATCTCTTGCCACGCGGGACAAGTCGAGAATTGCAGAAAGGCCTTTGTTCCCATCTTTGCAGCCAACATGACGGTCTGTGTCCCTGAACAACCCGCAGTCCACGCATTGGGCGTGGCGGAAGGGAATATCCTCGGCCTCCGCAGTGCTTACACCAAAGTTCAGCTCTATAATTCAGGCGGGTCGCTACTCCTTGATGTGGGAGACCTGAAGTGTGTTGCGTATGAAGGAATCGAGGACTCAAGTGCTACAGTGTCAGCCCGTCAGCCGTACTGGCGACCAGTGCTACGACCTGACCTTGGCACTCTGAGTGCGTCCATGGCACAGACCCTGTTCCCTCCCAGAGAGGACTGGTCTAACCACGCTACTACCATAGAAGCTCCACAAACATTGGCTGTCCACGTACTCGTGAGTCTGCAGGGCCAGCTACAACAAGTGACACATTCTGACTCCGCTGGCCAAAACCATGATCAATTCATCGATCGGGTCAAGAAATGGACGTCTTCCAAGGAGTATGAAGCTATCCCGAACTTCAGAAAGGAAGACTGTGAAGGCGAAATTCAAAGGCTGGCCAAAGATCTGAGCCATGTTCCAGAGGCGCGATGCCTTGTGGCCCTGCACCGATGTATCCTCACTGTAAGTTTCGTCCTTCAACCCGCCAGAGGTGGCATTGCGTAGTTAACTCCCCCAGTTTAGAGCTAGCAGTCGAGTCTGCCTGGGAAAAAACATTAGCATTATAGAGATGGGCAAGCTTGTGCCACAGATCCTTAGGTACTTCGATCTTTCTTGGGCTTCTGATGCATCTTCTTGGGAGGTGAAGACATACTTCTTCGCGAAACAACACGGCATTAAGGTTCGAATGCGACTACGACAAAAGTCGAGTCGAGAGCAGGCGAGGCCGCGAGATATTTATATCGATAACTTTTCTATTTAGTAATTTAACTAGTTCGACCATAAAGTAAATACTGCTTCGTCGTGGACATTTATTAGCGTAGTAGTTATAAGTATATTCCTCTTTAGTATAGCCTTCCTATGCGCAGTCTTATTTAGTATAGTCTTCTCTAATATAGTCCTTAGCTTAGTTATCTTCTACGTGCGAAACACCTCTATTAAAGACCGACAGAGCTTCTGAATTCATTGCGAATACTAACATCCTGCTCGAAACATCCCATGAAAGAGCTTGTGACAGTCATAGCGTTTGTCTCCTGCACGCCACGCATTGCCATACAAAGGTGAGAAGCGGCTATCACGACAGCAACCCCTTGCGGCTTGACAATATCCATTATGGCATCAGCGATCTGTTTCGTTAGACGCCCTTGAACCTGCAGCCTTCGAAAGAATAACTCCGCAATCCGCGCGAGCTTGGAGAGACCGATCACGACTCCAGAGGAGACATAGCCGATGTGAATCTAGTATGCGGTGAGAATGAGATTGGCACGTGCCAACATAAGTTGTACTTACCTTCCCAGTAAAGGGTAGCAGGTGGTGTTCACACAAGCTATACACCTGAATGTCTCTGACAACAACCATCCCACTGTATTCTTCCATCAATAGAGCGTTGTTCATAATTCCGTGCGGGTCGACGTGGTAGCCCCTGGTGCAGGACAGCAATGCTTCTGCGTATCGCTGAGGTGTTTTTCTCAAACCTTCGCGGCTCGGGTCTTCTCCGAGGCATTCAATCAAAGTCTTCACCGCACGGCTCATCTTCTCCAACCGAGTTCCACCCGAAACGGGCTCTTCAGCCTGGGGGATGTAATTCCCAAGTCGCTGCACTTCTCCGTTGGTGTTTGCAGCCATGCTGGATGAAATATCCTCGAGGGATCCAGCGCGCTCCCCAAGCCTGTTTTGGCTGCCTGCGGGAGCGGATGCGAGTGTCGAGTCCTCAATAGCGTTGCACGTGGTACTCAACCCGGCGACATCGAGCTCTCTCGTCAGGGGACATGCCATTATGAGTTTTAGAGAACTGAGGAAGGATATAGGATATTGGGAGAGTATTGAAAGAGATAAGGGAGGGGTTGCTTTGCGACTGGATGTGGCATGGCCTGATTTACAACGGTTCCTGCGAGGAATCAAGCTTCGGCGAAAGATCAACGGGAGTTATAACAGCAGTGAATTTTGTGTAGAACGAGTGAAAGTATTTTCGTATGTCCAGGGGTGTTTTATTTGCTACATGTAGGCTGCCTACCGAGGACGTGTATCTGCATGCGAGCTGCGTGCTACTTTGTTCGCTATCGGTAAAGAGGTCTATAACAGTTCCTGGCTATGTATCACCCCGTACATGTAGTATCGTACTACAGGCTAAGCGACGATTGGTTTCACCGTGACCCATTGCGCGAATAGCTGAAAGCAGAATCTCGCTAACCTTGATGTTCACAGGCATGGCACGGCTACGCTCGTGTCTCACAGCATTTCGGTGCGCCGAGGGCACTAATCTACGTGTTTGAAAAGAACGCACAGCATATACTGCAGGAAATGTGAACACAAATCGCCCCCTCTATCATTAGACTTGTCTCAATGTACATGGGAGGCTTGTTTCAAATAGCGAGCGCTTCCATTTTCAATGCTGACGCGATATCGTTTTTAAGAGCAGCGATTCATTATTTGCCTGTGCGCATTCGCAAAACGTCGCAGTGCTTCCTACACATTGTCTTTCCGTGCAGAAGTCCTTCAACGGCGGAAGTCATACCCACCTCCTTCAAACCGCCATGGCTACTCTCTACGATCTAAAGAAGGCTCTTGAGCGCAGCATCGACACCGCGAGCCAGGAGAAGACTGCCGTCTCATCTGGAACACGGCTCCTGTCAACTTCCGAGTACAGTGATGGCTTCCAGGCCCTGCGCGAAGCCTCGGAGCAGTCAAACTACCGCAGCTTTATCCTGCCTCAGCTGGAGTCGCTTTTGACACCTCTTGTCCGGTCCCACGGCCAGATCAGCGTCCTTGAGATCGGACCTGGACCCAAGAGCGTACTCCGATATCTATCTAATAGTCTCAGGAGTAGCATCCGGAAATATGATGCTTATGAGCCTCATGGCCAGCATGCTACAGACCTTCAGATGTGGCTTTGCCCTATTCTGGACACCCGGCCCCTACTGCCATGTTTGGAGACGCCTCCTATCATACATCGCAAACCTTTCACTGCCGACATCAACGCGAATATCAGTGCCGGTACAGCGAGGTACGACGTGATCCTCTTCTGCCACAGTATGTACGGGATGAGTCCTAAGCGCGAGTTCCTCGCCGGGGCTCTCGGCATGCTCGACAGGTGGCCTCGGAGTGGACTGGCGATTGTTTTCCATCGAGAGGAAACTTTGCGACTCAACGGTCTGCCATGCCACAAGACAGCCGTTCATCCATCCGGGACTATTTGCGTGAAAGATGACAATGAGACGTTGGATCGCTTCGCGCCCTTCGTCGCCGGGTTTGCTATGCGAGACTCAGGGGTACACAAGCTCATCCTGGACGAGTGGCGCGACCAATGCCGCGTCTTGGGCCGTCGCGACACGGCCTGCCGAGGTTATCTCCTGTTTAGCTCCCCCAATATCATGGTTTCCTTTGCTAGTGAGGCGACTGGATTGGCGCACCTTACCTTGAACCTCCCATCTGCATTGAGAGTGGACGAGCCCAGAGTCAAAAACCGCCAGGCTCGCCTTCACAGTCCAGCGGCTATCGTGAGGCCGACAGAAATTCTACATGTCCAGCACTGTCTTCATTGGGCAGCCCAACATGGTACAGGTCTGACAGTCGTGGGAGGCAGTCACAGTGGTCAGTGCATCTGGCCCAACGTCGTGGCCGTTGACATGAGCGCCTTTAACAAGATCCTCGTGATTCCGAATGAGAACGGACCAGGCACGGATGCCAGTGGCCTGGTGGTTGCTGAGGCAGGATGTACGTCGGGGGATATCATCCGTGAAACAATAGCGGCAGGTTTGACGGTGCCTCTCGGGGCACGTCCAAGTGTCGGAGCAGGCCTGTGGTTACAAGGCGGCATTGGCCATCTTTCCAGACTGCACGGTCTCTCGTGCGACAAAATTATTGGCGTCGTCATGGTCAGCGCCTCATCTGGGCGCGTCCTCTGCGTCGGGCATGTGCCTAACAACCACCTTCCTGACCATGCCGAGGTTCCGGACAACGCAGACGACTTGTTATGGGCACTCAAAGGCGCAGGGACCAATTTTGGCGTTGTCATTAGTGTTGTTTTCAAGGCTTACGCAGCCCCAATGTATTCGATTCGGCACTGGGTTCTCCCACTGAGCTGTACTCTAGAAGCGAGACGCGGACTTCAAGATTACCACAAACTCGTCTCCGCTATCACGGACCCGCATACGTCTGTAGACGCCTATTTATTCTTTGAGGACAAGAAGCTTCGGCTAGGTGTGACCATGATCGAAGCTTCAACAAGCGATGACGCCGGCATCGGCGATAAGATCTCACCCACAGCCACACCTCCGTCCGCCACTCGAGTGCTCGGGCCCGAACATGAGTCCAAGTTTGTTGACAATGTCGGCCTGTTTGATACGGAAATGTACATGTCGGGTATGCATGGGGGACATGCTGGCGGCAAAACGTCCTCCTTCAAGCGTTGCCTATTCTTCAAAACTGTTATGGCGACCCACGTCGCGGACAAGCTGTTGGCAGCAATCGAATCCCGCCCATCGCCCCTTTGTTATTTCCATCTCTTGCAAGGTGGCGGAGCAATTGGTGAGATGGCATCTGATGCAACGGCCTTCGGCTGTCGAGACTGGGACCTTGCCTGTGTCGTTACAGGCGTCTGGAGCCGAGACCAAGACGGCACTGGAGCATCTCAAGCCGCCATACAATGGGTATACAAGGTTGCTCACGATTTGCTGCGTCTGAGCCATGGCGCATATGGCGCGGACCTTGGACCATACCCCAGAGACGCTGCACTGGCGGTAAAGGCATTTGGTTCCAACGTAACGAGACTTGTCGGTCTGAAAAAGGCCTTGGATCCCCACAACATACTCGCCTACGCTTGTCCACTCGTCAATGCTCCTAGCCATCCAGCCCTCGTCATTATCGTTACGGGTGATAGCGGCGCTGGCAAGGACTATTGCGCCGCCATCTGGGCTTCGAGCTTTGTCTGCGAGACAAGATTCACAGCGCGTGACGTTAGCATCAGCCACGCAACCAAGAGAGAATTCGCGGCCGCGACTGGAGCCGACCTCGATCGTCTTCTCGAAGACCGCGCTTATAAAGAGAAGCATCGTGATGCGCTGACGGCGTTCTTCCAGGGTCAGGTGAATGAACGACCAGGCCTGCGAGAACAACATTTTTTGGATGTGGTGAACGACGCCATGAGCACTGATGTCCTGCTCATTACTGGCATGAGAGACAAAACGCCCGTGGCAGCATTTTCGCATTTGGTCCCAACCAGCAAAGTGGACGAGGTTCGCGTTCAAGCTAGCAAAGACGTGCGTCGGGATCGTGGAGGCTGCTTGGAGGATGTTGACAGGGACGATAAGGCGAACCACAGCATGCTTCACAAGCCCGATTTTGTCTTCCACAATGACTTGAAAGGAGGAGAGGCGGCCAAAGAGTTTGCCAGAGACCATCTGCTTCGGCTGTGGAGCGAGGACCTGCAGCGACTCGGGAGTTTGGTGCGGACAACCAGCGACTTTCCACGCATGGGCGTAGAATTCCGCCACGTTCTCGGCATAACACAACAACCTCATGGGCTGCATCTCTGCGCTTCCTTACTCAAGTCCCACTTCCAAGGTCAATGGCGCCGCGTAGATGCAATTGTGTGTTGTGGAGCGGGTGAAATCTACGCCTCAGCATTGGCCTTTTCCGCACAGAAACCCCTGGCTCTAATCCGCGAAGCTGGCAAACTCCCCCCCCCCGACAGTATCCGTCGCCAAGGTCTCGTCGCATATTTCGTCTTCCTCATCAGAGGAATTAGCAAAAAGCAGGATTCAGATAGGCGCAGACGTGATTCCTCAAGGTGCGCGTGTCCTTGTGGTCGATGACGTGCTTGCAACAGGTCGAACATTGTGTGCCATATTGCAGCTTCTGCGCGAGGCTGGTGTCAGCGCTGGCAATATCGACGCTATGGTAGTAGCAGAGTTTCCGATCCATCGTGGACGGCACCTATTGCTCTCTTTTGGCTTTGGCGATGTGCAGATCCGGAGTCTTGTGGTCCTCGGAGGTGCCTGAAGTTGATAAGAAGGAGCCCCAGGGTAGTTTGAGCGATATTAGTATCCGTGAGCGTCTAGCCACAGTCTTGCAACGGACCCATAAGTTCCGTATACGAATTACGTGTGCGTGTAGACTTGTTGGCAGGGCGCGACAAACCAATTAAGCGCGCGTCCATGCGGAGCCAACCACGTTGCCAGGGCAACAGGTCCTAACTATCCAGGCCCGCCAATTCGTCCCGAGCTAGTCTACCCTTTCTTCAACGTACGGCCCCGACATGTTCAATTGGCAATCTTCTCGCCAACCACCTAATGGCTCTGTTCTATTAAGCGCACAGAATGTACTCGACAAAGGCCGACGTCGCACACTGGCTTTTATCTATCACCGACTTAAAGCACGATCCTCTTCCCCTCCCGACCGAGTCCGGCCTAGTTAACTACGAAAGTCGGCAGCGTAAGCGACGGAAGCTCGACACTCATCGACACGAGCTTCTATCGCCACCGCCTTCGGAACTCTCAAGGACCGTGGCCGACATGTCTCAATCCTCCTCTAAGAGACCACGAGATCCCGAGGACCCTATTAACAATACTCACGATACTTTTTCTAATACGCAATCGAACGAAGCATATAATCAAACCACTCCACGCCCCAGCCGCTTCCAACAAAATCAAACTATAGAACCTATTCTAGTCTCGGCTGGTTCCAGCTATAGCAGCCAGTCGTAGATATCGAGCGCTTCGAGCCAGTCAGCACCTATGTTAAAGCGTCCAAAATCGGTGTCAAGCCGATCATCTCCCTCGCGACAAATCCGCAATACCGAAATAAATCAAATAGGATTTAGGATAGGGAGCTTTCTATAAGATACTTACCCCGAATCTCTCTATAATTTACGGCTCGAGCTCCGCGACATCGGGCTAGGGCATAGAGTTCTACTAGCTTTACTCGAGAATAAGGTATATCCTAGTGCTATATAGTTAATTTCTATGCTAACCTTAGCATTCACTTTCTCTAACACGAACAATAAAGATACGATAGGCCGATTCCGAAATACCGCGATCCGCATTCGACCGAGATAATACTACACGAGCGTAGATAGAAGCTATCGCGACTAACTTACCGCCAATCGACTAGGTATAAGCATTAATAAAGCGCGCTAACGAATACAAGCTCAACCGCGAATACGAGGCTTCGTGGAATAGAGAGATCCACGCCCTAATCCTCGAGCAGGCCTTCCGAATTAATCGTTTTATGCGCAATAGACTAGTCGACTTCCGGTATTCTCAAGCTACGTAGATTATCTATGCCTATAAACCTCGAGAAATACTATCTAAGATAGTAGACTTTTATATCTTTTATAGACCTAAAACGGGAAGCGCAGAAGAATAAGCTATTAACGATATATACCAATCACGGCCGGCTCAATCGATTAATCACACCGACCTAGGGGACCTCTACAAACGACCGATCGCGCTCTCCATCGAGACTAAGCGTCCTAATATAGAACGCGACAATATAATATTACAAATAGGAACCTAGCATTCTACGCAATAGCGCAGCCTTCGACACAATCGCAGCGGATTATCATAATCGATCGAGTTCCTCCCGGGCATTCTCGTCCAGGGACACGACTAGCATTTCGTTACGAGTATCTCGGACGAGAGCGGCAAGTCGGTGCTATTAAGGGGTGTAAAGCTCGGCGGGACGGAGTCAGAACTAGCGATTTATTCCTTAATCTTAGGGTTACGACGGCTAAGACGGTGGATTTTAGAGGAGTACTGGCCGATGTTTGTGTCGGATGTGTTACCTAACCCTCTATAGTGAAAAGGTAGTATTCCGCGCCTCTACTCTACTTGATAATATTATCGCCCATCCGCTGTAGCTGCTCAGTAATCTCTCCAGGGTTCTTGTCGCCCACTTGCCGCTGCAGCATGTTGGTCCAGTCTAGGATAAAGTTCCGTATGTAGTTGAGTGGAAACGGGACGTGATGGAAGAGCTGGCCCACGTAATATGCGGACTGCACCATTTGCGTTGTATGTTCCAGCTGGTATCCTTCATATCGCTCAAGCGCCGCACGCACGGCATTTGTGTCGGCAAGGTTGACGTTGTAGAGGCTCTGCGCAATGAAATAGCCGTCTGAGATGGACATGCCCGCACCGTACGCAGCATACGGTGAGGTCGCATGAGCTGCATCCCCGGCCAGACTGATGCGTCCCTTGGACCACTTCTTGAGAGGCACTCGGTCACGAATTGGCCACATGACAACATCGTCAGCTGCCGTGCTGCGGACAAGCTCACTGAGCGGGCCAGAGAACCTCTTGGAAAGCATCTGGGCGCGGTCTTTCAAGCTGCTCTCGACAGGTTTGCTATCAGGCCATGCCTCGACGAACCACCACTGCAGTCCCTTGCGGCCCTGGCTCATCAAGGGGCCATATGTTCCCTGGACCTGTGCGTCGTGGGTGAGGACGCATTCGCCAGGGATGACACCGTCGGCGATGTCGAAAGTGAAGCCGCCGATGACATGGAGGTCGTGGTTTCGTCGCGGACTTGGGCCCCAGAGGTGAGCACGGACAAATGAGTCGATTCCGTCCGCGCCGATGACGACGGCTGCTTTGATGACACTGCCATCCCCGAGAGTGATGCGGACGCCATCTCCCGTGTCTTCCAAGGACTTGACTGTTTGGTTGAACATCATGACGCCCTCTGGGATTGTTGACAACATCCTGTTGTACAGATCCGGCCGCAGGAGGCCGATGAAGCCGCCGTCGTACTTTTCAACAATATCATCCGCCAGCCGCACGGTAGCGCGTACGTGCCCCTTTGTGTTTCGGAAAGTGGTTGGCGAGGAACGAGCACCAAGGTCCTCGGTCTTTACACCCATGCACTTCAGGGCGTGCAGTGCCGTTGGCCACAGGTTGAGGATATTGCCTGCCGGCCGTGCGTATGGGTATCGTTCAAACACTCGAACGTCGATGCCGGCCTTGACACAGCCGAGCGCAACGGCCATGCCAGCAGGCCCTCTGCCAATGACGGCAACGCCGACATTGAATTTGTTTTCTGCGGCCATGGGCTAAACAGAGGATTCAAGACTGGTCTGTGTAGATGCTAATACTGGTTCGACGCTGGATGTGAAGGCTGAAGAGGGTGAATACGTGAGCATTGATGCATTTGACCTCTCGCAACCTCCCGGGGTGCCTCCGCATCCCGAGATACTGATTGCGCCAGACCCATCGACACTCGGCATTTGTGTGCGGTGGGTGATTGACTCGGCAAACAAGAAGCATGGTCAATGGCGGGGAAGATGCCGAGCCGACGCGCGTGCCAGAGTTCTCTCCGCCGCATTGCCGATGGCGTTCGGGGCTGTGAGTTGAACGAGACCGTCTTTTATTCTTCAGCACGCAAAAGCTGCACACAATGAACGAATGCTAGCTATCCCCATGCCGGGGAAGGCCGCGTCTCTGCCACAAGTGAAACAGGTGCCTGTGCAGTGCATGCTGACATGTATACAATTAAGAAATAATAATAACGAATAGCCCTAGAGATGCATTTGCGGGTCATTGCTACGGCCATCTAATTCTGACAGCTGTAGAAAGTTGGCCCAGTTCCACCCGAATTCGTCCATGATCATGGGAGAACATTCATCTGCCCACCATTCTGGATTCCCGAATGAGCTGGCTTGTTCTGCATTGCTCAGATCACCAGTCAAGCTGCCGATCGGCGTCTCTCCATCATTGGCACCGTGGACATGAGTGTTACTCATCTGGGCTGAGGTTTCTTGTGCAAGTGTGGTGGCGTTGACAAGTGCGTCGAGTTTGCTCAGCGCGAAATCAAGCTCCCTCCCTGCCGGACCAGAGGGGCGCGTGTCACAGATGGCCTGCGCTGCCGTTTTAAGAAGCTCGCGATCCATACCAGACATTCTTGAACCAGGTCTGGTCACGGCAAATACGGCTAGGACACCCATTGCGTGGAGTGGACTTGAGAGGCTGGGCAGCGCAGCGCAGCTGGCAAGCTCCGACGATTCGAGGAAGAGGCGCAGGATTATACGCGCCGAGTTGACCGCAATGCTCTGGCCGTTGCGGACAGCGGACTCCCAGGGTTCGTCCTTTGCTATCACGTCCACGGCAAGACGGATCGCCTTTTCGCTGATGAGCAAGCTGTTGCGCGTCACGAGGATCATGCTGTGCCTCCGGATCAGTCACTTGTTAAATATGGACCATGAGGTTCTGACTTACGCAGTGTGATACTGCATCGCAATGAAGGATGTAAAAGGATGCAATCTGCTGTCGAAGAAAAGATCGCTCGTCGGTCTGTATGCAAGGAAATCTTATCAGTTCAGTTCTGGAAAGTCTCTTACATCCGTAGAGACCGCGTACCTGTACCGTGATGGGCACACATCTGACGCCCATTCCATCAGTTTCAGACAAGAGAGGCCAGTCGTCCTGACCTTTTCTCTCACCACCTCGGCCATTGCCTCGTCACTTCTGTCGTCCTCCTTGCGGCTGACCTGGACACACCATCGGCCCACTTCCCCAAGAAGCTTGGCCAAGCTGAGAACAATCTCAAAAACAGGCTGGCTCGCAAGCTGCCGCTGTGCGGCCCCTGTGACGATCGTGTCAGGGATCAGTTCCGGATAGTCGTCTGGAATGAGTGACGGCCTGCCAAGCTCAAAGGAGAGCAATTTCTCAAACGCGAACACGCTCATCCAGGTGCTGCGTCTCTCCTCGCCGGGCGGCAAGCGAGCTGAGTACCTCGGCAAGCCGAGCGCCACACCCATGGACACAGCCAGGCTCATGGTGTGCCCAGCTGCGGCCAGGTTGTCGTGGCATCGCAACGCCATGGAAAGTAACGTGACGGCCCGCAGGGCCTCCAGCGTGCTCTGCTGCAAGATCAGCCCCAGGAGGCTCTCGGAGTATTTAAGACACCCTTGGGCATCAAAGTCGGGCTCGGGGTGCAGCGGCTGCGCAGCATGGCCCAAGACGAGGACCAGGTACATCTGCATCAGTACTGGAAGCCCACTCTGCTGCGCAACCGCGTTGGGTCCGTCTTGAGACGCTGCGTGAGCCGCATGCTTGATTTTCTCCGGCTGGAGTAGCGGCAGCAAGACATTCGGGCCAGCAAGGAACGAGTCGATCAGCGAGAGCAACACACCCTCTTCTGGTATCTCCCAAGTGCCCAGAGACCGCGGTAAGGTCCACTCATTCGGTGATCCCCCCATGTCGTTGGCATGCAATGAGTTCCTGGCTGACCAAGCTCGTGGCCGGGGTCCTGCAGGAGGTATTCGGAGACGATGTCGCGCCAGATCCAGCCAGCTCGTCATGAGCTCCAGAGGCGTGTTCCCCGAGTCGATCTGGATGATGGGCAGCCGGGCACTGTGTTCAGGCCTGTCGTTTTCAGACTGCACGGCTCCGGGCTGACGCGACGTTTCTGCGCCGGGGTCATCGTCTTCCGCCCTCAAAGAACTATAGGAGACCCTCCTGGCTGAGTGTGTCCCGACTGCGCTTGGCTCATCTTCTTGGCGTTGCTGCCTTGACCTCCCCTCGGCTGTGCTTCCCTGGTTCGGCACTCTACCAGCTTCATGTCGGCGGACATCAAGCCAGGGTTGGCGGCGGTTCCTGGTAACGCACTCGATGCCTGCGGCCGAGCAAGCGTGGCACGATGGTTGACCCTCGTCGCAGCGAGTCTTGCGTGAGCGACAATAGTCGCAAGCATAGTTGATGCGACGCCGTTTTCCAGTAGGCGCTGCTTTCTCACCGCCGCCGCCGCCGCCGTTGCTTCGGGCCGAAGGTGATGGGGTGAGCAAGCTAAGGCCAGCCTCGGGAGGAGCTGCTTGGCATGATGACTCTTGCGAAGAGGCCATGGCTATGCCGGGCGGTGGGAGAGAACGGTTGGGAGAAATGAATGCAAGATGCCGGTCCTTCGGGTCGGCAAGGTCTTACTTCAAGGACTCGGGCAGGTCCGGTTTCGGCTTCGAGGGCGCGTCCGCATGCTAGGAGTCGCGAGTCATGACCCACGCCCGCAAAGGCGGGGAAATCCTGGGGCTGAGTTTACGGGGTAAGGGGAATTGGGTACGGTGGCATGACTAATCCCCAGGTTTCTTCCCCGTCCCCCATCGTTTGGCCAAGCTGCGAAATCTACATGTAGATATCCCTGTTGGCCCGCCTCCCCCACGCTCCCCTTGCACTCTTACCACATGGCCCCGGGATGTGGAGTAACGCGTGAATCGTGGTGCCCAGACTTCTGTCGGCTAGCCAGACCAGATGCCGAGCCTTTGATGTCGGTAAGTCGGACCAGCAAACTAAAACTACGACTCAACTCCTCGTCGCCAAACACTAAATTAAAGCCAGTGTCCGCATGCCTGTCCAAGAATCCCTTGCGTTCGCACGACCACGGGGACAGCTTGTGGCGGAATCACCACGACGCCTTCTCGAGCAGTCTCCTTGCTTGTCTTTCAACTATTCCTCTTCCCACCCTTTCTGTCTTTGTTGCGAGAGAAAGCCTGCTGCCGCCACCATGAGTCAGCTTGCCGACCACGAAGACTCCAAATCTCGTGTGGAGATGGTGGAGGCCCTCAGCAATGCGTCCGACGACAAAATCAACACGGGCGATGGGACGATTAATCTTTTCCACGATGGCTCCATGGTTCTCGTCCCAACACCGAGTGCTGATCCCAAGGGTACGTCCGGGCGTTCTTTCAAGTCGTCTACTTTGCTGACTGGACCTTTTGCCTCACTCTCCAGATCCCCTTAACCTGCCCATCTGGCACAAGTCCCTGATCATTTTCCTCGTCGGGGCGTACAGCGCTATCGGCGTGCTCGGGACCTCTGGACTAGGTGCCGTGATGCCCTCCGTCTTCCAGGCCTATCCAAACGACGACCCTGCCCGGGTCACAGATCTCGTCACCTACCCAACACTCTTCATGGGCATCGGCAACCTCGTCTCCATGCCTCTTACCCTGACAATCGGCCGCCGTCCAGTGTTCCTGTTCTCTCTCATCCTCCTCGTCGTCACTGGTATCTGGTGCGCCTTCTCTACCAGTCTCTCCAGTCATATTGCTGGCCGGAACTTTTTCAGCATGGCGGCAGGTCAGAGCGAGGCCCTGGCCCCCTTTATCGTCGAAGAGATTCATTTTCTGCACGAGCGCAGCAGCAAGCTGTCGTGGTTTATCGGGGTCCAGACGGTCGGTACGGCAGCCATGTTTGTCATGACAGCCTACGTCGTGCCCCCCCTAGGCCTGAAGTGGTGGTATCTGATCCTGACCTTCCTCAGCCTCGGTACGCTCATACTCTCCATCTTCTTCGTTGTGGAGACAATGTACGACCGCAACGTGGTGGAGGAAGATGGCCCATCGTCGGAATGCAAGCCTGCGGCCGGCGAGAGGCGCACCCTACGACCAGACATCTTTGGGGAGCGTACCCTGCGCCATGATCTCAAGGTCTTCCATCACAAACCAGTCTGGTCTCGCATGGTCGATTTCTACATTGACACGGCCAAAGGTTTTTTCATCCCCACCATCTTTTGGATCTTGCTCTTCAATGGTGCATTCTTGGGCGTCTACATCTACCAGGCGTCTACATTTGCCACAATTCTCACCATGCCCCCCTACAACTTCGCTTTTGACTTGCTAGGATGGGTCCAGATCTTCCAGATTGCCGTGGTCATGGTGCTCATTCCGGGTCTCGGCTACGGCACAGACCTCATCACCAAGTACTTGAGCAGGAAGCAAGGCGGCGTCTTCAAGCCCGAGTTCCGACTCATCTCTCTCATCATCCCAACGGTCATGACGGTGCTGGGATGCGTCATCTACGGTCAAACGGGCGCCCACCCTACAGAGTACCACTGGATGGGTATCGCCGCCCCATTCCACATGTGCTATCTCGGCTTTCTGACTGGCAATCTGATTGGCATTACGTACGCCATCGATGCATTCCCTGAAAAGGCCGGTGCTCGTCTTATGGTCATCTGTGTCGGTCGAGGCTTCATCTCCTTTGGGCTGAGCTACTCTACCGTCCCAGCAATTGAGGCCACCGGCTACGATGGTGCCATGAACATCCTTGCCGGAATCGTGGGCGGTCTCATGCTCCTTGGTATTCCTATGTACATTCTTGGTCCCCGTATCCGCAAGTGGTCTGTCAAGACGTTGTGGCCAGCTCTTGCTGAGAAGAACTGAGCAAGCCATGTACGTCGTACATGAGAGGTGAACTAAGTGCTCATCCTCCCTGTTATCTGGAATGTCCTCGGAAGCTTTGTTGGATTGGGGGTTCAATCCCCCGAGACAACAATGCTTGGAATGCTTCTACTTTTGAAGGTCGCCGCGTCTTTAGTTTAGTCATGTCAACGGATCAATTTCACTGTCGAAATACTGGCTTGCGTGATTGTGATTTGTGCTTTCATGGTTGACCTGTGGCGTTCAGATTCTCTCAACAACCGGCTGAGGCACTTGGAAGTAACTTCAGACATCATGTCAGACCTCTCTGCATCAATATTAATGGGTTGCCCACGTTAGAAGCCGTTGGAAGTGATCGATCGGACAAAAGGTTCCTGCAGCCCAGCAGCGCTGCCACAGGAGACTTCAACGACCAACAATAATGGGGCTTTAAATGTGGAATCTCAATCTGTCAATATGTTTTATTCAATCTCGAGTCAACTGGCACTATAGAAACGATTGATGGTTCCTCGGAAGCCGAGGTGATGGTAACAAAAATGGGCACCAAAACAGACGCAGTTGGTAAGAGCAGTTCGCCTGCACTAAATAATGCAAGGCGACGCTCAAGAGGACAGGGTTCCAACGTAAGGAATGCCCGTCAATTTAAATCCGCGCTCCGAGAGCTTCACAGGCTGCCTTGGCTTCCCTGTATTGTACGGGCAGGGCTCTCCATTGCGGATAATCGGAAGGCCACCAACATGCATGGCGTTGGGCCAGTGAGTGGTGCTCTGAGTGGTGTAGAATGCGTCCTTCTTGCGAACAAGGTCCTCCTCTGTCGCCTCTGTGACGGGCATGTAGCAGGTGTAGATGCAGAAGCGAGGTCTCTCGCCGGTTGGGCTGAGGTTGTAGTGAGGAGTGCGGCTGTCCCACAAGAGGAGGTCGCCTGGCTCAGCGTTGATCTTGACCCATTCACAGCCTTTCTTCTTGAGCCACTCCATGCCCTCCTTGGTAAAGCCGTACCATTCTTTGGTCCACGCCCAGATCTTGTTCGGCTCGCTCTTGAACTCCTCGTGGAACTCCTCGCTGAGGAGATGGGCGCCCTTGCAGACGATCAAGCCGCCATCGTTGTCACCGTTGGGGAGCAGGTTCACGAGCCCTTGCAAGCAACGGAAACCAGGCTTCGCGGGGTCTTGGTCTTGATGCGGCCAAGGCGTGTTTGGCTTGAGATCTTTGCGGTTGGGGAATGCCATGTTGGAACCGTCAAAGGAGACGATGAGGTCCTTGGTGTCGTACGCCTTCTCAAAGGCCTCAACGACGCCTGGTTCCTGGCGTACTGCCCAAGCAAATGTCTCGTGCGCCACGCCGTAGCCGAGACACATGCCCTTCTCGTTGATGATGGGCATTTTGGACTCGACGACGGTAGAGGGGTCATCGCGCTTGAAACCAAGGCCACCGGCGCTGCGAGATGATAGTCAGCTTGGAAGTCGTGCACAGGGAAGAAGATTGGACTGGACGCTGGGCAAACGCGCGGAAACTCTGAATCAACTTACAAGTTCTCAATCCACGACATCATTTCGTCTGCATAGCCATCGGCACGGTCCCGGGGGACCGCACCCTTGACCACTGTATAACCGTCTCGAATTATGTCATCGCGCCAGTCGCCGTAGACGAGGCCGTCCTGGCGGAACAATCTGCGAGGCCCGGAGGGCTCGGGCTTCACAGCGGTTGTTTCTGCAGCTGGGGTCGTGCTGTGCGCGGCCAGATAGGGAATAGCAGCGGGAGCCTGGGTCGCGGTGGCCATTGCGTGTGTTTTGTTCTGCTGAGCTTGATGATGGTGTAGATAGACGATGGGTGTTGGTTGTCTCGAGTTAAGTCAACTTGGTTATCTTGATGCAGAGCAATGGTTCCCACTGTCCTGGAAGCACCATCTTAAATATTCTACATGAGCCTTGGGCGCGGGCAGAAGGCGACCATGGAGAAAGAATGCTACGTCCATCAGCGGCGACACCTCCGAACCTGGGTCGGCATCTTGATGTTGAGAAATGCCGGCTCGGCTCGGCTCGGGATCTCCGTTCCCGATTCGGCCGGAAAAAGGGCGAGAGTCTTTTGGTCCGTCTACACCGGGTTAGGGAAACACTGTCCCAGCTCCAAAGATGCCTTTGCCGACCCGATGGAGGACGTTTGCGGAGATGATGCCGAAATTCTGAGCTTCAGGCGAGATCAACATTCCCCGATTCAACAACAAAGGAGCTTCCGATGTCGCTCGCTTGATCGAAGATGCTTATATGGTGTCGGCGTCGGCATGTCCTCTTCTGTCGCCCTCGCTTGTCATTCCCATTCAGACAATCACCGTACACCATGCTCGTCAACAAGAACAGAAAACGTGCCGAGTTGGGGGGCCTCGAGGTGCCGCTTGAGCCCATCACCCCATGCACAGTGGGCGAAGCCGGCTACGAGGGACTGAAGTCACGCGCAGAGGTGCTACCAAAAGGCTGGCAGCACCCAAAACACCCCGGCGCCAAGGCTTTGCCATGCGATATTCTCGTTGAGCACGATGTTGCCATCCCGGTGCGAGACGGCATCACCCTCTATGCCGACATTCTTCGGCCGACAGAGTCCAGTTCTGGGGACAATGGCAAAGTCCCCGCCCTGATCTGCTGGTCTCCCTTTGGCAAAAAGTTCAATGGCATCGAGTCACTGCGATACATGACGCCATGGGCACTGGGCGTTCCTACGGACGCGCTCTCTGGCCTGGAGAAATTCGAAGCTCCTGACCCAGCAGACTGGATTCCCCGGGGATATGCTATAGTCAACGTTGACTCTCGAGGCTCCGGAGATAGTGGTGGCACTATGGTCATAATGGGCCAGCAGGAGGCCGAAGATGGCTACGACACTATTGAGCACGTTGCCAAGTTGCCCTGGTGCAGCGGATCTGTCGGCCTCGCCGGGAACTCCCACTTGGCCATCGTCCAATGGTTCATCGCCGCCTTGCGTCCACCCAGCCTGAAGGCCATAGCGCCATGGGAGGGTTGTGGGGACTTGTATCGTGAGCAGTTTGCGCGTGGAGGCATCTACGCCGGAGACCTCTTTGACCAGCTGATTGTGAAGCACATGATGCACGGCAAGGGAGACCTTGAAAGTTTCCGGCTCATGTTTCAACAGCACCCGCTTGCAAATGCCTGGTGGAACGACAAGAGGCCTGATATGAAGAAAATCAACATACCGACCTATATCACAGGCACTTGGACCAACACAATGCATGGAATGGGCGCCATCAGAGCGTGGCTCGAGGTGGACAGTCCGCAGAAGTGGCTGAGATGGCACCCTTGGCAGGAATGGTACGACTTGTGGGGGAACAAGCAGGCCAAAGAAGAACTGTATTCCTTCTTTGACCACTTCCTCAAAGGCGCCGAGAACGGATGGGAGCAGACCCCGCGCGTCCGCATGGCCGTTTTGCGATTCGGCAACAAGGAGCCTCAATCTTTTGAGAATATTGTTGAAGATGAGTTCCCGCCTGCCAGGACTCAGTACCGCCAGGCCTTCCTTGGCCAGGATCAAAAGCTACTTCTGGGTCAAGATGCAGGCCCCAGAGGCACGCTAAGCTACGATTCCGAGTCTGATGATTGCCTCAACTTCACGCACACATTTCCGGAAACGACCGTAATCATGGGCCTTCCTAAGGCTGTTCTCTACCTGTCCTGCAAGGATCACGACGACATGGACGTCTACGTCACCCTCGAGAAGCTCGACAAGAACGGTGATCAGATGATGAACCTGAACATTCCCTGGGGTGGAATTCCAGTCAACTCTTTCGGCGAATTTAAGCCTGAAGAAGCTACCGAGGTGGTTGTCTACAAAGGACCATGCGGAATTCTGAGGGCATCGCATCGCGCGATTGATCAGTCGAAGAGTATGCATCCGCACTGGCCTTTTCATCCTCACGAGTCAGAGGAGAAGGTCAAGCCAGGCGACATAGTCCGGCTAGACATTGGCATATGGGCCACTGGAATCGAGTTCGAGGCGGGTGAGAGCATCAGAGTAGTGGTGGGCGGTCGCAACAGGTGTGTGAGCAATTTTGGGTCGCACAAGCATGTGAAGAACCGGGGAAGGCATCAGGTTCACATTGGTGGCGAGTTTGGCAGCCATGTGATTCTCCCATTTGTGTAACAATAGCCTCCGAATGGAAGAGACAAGATTGCATTCGAGCGCCCTCCGCTGTGTCGTGCTTCTTGTGCAGGACGCCTGCCTTGTGCGTCTTTTGCACATCTGTGACACATGTCCTCTCGCGTCACGCCGGAGGCCCTTTTCGAACATCTCGTCGAGTTCGGCAGGCTTTCTTTTAGGACAGTCCGCGTCTTAGAAGCTGTGGTAGCGCGGCGCCAAGTCGCGTCGGGAATCGGGATCCATGATCGCCAGCGCTAGAAGAAGTGTCCTCCAATTGCCCAATTAGAGTCGACATCTATTACGCATCAGGCAAGTGCGCATCTCACTTCGCGCCGCGCCTCACCGTGGCTCGGACCGCGATCATTCGTGCTGTGGTCCGATCGGCGTCAAGCCATGTGCTGAAGCTGCTGGCCGATGTAGAGTCGGTATTGAACGACGAGCCATGTCACTCATATGCCAGGCGAGTCTCCAAAACGTCCGCTTAATTGGGGGAAAATGGCCGCTGGGCCCATGACAAGAGTGAGAATACGCAAAGGCAGGACCCAGTGGGAAAGAAGAGCTGATCAGTGACTGAGGGCACGAATGCTGCGCAAATGGCAGGTCTCTCGAGGGAGTCTCGAGAACGGGTCCTTGGTTTCACTCCCTCGAGGGATTTGCCGCCCAGGAGGACTACTCTCGATTGACCATCATCACGCATAACGTGGACAACGTTGGCACTTTTGCAGAGACGTCGCCTTCCACGCCAAACAACGGGCTTGCTCTCGCCAGTATGGTTTCCCACGTCTTGCGCTTGGTATTGGTGTCACTGGATCATCCTTTGAGGCGGAACTGTGCCAGCTCAGTGCAGCAAAGACTTTTGGATAGCATCCAGGGCCAATTCTCCGTGTCATGCTTTTTACATGGACTTATGTCGATAGCCGGCTTGTTCGCTACAAGGAACTCCCAATGCACAGCCCGGGTGGATGACAGCCAGTCACATATTGCCAATACTTCATCGCGACGTTCCAGCTAAGGTTTGAAGTATCGTGATCTTCGATCGGTCGGCAAATATGAGTGGATCCGAACTTCGACGATGGTGCTGTGCCGCTGGCCAAGGGCATCGCTGGGAAAAAGTCAGTCTCAAGTGGGGCCAGGACAGTCGTGCTAGAGTACTTACGTTTCGCCCAATTCTGGGGCGAACTGTTCATAGAGCAGGACTTCTCCACGCTGTCCCTCCTCATGGCGCCTGGAGCAGCTTCGGCGAGAACATGTGAGACGCTTGCCCCAGGCCCGAGTATGCCGTGGCGTTAATGTTTTGCGTTATGTCCACATGTGCAAGCTGGGTCGTCTGAGTTTCCTATCATGCCGGTCTGCCGTTACTCTCATACGATAGAATTGGCTTCGAGGGGTTGGATGAAACTGTCCAGTTATGTGCGACAATGATTTTGCAAGGCCATGTGAACTTGGAGATGAGGGCATCAATAATGAGCTAACAGGTGGCTTCTCAAAGCCAACCAACCTCAACATCGCCGAGAACGTTGAAGCGCTTCGGTCTTGTCCGAGATATGTCGATTGGAAGGATAATACCCGTACTGATTGAACCCATCGCCTTGCATTGAAGCCGGGACTCCAAGCCATCGTGCAGGAAGGGAGCCGCAAATCAAATTCAGCGATAGGAAGCGACTCGAAAGATATGGGGTTGTACTGACCATGTCTAGGACAGGCAACGCAGCTGTCGCTATGACTAAGACTCGCCGGCCGCAAAGACCGAAGTTGACTAAGCCATATGCTATAATACCAAGAGATATGCAAACAAATGGTGTGGGACTTGCTGGAAGCAATTTCAATTATGTTCAGAGTTCTGTCCCCGGGGAACAATGTTGTTCTTGTCGTGCGCTGTGCTGCTGCGATAATTGATTGGGCTTGACGGCGGATTTCTCATCCCAACTTACCCCCCTGCCAAGCCTCCAGCGGAGTAAAATGTCCGCCTGTCTGCCTCTTGAAAGTGCCTTGGTCGCTAGCTGTGGGAGAACTGTGCTATTGAGTTGACTCGGCCGTCGTCCGGCATGAAGGGGTTAACTAATGCTTTGAAAGCGAGTCGCTGAGAAACAAGTGTGATGCTGATGAAATAGCGCTCTGTAATTATCAGTATAGCGGTCAAAGAAATAATTGCGTCTGCAGTAAATGTCCAGTCTAGCGGCCGAGGCTTGAAGGAAACAAATGTGGACTGCGCGAGAAAGGTGTTCAAAGACCAACCAGGACGATCAATTGTTCTCATGTTCGCGGGATTGTTAGCAAAGATTTCAGAACGCTGTCGTGACAATAACAACGCCACTTCTGCGACGATGGAATATGATGGCACATACAAGCATCTTGACCATTTATTTACCTAACGTAAAAAATAACCACTATACTAAACGCCGCGCTCCCATGCGAGCTGTTTTGTTTTCTTCTGTCTAGAACTCGCAAGAAGATTGTTTCAACCTCCAAGCTGCTGCCTGTAGGGTAGGCGACGAGAAAAGAGCACGTTCGCCTGTGTCCGTAATCACCAGATTTTCGGGCACAGAACGCCGTCACGTTATTTTACGTTACAGCCCGCGCTTGGACATCTATGATCCACCGGGGTGCGCTGCGTTCCAGGCCCAGCCCCTGAACGCGAACACTGCCGCGCTGCGACACGCCCTGGTCACCTGCATGGTACCCGTACTTGCTTGTTTTGTCACCCAATGCTTCGGTGACAATTCTATTGTGAAGATCTGATGCATGCCACAAGACTACAAGTATCGATTGCCGCGGATTACTTGGGAACATCTGAGCGCTGATAGACCTGCCACGGTGCGCTTGCAATCATCATGAGCTCGGAGCCCAAGAACACGATGCAAGCGCGATGGCATCTCGATCACCGGTTCGACCGATGTCGCGATATGGCACCAAGACATCCGTTCATCACGAACCGCCGCATCAAACACCAGAGGGTAGTGTTCGTCGTAGAACGCATCAATGGACAAAAGCGCCGAGAACAGCGGCAAGAACAGAGGGCTGTTACTCGATGTACGTACATGTACGATGTTCAAAATGGCTGGCAATCATACGCAGTCTCTCGATAATAAATTCAAGCGGTTTCGCATGGGAGCAAAAGCCAACACACACACTCCAGTCGCTGCCACGGTGCCACCCCCCCTGGCATTTTTTACTCTGCCGTCTGGCGTCGCACGGTGTCAATTGCACTGTAATAAACACTTGGCGTGCATCAATGATCGAAACAGACCCACCGCCCCATCGGCAGACGCGAAGCAGGGTCCAGTGACTCCACACAGTCACGGTCCAGTCGTGGTGGGGTCATGCAGGTTTGTTGATCATTCACTGGCGAGGACCCAGGGACCGCACAGACTGGAGTGCCTGAGTTCTCACCATGGCCTCACATTTTCAAGTCCCGCATCTTCTTCATCATCTTCATCCTCATATTAATGCAAACAATCCATCAACAAGACCACCTCGACCACATCTTTTCTGCAAGTTGCACTGCCAAACTCGTGCGAATACGCCATCTCATTCGTCCCTTCATCATGAAACAGTCTCACACGTCTCCACACGTCTCACATCACCACGCTCACGGCGGTTGAACAAGGAAGATTTCACGAAGCGGGGTAGTCAAGGCCGTCTCGATCATAGGCTGGCTGTCCGGCAGCTCATCGAGCCACCCGAAGGTAAGTCCATGTTTCAGTCATTTGCTAAGCTACAGCAGCACAAGAGAAGAGCTCGCCGGAGCCAAGACAAGACAAGAGCTCGTCGGAGCCAGAAGAAGTTCTCCACGGAGACAACAACAAGACTTCAAGAAGCGGCCGGCCGGACGATCGATACAATACTCCAAATAAACCTCATACTTCGCTACGGCATGACTGCCTAGCAACTTTCGTGCAATCTGCTTCGGCATTTTATGGCCTATCTGCTCTCCATGAACAGACCCGAGCTTGTTCCCTAGCTCAGCCTTCCAGTCCTGATGCTTAGGATCCTTCGATGAAGTCGCATTCTGGTCAGGCAGGTACGGGCACTCATGGTCCCAGAGCTACGGCCAGGCGAAGGTCTGGGATTGGTGTTGCAAACTAAGTTCTTCCTCCAAGACAAATCACTCGATATCACCCAAGCATAACGAGCTAGATCGCCAGCTCTAAGGTTTGCTACAATCCCCTTCAAGAAGCAACAGGATCTCGCTTCATGGCAGGTCCCCAGACAAGTCCACGACCCAAGGTAATCAGAGTTCTTCAACGCCAATGTTTCGCAGTCATTGAGATTGCACTGATGCTAATCCCTGGACAGATTCCAACTCTATCCAAGAAACAACACATCCTCAGTTCAAGACAAGCCCTCGGACATACCGAAAACCCAAGGTGACCTGAGTTCCTTTAACGCTAAACGTTTGCAGCCACTGGGATGTCATTGATGCTAACAACTGGACAGATCTCCAACTCCATCCAAGAAACAACATATCCTCAGTTCATGGCAGGCCCTCAGACATGTCGACGACCCAAGGTGATATTAACGCCAAACGTTTTGCAACTATTGGGATTTCACTGATGCTAATGCCTGGACAGGCCCCTAGCAAGAAAGCGTCGGTCTCTGCACGAAATACTGGTAAGTCCTCCTGCTTCATCGCATTCTGCTAGATGGCCAGATCTTCGGTGCACACGGACCAAGGAGGCTCAGTCCTTCCTGTGATGTCGCCCATACTGAGGGTATCAAGCTCTGACGCATTGGTTCTACGGACTTTATATTATACCAGGATCCTCGTTGCTCGTTCGATACATACTGACAGCAGCACAGATAAGTCTCCTTAGCGCAAGCCCATCTCTCCTTCTGAAATCCATAGCGCAGACAGCCTTTGAAGACTTTTGAAGCAGTAGTCGGACGTAGATATGTTGACATCCTTGTCATGGCCATGGAGACGCATCAAGGTGAGTCCTGGCAGACTGACAACCATCTTTCCGCGTCTCCGTGACATATGGGCTGACCAGAAATACCTCTAGTCACAACCGCGCAGTTGGTCACCCCTTTGTCACTGATGCCGACTGGAAAACATATTTGCTACACCTCCTCGAAGACTGGCCTACATGCGTTCTACAGCTACTGACAATGTCCAGTTCCTAACAATCCTCCTCATGGTCGACATTGATGTCGAGAAACATGTCGCTTCACAAGCCAAGGCCACCAGCTGTACAGACAGACTCTTTGGTCCGGGCGAGATGCTCACAAGAAGAGAGGTCCCTTTGTAAGCACCGACACATTGATTCCTGCCTGCTACTAGGACTCTGGCTGACCACAACGTACTATAGACCTTGTATAACACGACGAAGTCTTGCAGTGCTTTCAGACGGTATTTCGTTGCTTCTACCCATTGCCACGTTTCGATCTTCTGAGACCTTGCCCGCTCTTGTCGTCTTCGTCGCTACTGATCTGAATTTGAGCATCCCGATCTACAACAGCCTTTCGCACCAGTATTATCGCCACATATCTCTTCATACCCCTTCTAACGCTTTTCGATTTGCCGCTAACACAAGCCCACAGACACGATCCTCAGACACGACCTAGCTCATAACTTTTGTTAACACATACAGCGGGCTTAAAGCTCAGTGCATTCCACTTAAGCGATACTGCCTCTTATTTATTTAATCTCTACTATGCTCTTCAATATACTAAAATTGAATAGCGAAGACCCCCCGGTACTATTTCTCACCTACGTACTCGTGGTTCAAATACCCTTTCAAACCCTGGATTCTTCGAGGATAGACCTGACCTGGACACCCAAGGATGGACCTGGACTGGATACCATGGATGGACCTGGACTGGACACCCACGAACGGACCTGGACTAGACAAAACTAGATGGACCTGAACGGACGCCCACCCATAACCCTGCAACGTTAGCTAATGCAAATACCAATGCTATAGTACACCTGACTTCGCAGATCAATACTTCTAGCTGCGGCCTCCCTTTCAGACCTATAACGTATTCCAATTCTCGCCTGCTTGTCCGGAGCTATGCTAACAAAAACTTGCCCATGAAGCAAGCCCCGATTCCCAAACTTCCATCAACACCCTCGCACCTGCCCGAGAAGCAATTTGCGCCGAAGCGACATCGGCCTTGCGCCTTCCTTTACATTCGACTCGTCATCCCCGCCTAAATACAAATGGCGCACAACAACTTTCACCATAAACAACAATCACGACACCCACTTCTACCTCTATCTTAATGGATCATCTTCCAAACCGCTGTGTCACCCCTCGCTCAGCCATTGACCTGATCATCTCCCCTACAGATGTTGTCGTCGAAGCAGCGATGGTGAGGTTCACAGCTCCTGTTTGTTTGCCGTGTGTTCTAACAACAGTCAAAGCGACAAACCTGTCGTCGTGTCTCTCGAGTTGTTGACTTACAGGGCAGCTCCAAATGAAGACCATCATGACTACCACTCAGCACTTGAAGGTACGCTACATTTCCATCAATCATTGTGTTTTTCGAGATACTATCTTGCCCCGGTGAAATGCAGCTAACGCTGTGTAGCGGAGAATGCCTTCTGCCGTTAGACTGTCGGCACGACGGGCACCGCTCTCCGCCGCCAAGGCCGTCGCCAGCGGCCAAACACTCCACGGCATGGACATTTCATCAGTGGCAAATCAACACTTAACAAACGCCCAAGAGCTGCCCATCATGGGCTTACGGCTGGTCGACTCGCAAGACACAAGACCTCGACTGTCCGCTCCCACACATCCTACATCTGACTGCCCAACGCGTACGCCCATCCCGAGGCTGCATCCCGGAATACGACTCGTCAGACACCAAACGCCTGTTCAAAGAGACTATTTCCTTGCATGCCATCAACAGACGACCGGGCGCTTGGCCCTGGCTCTTGGGCCATTCAAAGTTTGGCCCCAGGAACTTTGGCAAGCCCACGTTCAAGGCACCCATGCCTTGGGAATTGACACAACAGAAAGGCTGCACCTTTGCTGGGCATGTCTCACTCACCCAATACCCCTTTGCTCGTACTTTCCTCTCGCTTTCAGTCCGACAAGCGTTTGGACGGCTGGCAGGTTGTCGTGACCCCATCTTCGAACATGTCGCTTCCCTCGAGCCGCAAGCTGCAAAAGCCATGGTCTATCAGGAGTCGATCCAGGAATGGTTTCGACAACGGAGTGCTGGCTGCGACACCAAGACACATGCCCTTGTGATGAGGCCTTCGACCATGGACAAGGACCCAAGGCTCACTGGCACTCTCGCCACCGGCCTGTCGTTCGACCAGTGGTTTTGGTTTGAGATGCCACCTTGAGGTAGTCGACGATATAGCTAGACAGGCTGACTGAAGTGGGCTGGCATGGTCTCCTTGCCCCTTGACTTGAAAGTCGTCAAAACTGCGTCTGATTCGAGCTAAAGTTCACGGGCGCTGTGCACCAGTGATCCTCTGGAACAAGTGGTACCGTCGACAGTGTCCTACCGAGTGGCCCCCAAGCCAAGACATAACTCGATGCCCATGCGTTCGATGACAAGCACTGTTCCTGTTTCGTCAAAGACCAAATGCCTCATGGCACTTGAGTGGGCACAGAATCAAACAGCATAGTGGATCTCTCCGACAGTTCGTTAGTTTGCTCTGCACCGGCGCCACTGACAATTCTCATGAGTTTGTTCGCATGTTGCCGAATCCGACAAGAACACTTCACTCAACGGTCACCTACGCGACTGAGTGCCTCAAGGATGCGTGAAATACGACACTGCGTGTTCAGTTCGTTCTGTTGTGTGCGCAGATTAGCTACTTCTTCAACGCCCTCCGTCCTCTGGCGCTAACATCCTTGACCTTCAGTCTTTTTTGGCTCTGCCCAACCCGCGCTCAAAGCTCAAGAGACCGAAGCGGCGCAGAGGAGATCATCTGCCAATTTCTGGGCGGCCTCTTCAACCTGGTTCGGCCGCCACTCTCGCCCAAGGGAGCATCGCAACAAATCTTCACCGACACTGCGGTCTACGTCCGCAAAGGGGCCCGACCATTCAAATGTACACTTATTGTTTAGCGCGCGTACGACGAGGAAACCCCAGAATTGGAGGAGGAGACAGACGAGCATACCGAGGAAACCAGCTTTCGGCGATTGCAGGATTATTGCCAAGATCCCAAAACCAACGTGATGCAGTCCGCTTTGGTCCAGACTGAAAGCGATCGGGGGAGCTCGTGGAAAAGACGAGTCTGGCCAGAAGCTGTCGCCAGACTAATTATTCTCTTCACCGCGAGCAAGCCACCTGACACTCTTGTTCTCATCCGCCTGTATTGACAACCTTTTGTCACTGAGTCAAAGGTTTTCAGCTCAACGGCCAAATCCATCTTCGTACGGGCGTGGCAGCTGAGGGTCGAGCGCTGATCGCGGTCGGGGGGAGCTCGTGGAACAGTCGATTCTAGCCAGAAGCAGTCGCCACGAGTCCAGGGCATGAACAGCAGCCTTGTGGTGTCCAAGTTCAGGTCCACAGACACAGTTGTCTATCCCGACCTGTTGGCGTCAAGGCTATTACAGAAGCAGGTGCTTCGGAACAAAAAGCTCCCCAAATCTCGGTCCCGGACCTTCATGCTCCGCGCTGACCATACGATTGACTTTAGTGCTTCTTCACGCGCATGCTTCGGGGAACACAAAGCCCCAAGCCCGTTGTCTTCAAGTTCCGTGTTGACCACACTGTCGACCACACCGCAGGCTTCAGTCTCAGTGCGCTGGCCTTGGACAGTCAAGCTTGCAAAACGCCCCTGGCTCTACTAGGACGATTTCCGGGGCCATCATCGCCCAGTGCCGACACCAACAAGGACAACTCTGACTTGGGCAGGCAAGTATCCGCCAGATCGGTGCTTGCAAAACGGCCATAGCTCTACAGGGAAGCTTTCTGGAACCATCCTGCCCAGTCCCGTCACAAACAAGGAGAACGCTGCCTTGGACCGGGGCTTGGACCAGCGATCTGCGGCTGCATCCGAATCAGTGCAGACAGAACAAACGCGAAATCTCCCACATCCTCAACATGAGGCTGTGACCTGTTTTGCTACGTTGTGGCCAGGGAGACCTCAGAAACGGGCAGGCAGTCGGTGCCGATCTAGTAAGTCCGGAGAGAATGTGTTGTTGGTTTCCCGCGCTTACTTTGGACGTTATAGACCCAGGAATCCCGCACCGTCGCGGGAACTGGCCGCACAAGTACTCGATTCTCCCTCTCGTCCTGTCCTGATCGTTATATTGCCTTGTGAAGCGGGTGATCCCCCTTCAGCTGGCCGCCAACTCGATTTTCTTTCGACTGCCTGTCGGAAGTCGACACGAAGATTCAGCGAGTCTAAGACAGAAAAAATCTCCAAAGAACTCTTTGTGCTGCGTCGCAGCCTATGTGTCGCCCAGAAGCTGCAACCCCTTTAGCGGAAGCTAGTAGTGGCGCTGGGTTCAAGTAAGATTAGCGACATGGACATATGTACAACATGGTGCTGACATTTGCAGATATTCTTGCAACCTGAAAGTCAGGACCAATTAAACCAGAACCTTAGCCGTCCGGCAAGGCCCGCTCAAGTGTCCATAGTGGAACTCGCGGATACTCTAGGGATGCTGGACTTGGACACAGATGGCCGAGGCGACCAAGAAAATGTTCTATTCTCAACATCACCCGCGACACCACACCGGGGAAACAAGCCCATCCGAACAGGCTTTTGTCACCCTCGAAACGTGCCGCTCTGATTCCGAAAACGCCTCATCGCCCGTCAATCAACCTTGCATTAGAGCCAGTCCTTATCCCTCGGACCTGATACCCTCTTCTCTTCTCCGGATGCGGAATTGACTTCCCCCAGCTTTTGAGACAAAGCAGTGACCTCTCCGACTTCATGAACTTTGTACCAGCCAGCACCAACCACGCGAGCTAAACTGTTTCGGCACCGCCCGACTGACCTGGTATCAAACAACACGATCTCGAATACAATGCCAGGGCGATTGAATGTACAACAACGACCGGTGATGATTCTCAAGCTTTCATTCCACTGGTATTGCCACAACGTCGATGGACAGAACCGATTTCACCACTGCATTTCTGCAGGAGGCAGTCTCAACCTCGAGACTAATGTGTTTCCAAAGTCAAGGCATCCCCTTGTCATCTGGGCTTCAGTTGCGGCTGCAATTGCCTCCTGGGGCAGTAGGACACGAAATCCGAGGCATCTAGGGCAAGGTCAAGTCAGTTGATTATATCCTCATTGGTCGGCATCCACCGCTCCAGAGCCCGGGGCGCACCAGGGGAAGGCTCAGTACTACTTCACGTTTTCTCCACGTCACAGCGATCGAAGGGCTGTCTGTTTAGCCATGACAGTGCAGACAGATACGATTAACACGAAAAGTCCAGCATCTTACTACGGCGCGCACTCTTTCTAGTCGCCTTGATCTCGACTGGCTGGCACTCATCAACGCGGGCACTGCGTCAACGCTGTGAATATACATCGAGCACCTGAGCTGCATCTCAAGAACAATTGACATACTACCAGAATGACAGAGCGGGCCTTCGGCGAGCCTTGAAGCCGAGCGTGCGCTTTGCCGGCTGCCCCAGGCTTCTGGATTGCTCTTCAGCATCCGCTCCGCGAGCCACAATTCTTTTTGTTCTAAGAAAAGACAAGAACATCATTTCTGCGCTCAGTGGACGGCTGCCTCTTCCTTGTCCATCCGAAGCCGACATAGGTCCTCCCTCGCAATCAAGACGTGGAAATAAAGACGACTGATTTCGAAACTCAAATCGTGCTCGAGCCCCGCGAGGAGGACGCCAAGGTTTCGGTCGAAGTTGAGGAAGAGATCGCCAAGGGTAGCAAGGGTCCCGAGTCCAAGCTCATTACCACCGAAGTCAATATCAACGTACCTAATGTTGGCAAGCCGTCAAGCGCGGAAGACATTGCCGATATGATCAATTCGGTTCAGGAGATGGTTTAAGCGCACAAGGAGTCCGTAGATGAGGCGCCGACGGAGGAGGCTGAAGAGAAGAAGGCGGGCGAGCTTATGGCGCAAGATATCTCCCTTGGCGATAAGGAGGACAAGAAGGAGGACGCAGAGGAGCTGGCTATCGAGCCTCGGTTAAAGAAGGACAAACCCGCAACCGAGTTAAAAGCAGAGAAGGCCAAGAACCGCGCGCCCTCCTGGGCATTGCTCATGCTCGAATGTCTGTACTTCAAAGTCTCTTGTCGTGGTTGCGGCAGAGATCTGGCCATTGGCGCCTGGATCGTGGCCCGTGGGCTCGTGGCCCCAGGGAGAAGAGCAGCGATGAGTCTCATTCCGCCGTCACCCGCTCGCCGCCATCGAACCGGGACCTGCTTCTTGTAACGCGAGAGCGCTGCCAAGCTCCTTCCGGACAGTGCAGCACCATGACCACTTTGCCAGACAAAGCTTGTTGCCTACTTCGGCACCATCACCGGCCAGTTCAGAATATGACCTTTCTTTCATGCCAGACGTACTGTCAGATAGTCTGGCTGGTCTCAGCCCCTTCTCATCCGACAAAATGGCCCAAACCATGTCATGGCCACGACACAGAGTCCTAAAAAACCTAGCATTGCCTAATTTCCCCCCAAATTATTGTCTCGACCCCCCAGAAAGCCCGACGACCTGTCGGGTTGCACTTGGCAAACTTCGACACTATCCAACCAGGACGTACCTTCGTACTGTACGAGCGACCTGTGTGTTGCGCCACAGTCTCATGGTTCTAACAATGCCTAGATGGGTTATGCAAACTCGACAGGCACCCATCAACAGCCAGTTGAACCCATGGAGCATGTGTGCCTCGCGTCAAGACAGGTGACGAGGAGGGTCTTGTCTACAGTCACCCAGAAGCAACAGGAAGTTAATGGAAAACGCAAAAGCGCACCTGGTTCTTGACATCAGTTGATCGAGGACGCCCCGAATGATTGCGGAGGCCTCCCAACGCACCCAGAATTCGTTGTCACAGATGTAACAATTTGGGCCTCGCCGACAGCGCAGGTGTTCAGGAGCGGGATTTGAGGTTGTCACCGCTGATTTGGCGGTCCTGGGCTTCCCTGTCTCAAAGTCGCGTGGATTCTGGAGAGGACATGCCTAATATCAATATCCGCACGGCACTGTTCGGCACAGTACCTCATGGACGTCCACAACATATGGCGAAGATCACGATGCGTGGAAACACCGAAAAGGCACGCGCTAACCTAACGGATCAAGACATCACCCGGACTAGCGCCCTTGAAGCTTCGAGCCTCATCACCCCCCCTGAAGCCTACGCCGCATCACAATATGGAAGGAATTCATTGTTGGCTCTTGAAGTCCAAGTTTCATTCGTGATTGGGGGCAGATTCATCGCGCGCTACGGACCACACGATACAGACAAGAGTCTAGGGCGGCATGTATAGACCGCCTACTCTGTGCGACGAATGTGTCAAATCCGCTGGCGTCCATCACAATTACTGGACATTCTCTACGACACATCCATGGTTATCAAACCCTAGCCGTGGTTGATCGCCGTACATGCGACTGCAGTCGAAGAGCGCGAAGATTTGATCAAGCGAAGCCAGACTCATTGGGGCTATGCTGCTTAACCACAGCGACTTCGCCGTGTTCCAAGACTACTTTGGCCACAACGGTCTGATCTGGTAAAGAAACACACAAGACGAAGATAAATCCCGAAGAAAAGACGACACCTGAAAGTCTTGAAAGTGCGTGCTGCCAGAAATGTACTTTGTCTACAGGCAGCGAATTTGCCAGGCGTCTTGCTGATCATAATCGCCATCGCGGCTTCGATCCTCGATTTCGACCACGCTCGTCGGCATCGCGACTCCGGTCAATACACAGTCCTCGAAGCCGTGCCGGAGATGGGCACACACGTGAATCCAGTTTTACTTCAACGGTACAGGAATCATTGATCCCGTCCGGGTGGCTTCGGTTCGTGAAGGCTCACGAATCTTCAACCAGACCTCCAATCTTGCGGAGGCAGGCGCGTCTACGTTCGCATGGAGAACTCGTTTAGGGTTGAAGGCTCTCGAGGCCAAGTGCCTCTTACCAACGAGACTACCGCAGGCTCTTTGACTGGTTTAATCAAAAAGAGCGCCTCGCTGGCATTGCGAACCGACAGTGCTGGCCCGTCTGGGAGTCTGTTGCTGGCACTCAATCCTGCCCCCATCGCGCGGTCTCACCGCTTGTGGTCACAATCCTTAGTGTCGCCCAGACGGACTGCCGTACAAGCCAAATCACCACTGCATGCCAATCAGGCGACACTCGACATCGGAAGTCTATTCTGTGCGGCCACCATAAATTCACGACTTGCCCTTGCACTCGTATCTTGTCTGCGGTCTCCAATGGCGGTGTTGGGGTTTCGTTCAGGTTCAAGCCACGCTCCCGCGGCGTCCAGCCTACGCGCAATGTCGCAACTGGACCTTGTTGCTTCATGAAAATTGCCGGCTCGAATTCTTGCTTCGCATCTCGCCGCCAGTCTGGGTTTCCTGTCTCTCATCCGGTGATAGGGGCACAATGAGCCCCGACTGGCATGTTGTCGTTTTCGGACCGCAGCACAGGAAAACGAATTTGTGCTTGCCCAGGCTATATTATTTGATTCTCGCCTACTTTACCTCGATGGTACGGATTGTCCCTTGGTGGAGGTCCTCGCTATTCGTCCCAAGGAAATCGTTCAATATGTTTCTGCAGACACTATCGCTATGCACTGGCTAATTGAAGCAGACTGGACAGAAGAGCCATTCGTCCCGAATATGACCGACGTCAATATTTCACCTCTGCACGAAGCTGTCGAGTTCAAATTGACGAATCGATGATGTGTTAATAAGTTTGCTTGTCGATGGCAGTTCCTGGATCAATGCAATTCTGCCCATGGTTCATATCTGCGTTTCGTTGGATCCCAGCTCCTCGCACTACTCGACTATCGATCACCGGCTTCTCATACCACTTATTCGACTTGAGTCTCGAAAATAGCACCCGAAACTCTGAATCCGCAGGAAGCCCGCCGGCAACACTTTTTTCATGGACTCAAGATCCGACATGACCCAGAACCAAGATTGCGTGGCGCATGGAACCATTTCGCGGCATCCCATCAACCCAGCTCGTTTCCCCAAGAGGGATAACACCAGCGAGTTTTCGTCATGAGCCGTACCCTTACGGCAACACCTCAAAGATCTTGATACTCAATTTCTTCAACCCAACACTGTCTAGGGACAACTACTCTTTGAGGCCATTGTCGGCTCCCAGCAAGAGCGGCCGATCAAGGGTCAAAGATCTTTCCGGGGTTTCTGTGTCAACGGGTCAGTGTCAACGACTCGGGATGCGAAGAATCACAAGGATTGGACTGACAATATCCAATGCGGGTCAAGGGTCTTCTTGAGCATTTTCTGATCGAGCAAGAGGTTAGCAGCGGCACGACAGAGCAAAGCAGAAATGAGCGCGACTCACCATGACAAGCAAGGTGCCATCGCCAACTTCGGCGGAAAGCGCTTTCTTCTTCCCGTACCCGATGCCGTGCTCTCCTGTACAGGTACCCTCTGCCTCGAGAGCCCTCTTCACCATGTTCTTCACCGCTTTCTCGGTGTTGGCCGCCTCGATTGGGTCCCTCGGACTGTAGGTGATGTTTTCGTGGAAATTGCCGTCGCCAACATGACCCTTGACGCAAACACTCAGTCCAAGACTCTTGGCCTCGCTCTTGCTCTCCTCAATAACGCGTGCCAGCGCCCCCAAGGGCACGGCGACGTCTGTGTTCCCTGCGAGAGTCCTACGCGTTAGCCTCTGTCGAATAGGATGACCGGGATGGGGAGCAGGTGCGTCCGGCAAGGAACGATCTGCGGACACGTCGACGTACACAGGATCTGTCCCTCCTTGCGCAAAGCAAGCAAAGAGTACAGAGACTCCTTGCGCGCGGACCAAAGGGACTCTTGCTCCTTCTTGTCTCTGGCAAACTCAAACGCATCTGGTCCGAATGGCTTGACAAGAGCTTTGACTGTTTCAATATTATCGAGCACCGTGCCCTCGGTCCCGGAGAACTTAAAGAATAGGGTCGACGTCTCCTTCCACACCCGGGGCCTTGTGGCGCCACCTTCGTTCACGATCCTCATCTGTTCCTCATCCATGAGCTCGAGGGCAGCGACCGGGACGCCTTTGCGGATGACGGCCGCGGCAGCTGAAACGGCCCCCTTGAGCGATGGGAATGGGACGACCGCGACAGAGAAGTGCTCAGGAATGGCAGCGAGCTTGAGCGTTGCCTCGGTGACGATGCCCAGTGTTCCTTCGGAGCCGACCAGTAGGCCGTTCAGGTTATAGCCAGCAGAGCATTTTCGAGGCCGGCGTCTGGTTTTGATGATGCTCCCATCGGCCAGGACAACGGTCATGTTGATGACCCAGTCTCTCATTGTCCCGTACCGAACTGCGTTGGTTCCGGAGCAGTTTGTGGCAACCATGCCTCCGATCTTGGCGGACGGCGCTGGCCCGTACGTCAGTCCAAGAACTCGAGCAGAGACGGTGACTGACCTGGGTCGATTGGAAAGAAATAGCCGGTTCCTCTCTTCTCAAGCTCGAGGTTCAAATCTGACCATGTTATACCGGGCTGCACTGTCACGTCCATGTCTGCCTCCCGAACCTCGAGTACTCGGTCCATGAAAGCAAAGTCAACGCTTACACCACCAAACGGAGCCGCGGTATGCCCCTCCAGACTGCTGCCACCGCTGTACGGAATGACGGGGACCTTGTACTTGTGGCAGATGCGGGCGATTGTGCTCACTTGGTCGGTTGACCGCGGGTAGGCCACAGCCACAGGCAGCACATCGACGTTGACAGATGACCACTCGGAGAAGCCATGAGCCTTGAGATCCTCGTCGTCCGTGGAGACAGCATCGTCCGAGCCGCCTAGCTCGTTGCGGATCTCATCAATGGCCTCAACGATTCCTCATATCAGACTTTTGTCTTTGGGACGGGTACGATTTCGGAACACTTACCTTTACCATGTCTTCAGTGCTTGCATACCCAGTAGTAAAGACACTGTCGTGGTTCAGCACCTTTGCCCGGGTTTGATCGGATGTCTTGGTCCAAAGAAAGGCGGCAGAAGCAAGGGCACCGAGAACGCCGATTGCTAGACCCAGGCGAGATACAGCTGCGGTCGGACGGTTTGCCGCCTGGTCAAGGGTTGGTTTCTTGTGGCATGAACTTTGTACCCTGCTCAGCTGGCGGAATGTCCTGACGTGTGGATGATGGCGGATGCCATGGCGTGCCTGGTATGCTGCGCCAAAAGCCCAAGGGCCCGCTGCTCCTGGCAAAAGGCCAGGTGATAGCGTGCGCAGCCGCCTCACTCTACCAGCAGATCGCATTACGAAAGATGCAAACATGCGACTGACAAGGTGAAAGACCGAACACTGCCCCGATCGGCTGCACTAGTCCCTATAAAAAGAGCCTGATGCAGCTTGCTTGCTGTGGGTGTCTGAGACGAAGCTCGGCACATGGCGTCGCTGATGAGGTAACGATCAGTCGTTGTCATAGTCAGTGTCCCTGGCATCCGCTCCGGTCGGAATGCTGTACCATCCCAGGAAAGTTCCGGATAACGGAGACAGTGCACATTCGCCTGGTCTTGCCAGACTCGGGGATTGCCGAACCCAAATCTCGTGTCGAGGGCCATGGATGGCAGTGCTTGGATTCATGCGAGTACTCCCGGTGCGCGATGGAACCATGATCCCAGCCTTGTCTGGCTATACGATGTGCTGTGTCGCTTGTACATCAACGGGTACCTTATGCTGACGACCGAGACTCAGGCGTGTGTCCAAAAGCTCTGATGAAACAGCTACAGGGACTCTATGATTTCCACATAATTGGCAATTCAATGTGCACTATTGATAGGTTTATTCTTCAACATCTGCGGCTAGCTGGTAGGAAACCACAAGATCGTGTCCCAGCACGAGCAAAGGAGTAGCAGGAGAAACACTCAAATGCTTCAGGCCTTGTAGCCCGCAGCCAGCTTTTGGAGACACGAGTTCAGACTCCCTTGCTCAGCGGCAGCGTACAGCTCATCAGAGTCCAGAATCGACCGGCCCATTGCCGCTGCCAGCCCATGCTGGTCACTCGAGCCTGACAAGATTGGCAGGTCATTCTGCGTGGATTTGCCACCTAGGTTGGACTGGAATATGCCCGCAGCCGAGAAGGGGAGAAAGTCCTCGTACGTGATGGGCTTCGTTTCCAGCACGCCCTGCGCCAGCAAGGCCTCCACGACGGCCGACCTGTCCGCCAGGTCCAGGTCCAAGTCGACTGCCATGGTGTCTGGCACGGCCTTGCCAGTGCACTCGTACTCGCAATAGACCAGCCCGCGGGCGCGAAGCTGGGCCCAGTCGTCCGGGAACTCCTGAAATACGGATTCCGTGATTGCGTCGGCGGCTGAGGAGTCTTGTCCCGCCGACTTCTCCATTGCAATGGCAAGAAGCTTGTCGTATAAGGCGCGTCCGGCGGGTGTGACGGCGGCACCACACTCCTCAATCTCCCCGAAACGAGCCTTGTGAGAGCCCTGAATCAGATCCTGCTTTTCGTCACCCTCGCCGTCTCTGATGAACTTGATCGCCTCTTCTAGCGCCAAGAAGCTCGTCTGTCTCAGCAAGATGGGCCAGCGCCGGCGGGGCGGGCCCTCGATCCTATCCTTGACACGCAGTCCCTCCTCGAGCATGGGCGCCTGTGCCAGGGTAATGTTGAGCTTTCGCGGGGTCAGGTGATTGATATGGGCTATCTTGAAGCAGGCAATGTCGGCCAGGATGGGATGCTGTGCCTTGAGGAGCTCATATTCCTTCGCCGTCGCAGCGGCCACGGGAGCCCAGCTGAATGTCTTGAGAGCCTCGTGGATGAAGATGCCAGCCTGCTCGGGGTCGAGTCCTCCCTGTTCCTCAGCGGTGCTCAGCATCTGGATCAGCTCGGCACTGAAAATGTTGCGCTTGGAGAGCATGCGCTTCGCCAGGGACCGGGCCTCCTGGGAGCGGATCAGCTGGGGCCGCAGGAGCGTGGTGAAGACGCGGAATGGGTTGGTCGCTAGGGAGCTGACTTGGACCGGCCTGAAGCAGGTCGCGTGCATCGGGAGGCCGGCAGCGGAAAGGTCGTAGTAGCCCACCGGCTGCATGCCGAGCACGGCGAAGATACGACTCACAGTGCGTAGCTCGGAGGGCGTTCCCAGGCGGATGGCACCATGTCGCTCAAGGGTCAAGCGCTCGAGGGTGTCTGGGTTGACGGAGCTAGCAAATGCCTGCTTGTTGACGCTTTGAACGATGCGTATCAGGTCACCGTATAGGGGGACTTCTTCCCTGTACATGCGGGACATGTCCACAGCAAAGGCCCTTCGGAGATCGTCTGGGTGGACGACGTCACATGTCTGCCTATGGGGGCCGCCTCGTGGAAGGCCTTGAGCGAGAAGTACCTGAGATGCCATTTGATTCCTCAGAGTTGTGGATGCTTGCAAAGGAACTGGAGTGATGGTCGTCATGTAAGAGTGGTCTGCCCGCCCAATATGCGCTTCAGAAAGGGGGAGCACACCCGGCTGGCTCGCGAGGCAGAAGATACCCCTTTAAAACGACTTGGTCAGAGTCAGATTCAGCGGCACTCCTATCACACATGCACCGACCTCCAAGCCCAGCCTGAAGTGTACGCTGTCCAAGACCAGCTTGCTCGGCACTTTCCAGGGACAGAGCAGGCCCAGCCTCAAGCGCACGTCTTCGCACGCTGAGCTGGACGATGGTGTCTCATAATGCCCTACTGGCGCATTATAGCGTAGCCTTCCCCTAGATGAACCGAAGAGCACCTTTGCCAAGAGAATCAAGAAAGCTTTGTGACGATGATACCTCCAGGTCCGAAGAGCACCATCCATCGCCCAACTTCCATGGGCAAGTAGACCGATGATCGATCCCTCGTCGGTAGAACCCCAGCCCCCCTTGGAGCTATTTGCCTACCCGGGTCCCGCTTTGTGCCGCACGTGAATTCGCGATGCGGCCAAGCGCCGGAGGAAGCCGAGAGTCGACGCCCCGCCTGATCTGGCTGCCAGCTCTGTGTACACAGGGTAAGTATACTGGTGACCTGGTCTTTAAGTACCACCAAAAAGCTCTTGCGGACGAGGAACAAATTGCCCACCCCAGCAAGATGACGCGCTTTCGGAGTCGAGGCAATCTACCAGGAACTTGTCCACGTTGAGGATGCCGTTCGAAGGAGCTGGTCGTCCATTCTGGGGGTTACATCTGTGGCTGCGATAACGGCATTGAATTTGAGCCAACGATAAGGTGGAAATATGGAGTTTTGTGCTGCTGTGCGAAAGAACCTATTAGTCAGCATGCCGACCCCGGACTTGACGTCGCGCCAGGCATGCAGCATCTCAGCCTCCATGTCTCCTCCACGCCCCCGGCCTATCAACTTGAAGTCTACCCACATGGCCTATGACCTAGGACACCGGGTGCGCTGCCAGAGACGGTGCCATGAGCAACAAGGAAGGCGACAACCACAGCTGGTGTCGATTCAAGTGGTCACGGGCGGTGGCAAACAGCCAGTGCCAGAGCATAGACGTGTATATAGACCAAGTCATTGTCATGGCCACATTTTTCTCTCAAGACGCGGACACCGCGTTGCCCTCGACTTCCATATGCAACATGAACGCATACCGCCGTCCCTGCGGATCCCGCTGACTCTAAAGACAGCCAGCAAGACCCCGACAATGGCCATTGGCAAACCGGACAAGCGCGCCATAAAGAGGATAAGCTCATGGCATGTCGAATCACAGGACGTGAACATCGTAAGGCAACGATCGGAAACAATATTCACTATGGACAAAAGTACGATCCCCGCACGAGACAGGGCGAGAATCCCCCACAAACCACCCTCTCCTCCTTCTCACTGTGGCTATCGAGTAGCTTAGACAACAGCGCGCTCGTCAGAGACGGCCCTGTCCTTGTTGGGGCCTGAGGAGGACGAGTCTCTCCTGAAATTTATAGTCAGCATCCCCACCACAAAGGAACAGTGCGAAGCAGGGGCACTCACGGGCATGGGTCGGCATGCTGCCCGACAATGGTGTCCCTCTTGGCCGGGGACCGCCATGCGTTGAACCAGGGCCCCTTGAATATGGCATCCATCTCCTCCATGCTGAGGCCCGCAATCTCGGGCACCATGAAGAAGACGTAGAGCAGGGCCACAAAGCACCAGCCCGCAAAGAAGATAAAGGCGCCCCAGTTGTCCATCTGCGAGAGGATGTTGGGCATGGCGGCGTTCATGCCGTAGTAGAAGAGCCAATGGAACGTCTGGGACAGGGCGCTGCCAAAGGAGCGGAGGCGGTTGGGCCAGAGCTCGCCGCCAAAGACGTATGGGAGGATGAGGAGGCCTGGGAGGGTCAGAGGGGACAAATGTCAGAGACAAGGAGGTGACTGGACTTACCGACGGCGTAGCCGAAGCCGTGGATGAAGATGGCGGCAATGGCGGCCTGCGAGGCCCCGTCGGAGACGTCGCCCTGCTGCTTGTACTTGATGTAGACGCCGAGGTAGATGTCGGAGAGCATCTGGGTGGTGATGCCGACAAAGAGGGACTTGCGACGGCCGAGCGCGTCGATGAAGAAGGAGGCGATGAGGCAGAAGAAGAACTTGGCCATGCTGTACATGCCGCTGAGGAAGAGGCTGCGGGAGGTATCGCCGCCGATGCCCATGAGGGAGAGGATGGGGACGAGGTACGAGGTAACCGAGTTGGCGCCAGACAGCTGGGCGAGGGCGTACGAGACGAGGGACTGCTGGATGCGGCGCAGGTTGGCGGGGACGGTAAAGGCCTCGCGGAGGATGGAGACAATGGCGGTGCCGCGCGAGGCGTCGTGAAAGTGGCTCTTTTCCTGGGCAATGGACGCCTTGATCTCGGCAATCTCGGCGTGGACGACAGGGTGGTCGGCGGGCAGACCGCGGAGCTGCTCAATGGTGCGGACGCCCTCGTCGTCGCGGCCGACGAGGAAGAGCCAGCGGGGCGACTCGCAGAGGAAGAAGCTGCAGGCGATGCAGAGGGCGACAAAGAGGCAGGTGCGAACCAGACGACCTGGTACTGCAGGCGGCTCGGCTCCATGTGCTCGTAGACGCCGTAGACGGTAAAGGTGGAGAGGAAGAGGGAGAGCAGCATGACGACGCTGAACCAGGAGGCGAGCAGGCCGCGCATGGCCGTCGGGGCGATCTCGACAATGGCCATGGTGCCCAGGACGGTCAGGGGCCCGATGCCCAGGCCGCAGACGATGCGGGCGGCGTAGAGGGCGTTGATGTCCGGCGCAAAGGTGGCGATGAGCTGGCCGACGACCCAGATGAGCATGTAGAGCCGAAAGGCCCAGAGGCGGCCGATGCGGTCGTTGACGAAGAAGGACAGGCCGGCGCCGACGCCGCAGCCGACGTAGACGAGGGAGACAAAGTTGCGGATCAGGCTCGCGTCCTTGCCCGAGCTGATGTCAAAGTGCTCCTGGAAGCCGGGCAGGTTCGTCATCACAGAGGAGGAGCCCTGGTCCCAGGCTGCGGTGGTGAGTGAGCACGGTGGACGACAACTAGGAGAACACTCCTAGGAGGTTTGAAGGGTCTTTCTTACTGATGGGGATGCCGGCCATGGCGTACAAGGCGGCCGACAGGAGCATCCTCCGGTTGAGGACAATCTCGCGCGGCGCAGCCCACATGGCCGCCGCGTACCGAGCCAGGGTGGACTCGGTGAAGATCTCCTTGACGCCCATCGTGTGGTGTGAAGGGCTAGATGTGAGTATGGAGGAAGGAAACCTGAAGCTTGACTCGGTGGAGATGGCCAGACTGCAGATTGGCGGGCCGGAGACAGTCTCTGGAAATGCTGAGATCAATGGGAGACCAGGACGATCTTATAACTGGCGCGACCCGGGACATTAGGGGCGAGGAGAGGAAGGGGGAGAGAGAGAGAGAGACTGTGTATGTATGTGTGTCGTTATCGGCAGTGTGTCCACGATCCAGATTCCAGGGTCGCTGTTCCAGTCACCACGACTCCAAGAGTCACCACCGCTAGTGCTACGACTAGTCCACCTCGAGGTTAGTGTACGTCGTAGGAGCCACTGAATCTGGGGAAGCCAGGCGTGAGGCGTGTCTCCACCGAGAGATAACAGAGGCGACGGCGGGGGCCGGAAGAATACGACGACGAGGCGACGACCAAGATCCCCAAGTTAGTCTCGGATCAACCCGACCTCTCCTGGCATATGGAGCCTTCCGGCACGGGCCTCGACTCTCCAAGACAGCCCGTCAGTCACGACTCGCGCCTCGTTTCTTATCACGTCGGTCGCATCCTGGGCTCTCCAACCGCCGCCAACACCATTGGGGTTGATTGACCGGAAAGCGCGCTGTCCCCTCGGCCACGGACAGAGGAGGTCTGCTAATTTCATGTCCCATCTCGAGTTGTGAGCCTTGACGGCCTACACCATATCGCCATCATCACCTCGCGACCATGGCCTCACCTCCAGCGACAGAGCCGCCCCGCCACAATGAACCCATCATCATCGTCGGCGGCGGCATCTTTGGCCTCAGCACCGCCCTCCACCTGGCCCGACGCGGCTACCGCAACGTCACCGTCTTCGACAAGCAGGCCTGCGAGACGCTGCGCTACTCGTACCTCGACGGCGCCGACGGGGCCTCGGCCGACATGAACAAGATCATCAGGTCCGCGTACGGCGCCCAGACAGAGTACCAGGCCCTCTCGGCCGAGGCCATTGCAGCGTGGAAGCAGTGGAACGACGAGCTGGCCTCGGGCGCCACTGTGCCCACCGGCATGAGCCACGACGACCGCGTCTTCGTCCAGAACGGTAATCTCTCGCTGTCCACCGACGCCGAGCTGCCCCCATGGGAGGTCGCCTGCATCAAGGGCATGGAGGCCGCCGGCTACCCAGACAAGATGCTGGACACGACCAACCCGCGGCACCGCCAGTTGGCTGAGGCGGCGGGCATGGGCTTCGCCCTAGACCCGTTCCGCCAGGCCGAGCGACAGAAGCCAAACGTCGGCGTCCTGGACACGACTGGCGGCATGGCTGTCGCGGACAAGGCGTGCCGCTTCGCCCTGCATACAGCCAAGCTGCTCGGGGTCAAGTTTGTCCTAGGGCCCGAGGAGGGCCACCTCGAGTCCATCTGCTATGACCATGAAGCCGACGACGACGACACCAAGGACAACGCTCGACGCGTCCTGGGCATCAAGACCCGCGATGGCAAGACGCATGCAGCGGCCATGACCGTCCTGGCCTGCGGCGGATGGACGCCTGTCCTCCTCCCCCAGCTCGACGGTCTGTGTGAGGCGACAGCCGGCAGCGTCGCCCTCCTTCACATCCCAGACGCCTCGCCGCTCCGCGCCCGCCTGCACCCGGACAACTTCCCCACGTGGACGTGGAACATTCGCAGCGGCGCCGAGGGCGGCCTCTACGGCTTCCCCATCGACCAGAACGGCTGGCTCAAGGTCGGCTACCGCGGCACAAAGTACACCAACCCTCTTCGGCACAGCGACGGCGGGGAGCGCAGCACCCCAGCCACGCGGTGGTCGCCCGCACACCGCGACGGCCAGCACCCTGTCGGCGAGAGGCTGACCAGTATTCCCGCGCAGGCCCGTCGCGTCATCGAGCGCTTCCTCGATGCGTATATGCCCGAGCTAGCGAGCGAGGGCATTGGCATCGCCAAGACGCGCATCTGCTGGTACACGGACACGTTCGACAATCACTTTGTCGTCGATCGGGTGCCGCGTACGCAGGGTCTCATGGTGGCCACGGGCGGCAGCGGCCATGCCTTCAAGTACCTGCCGAATATTGGAGACTGGGTCGTCGATGTCATGGAGGGCGTCGGGCTTTCGCGGCCGGCTGTGCGGGCGTGGCGGTGGAGGAGGCCAGACGGCGAGAATCCGCCGGTCAACACGCTGATGACGGGCGCACGGGGCGACAGGGCGCTGCCAAACATCACGCTCGTCAGCGAGTCGGCGCTGGGGGACCGCGCGAAGCTGTGACGGGGCCACGTGGACGCAGGGCGTTGGGCATGATGGGAATCTGTGATCTCCAGATGATAGTAGACATTAGCGGGAAGGCAAAGTCGGCTGTGTAGGCGGCGTGCCTATGGATTTGACGAAATCGTGTCTCCAAATGTGTGACAATGCAGAATCAATGGTGCCAGAGCGCGTTCGACCAGCGGAGCCGGGGATTTTGCTCCGCGGTCTGTCTTGTCTCCACAGTAATTGTCTACAGACTACAGGCTACAGGCATCGCGTCACGCGTTCAAATGACGACATGTCTGGGCTCATAGCTATGCCTTCCACGGGCATGATATAGAAGTACTAGGCATTACGCGTTTTTTGATTGTTTTTGGGCCCGTGATAGGTTGGCAGCTTGTGTTGTCTGACCAACTCACAACGTCCACGCCTCACATTTGCGGTTAGGTATACCCTCCGTTTTGTGTAAAGTAGAAGCGCGTGGAAACGCACGCATTGGACCGATCCACTGCCTATACAGAATTGGAAAGGATGTAAAATACAAGCAGGGTAAGAACATGTGCAATTCTGAGCGCAACTATGCTAACTTGGACAAAGACATGCGAGTGACAGCCGAAGCCTCGCAGCTCCAGGGTAGCTCTCCCGCATACAACGCACTGCACACGCGCATCGGGATTTCATGATATAGGAAAGGAAAATGCCTATGTCTCCCAGCTTGCGTTTCTTGATAAGAAGACAGCTATTCTATGGCCTGATTCCATGTTTCTCTGGTCACTTGCCTGGTGCAGACGAGACATTGCTCGCATGACAGTTCCATTCACAACACACAGTACTCCCGGGTAGGTGGCACTAGACGGCCAACGGAACGTTTGCCCACGCCTCGACACAATGGGAAAACAAAAACGTCGCCGTCTGCTCGTCTGCGGGTGGCTGATTGTGGCCGGAGAAAAGATTGGCAGAGATCAGAGATTGTAGCACGGACATTCAGGAACATAATCTACGACAACCCAAAGAAGGGACTGTTCTCATCATGTTGGACATTGATGGATCAGGGTCTTTTGATCGTTCTGAGACGCTGGAGGCACGGTGTTTGAATCGACGGGAGAGAATGACACGCAGATTTTTGGGCATTGGAAAGCTGTCGGCGTGATTGATGCATGTCTCTAAACGGACACATGGCAAGGGGCCTGTCCTAAACAAAGGGAAAGTAGCGCGCGACGGATCGAACTCTGCCTCTTGAACACTGTGGACCGTCGCGCAGCTGGGAACGGCTCTCGAGTGCTTGATGCCGTTGCACTGGTCTTGTTCTTGAACATGGGACGCATCAATTCGGTGGACAAGCTTCGGCGCAGAAGGACAGCCACCTGGCTGACTGTCAATCAGGGCACGAGGAATCTTTCGTCGTCGACCATGGGGCCGAGACTGGCGGCCAACGTTGGCTGGAGGCTGTGCGACTTATCTGTAGTTTGTTAGTGGATTCTATTATTATAGAGATTAATGATGGCTTCAACTGCCACATACGACCATACCCAGTGGAAAATACGGGATCCCGTCCGCTCTCCCATAGTCAAGCCGCTGAGGGGCTGATTAGTAGTTGGGTCGGTGACGACCAGCGAATACCGGCTGTTGTATGTTTTTTGGCAAATCTTTATGCTGACCCTTGCATCAACGAAGGGGCATGTGTAAATGGCACGGGCAAATGTTTGTGAACATCCCCTGGTTGGGAGACATGATTCCTTTGTTAGACTGCAAATCACGAGAAGAAAACGGGCGTGAAAATCCTATCCCCACGTGGCAGCCCAGGGCAAAGTAGTATCAGGGCAGTTGGAACTAATCTTAATATATAATCCCTTTATTTAGAAGCACACTTGTACCCTCGAGTTATCTAAATCCTGGAGTCCCGCTGTGTGATCTCTCCTACGCTACTAGCAGGGAGTCCTTCGTCGTCTTCTTCAGCGACCGCAAGCGTTGGGAAACTTGCTGGCATGATCCTTTGAGGACTGGATCCCGGAACGACGCTGTACTTGGAGAAATCTTGCATTCCTCGTTCTCGGAGGAAGTCTTCGTCAAGTACGAGAGACCCACTGACGCTCTGCGCAGGACTCTTGAGGATCTCGAGGATCGCATCCGAAAAAATAGTCTGCATTCACCATGAGCTTGACTGGCATACACTTCCACAGTGCAATACGAACCGGTTTCCTCAGATCTGGCAGCAGCCTCGAATCGGGGGTGGCTGCGGATATAATGGCCTTGACAAGTAATCACGTCAGCAGTCTGTTGAATCGGGAATATCTGAGAGCAACGCACCGTGGCCGGCCAAATACTCGTAATGGCCATATTGTTCTTCCCCTGTCTTTTCCAGTCAACCGCCAATCCTTTAGTCAGGACAGACATGCCAACTTTGCCAACGGCGTAGGCTGTCTTGCCCTTGAAGAATCTCGAGTAAATCGGCGGGCTGACGACAATGATCCGGCCATTCCAGCCATTTTTCTCAAAGAGAGGCAGCGATGTCTGCACTGCGCTGTAGAGACCCTCCATATTGACGCTTTGCAGTAGCTGAAATCGCTTCAATGGCGTGCGATCAACAGGTGCCCACCATATAGCACCAGAGTTGTAAATGAGCACATCAAGGCGCTTGTAAGCATCATACGTCTTCTGGAATAGCCTTTCGATGCTTTCTGGGGACCTCGTGTCGACTTCTATCGCTAGACTCTCCTTTCCTGCTTCTTGAATCTCACGTTGCACCGTGTTGATCGTAGATTCGGATGAGTTCGGGTCTGGTGGGAATGGCGAGACTTTCGACGCGTCGCTGGTGCTTTTGGCAGCCACAACAACTACATACCGGGGTCATTAATAATCTGTCAGCCCACTTGGAAGATAATGGTACCTCGGTAGCCCTCGCTGGCCAGGTCAATGGCTACCTGCCGCCCGATACCGCGTGATGCGCCGATGACTACGGCGACAGGCCGCGGTTGTGAACTTGAAGCCATTGAGGTAGAGCTGTCGGGTCAAAGCTTTCTTATATTGTCAGTTGCTCAGAAAGATCGATGTGTGGAGGAGTCTTGTTGGTTTCTTAAGTACATGTATATGTAGCTTGCAGTGGTGCTCCCACTCACCCCATAGGGATGAACAAGCCTCGGCACCGTAACTCTGCTAATCCAAAGCAAATGTGGAGGAAGCACAGCGGCCAGGATTCATTCAATAGCCGAGGTTATAAATTGATCATTGGTATGCGTCGAGTCTCTGATTGTGCGGCATTCCCAGCCTGTACCGTCGTAATCGCCGAGGATCATGAACCTCGGCGTTTTCAGTCACGTCCCAAGAAGCCGTCGCCAAGGGCGAGAGTGTGGCGACTCCTGGATGTTATATATGCCACCGAAAAGACAAGCCAAATTGGCATCGGTTGAATTTGAAGATTGTCCGACTTCACAATTTGTTACAGCTTTCGCCCACCGCCCAACATGCAGCCAAAGAAGATCGAGGCATACATTGACATCGGTCAGTAGCTCAGCTCAGCACTCCATTCAGGTTACTAAAGGCCTCGCAGTGTCAGCCTACAGTTATTATGCTTTCTCCTATCTGCGAAAGAACAGTGCGGCGCTGAAGTCCGCCGGCGTTGAGGTTGAGTAAGTGCAGATGTGGTCTGCAGTCATACGTCCTGCATTTTGCTCAACACTGCCATCTTAGGTTCATTCCTGTGTTTCTCGGCGGCATCAATGTCTCCAGTGGTACGAACAAGCCAGCAGAAAGGTGTACAAGTTGACTTACTTCTGCTCCAGGGAACAAGCCCCCTTGGACTCTCCCAGCGAAGGCTGCGTATTCTCGATATGATGGGCAAAGAGCTCAGAAGTATTTCGGATTGAAATTCAATGTCCCAGGCTTCTTTCCGATTGTGTCACTCTTGGTAAACTTGTTCCCGCCAGTCTTGTCATGGAAATATCACTAACCTGCGCCACACGGATGTCCTTACAGCCGCAAAGATGCCTTGCGTATGTGAAAAAGGCGCACCCAGACAAGCTCGAGCCACTTTTTGATATCTTCTTCCAAGCTATGTGGGTTCATCACCATGACCTATCCAAGCCAAACAGCACGAAGACTGCGCTGCTCAAGGTTTTCACCGGGGAGCAAGTGGCAGAAATCATGGCAGCTGCGGAGACCGACGAAATCAAGAAGACTCTCAGTGCGACCACTTTGCGCGTCTCTCAGGACCTTGGTGCGTTCGGTTGTCCCTGGTTCTGGGTACACGATGGGAAGGGCCATGCGGAGCCATTCTTTGGCAGTGACAGGTTTCACTTCATGTGGGATTACTTGGAGATTCCCCACACTGACTTGGAACTCGTCGGCCCTGTCCCCGGCAAGTTGTGATTTGGCTTTTGATTTAAGTAGTCCGTTGCTGGTTCATGTCAGTACATAGTCAGGAAATTGACGATTGTTTCCGGAATCAAATGAAACGAGTCTCTTTTGATTTGAGCTCAGAATATTGGAGAGGAAAGGCGCAGCAACTTTTTCATTTGAGAAAATGATCCATGTATCGCATTATTAGTGATTTCTCAGATGAGTATTGAATTGCGAGAATATAGACGTCGGCTTCGAAGACCTTCCATTCGCCCAGGCTACCTCGGGCCACATAATTGAAATGTAGTCTGTGATTGATGACTTCTCCAGCTCATGAAGCTTTGTGCACAGCAACCGATGCTGGAGTCTCATGATTCAGGCAGCTAGATAACATCGCGATGCAGTCCAAGAACACCTTCGTCCTCGCAAAACAGGGCATGAACCCGATCCCACCCTTCTATTAGCCGCACAACTGGCATGTTGATAGCCCTGACCATCTCCAAATCTCGCGGCAAGTACGAGTTAAGGTCTTCAGCTGGAGATCCTTTAGAGCGGCCAGCGCTGCTAACCCTCGACTGTGGCATCAGACTCGGGTCGTTCCGCAAGCTGTCTAGGTCCAACCCTTCGTCGCGTTGTTTCTCGACTTGGATAAGGCCACACTCAGCCAAGGCTCTCGCTGGCGGCACCGTCATCCGACCCTTCTTACACACAAATTGCGTGACTGCTGAAGCGAATACGATTCTATCGCCTTTCTGTCCCTCCGACACTGTGGGCTTCTCATCAAGGACAGTCTTGGTCTCTGGGAGCAGAGCACATCGAGCGGGCCTGTCTGTGCGTTTCTCGACAAAGTGTGTGACCATGTATATCCATTTCTCGTCCCAACTGGCGATTCTGGTCCACGTCTCATACGGTCTGTACGGTTTAATCTCTCGGCGGAATGAACATGCGACATTCCCCACAATCATGTTACAGCGCTGGCCATCGATCCCATGCAGGAACAAAGGACCAAGGAGAACACCGCTGAGGTATGCCCGGGAAACGTCCAGGTCGGTGAAGAAGGTCGAGTTGGACTTGTGGAGGTTGAAATCTATCTCCATCAATGGTGATCGGGTAGTTGACACTGCTGGCAGAAAAACGTGATGGGGCTTGAAGATAGCTTTGGCTTTTCGATGAAGAAGCATTCCGCATCCGAGGGCGCGAAAGAACCGAACCTTAAAACCACGTCAGACCTTTCAAAGACAGACTTAGAGAATGTTTGTGCCTACACTCCAGGAAAACGGAATATTTTTTATGTTGAAAACAGCCAACAAGGCTAGCAACCAGATCCAAATCCCCATGTCGAAGGCTGAACGCAACAGGCCTCCAAGGAGAGGCAGAAGGATTGTTCAGAATAGCAAGAGTGAGCTGTGTCGAATGTTTCAAGAGTCCCGAGATTCACAGCCTTGTGGGAGGAACAATTGCTACCGAGTACGGTGATTCATTTGGTAAGGCGGCCCCTGGGACCGCTGCGGATGTACACACATGGACCAGCAATGAAACCCTATTTCATCAACGTGACTACTAATTCTACTATTGTGCAGCGATATCAAACTGTGTGGGGACTTGAGGACCAGTCGAGCCGAGGCGACTTGGATGGTAGTCGGTGGGGAGACGGGCCGCGCGCCAAGGTCATATAGCCGAGGAGAACCACTCCAAATCGCCGAGGAGAAACCACTCCAAATCGCCGAGGTGCTTCTATACCCTCTGCTTTCACCCATCAACAAAAGTCCTCGGATGGCACGTCCACTAATTGAGCATGCAGCGATCAACGAGAAAGCGTTCCAAGGCAGCGTGCCAAGCCTGCCACGACCGCAAGGTCAGGTGCAATCTAGCCCTATCTGGGCCCCCATGCATCAACTGCTCTTTGGACAATGTTGCATGCGAGCCGACGATTCGAAAGAGACACAAGTGAGCAGTCTAGTCCCCAAACCAGTTGACCGCAGCCTCTGATGAGACCACAAGTAGGCCATACAATGGAGCAGAACAGCGACAGACTCCGGCATCGCCATCACTGGCAACGGCTCGTTCTGAACCTGCTGCAGACTCTCTGAACCGCAACGAGACGACAAATGTTGGCCAGCCGTGCAAGACAGGCGAGACTCATGGTCTCGGGGAAATCGCTGTCGACCCTCGCGCTGGAAGACTTGCGGCTCGACGTACCTTTCGCCCATTGACCGCCCATCTCGATCACTATAGACATTCTCAAGAGGCTGAAGATGAAGCCTCACCGACTGAAACTCCAATCTTCGGTACTGTACATTTAATTTCTCAAGATTCCTGCTAGGCCGCCTCCTTACGACCCCCTGCATGCATGCACACAAGCATCACATGCTGACTTTGTCACAGGAGACCCCCGGGGGATTTCGCTAGTGTCTGACATATGTGAGCCAGACAAAGGAGAAAACAGTGGCCACCTCTTCGTCCACACCGCAAGAACAAGGTCTTTGCCCCAGGATGACCTTCACTACCTGCGCGGCAAGGGGGTCTTTCAACTCCCTGATGCTCAAACCTGCGATGCCTTGATTCGAGCGTATTTCCATCATGTGCACCCCTTCTTCCCGGTGGTCGACCCCAAGCCGTTTCTAGAGATTTGCTCGGCAGCAGGGAAGGACAGTTTGAGTATTCACCTGCTGTGGTCCATGTTCCTTGCTGCGTCACCTGTGTGTCACTCCAACGAACGCAATTTCACTCCGGGCTGACATGATTCAGTTCTTGCCTCTAGGAGACATTCAAAATGCTGGGTTCAAAGATCGCAAAGAGATGAAGAGATCGATGTACTCGAAATCCAAGGTGAGTCGATCACTTTAATCTTTGAGTCACTTGCTGAGCCACGTATTTTAAAGGCACTTTACGACGCCCAATATGAAGCAGACAAAATTACATTGATCCAAAGCGTACTTCTCATGTCATTCTGGTACTCTGATACCGAGGACAGGACGGGCCCTCCGCACTGGATAGGCGTTGCCATCAGCCTCTGCCAGACGTCTGGACTGCACAGGAGACCACACGTCGGCATAAACAATGACATGATCAGACGTCAGCAGTTGTGGCGGCAGATATGGTGGGCATGCGTCTACCGGGACGTTTGGTACTCCATGGGGATGGGCAAGCCAATGCGCATCAACCTCGACGACTGCGACACGGAAATGCCAAGCGCGAACGCTGTTCGTGAGGCAATCTCTGAGATCCCCGACGCTACCCAGAAAAAGTATCTTCCTCATGGCATGGATGACCTGTGCAGTCTCTGGCTTGGTCTTTTGAAGCTCACCGTTTCACTGGCGAGTATTCTCTCAACTCATTACCGTGTCAGACGCGTGGCGGATGCGCCAACAGCGGTCCAAGCCGCGGAAGCACAGGTAGTTGCTTGTCGCTTACTGAGCAATCGTCTTGGAGGATCAGAAGATCCTTTAGTTTGGCTACACGCTCAGCTATTCGAGCTCTACACCGAGCAAGTACCAACTACGCCAGCGACCTGTGCTGAGCTAACGAGAGCGCAGATGTGTCTTACTGGTAATCTACAGGCCTTATCTGCTGAATCCTCGCGGTCAGGTTACTGAGGACGCGCTTGACGCATGGCGCATGCCTTTACGTCGGAAAGCACAAGCGGCAGCCACGGCATCCAACACCGTTCTAATGAATATTGTGACGGCCGACATGATCGACCTGTGCCCGAATACCTTGTCAGTCTGATATTATCTTGGCGAAATCGAGCAACCTGACATTTCCCCAGGTGCATGACGCTAGTTCCATCAATGCAGATTCACCTCCTGAACTCGACATCGCCGAGGCGACTTGTACGGCAGGCCGGCCACCACTGTCTCGACTTTTGCCTCAAGGTTCTTCGAGAGCTAAGCATGACGTACTTTAGCGCGGAGGTGATGCTTCAAGTTTTTCTTCGTGCACAGCAAAAGGTGTCGAGGCAAAGACTAGACAGCAATGCCGCTGGCACCCCTGTGCTTAATACGCCAGCCACGTTGGAGTCCAGCGCGGCCGATGAACCAGCACTGTCAGTCGGTCCTGAGAAAGATGTCAACGCCGATCCAACATCGACAGTGTGGTACCCGTTCCTCACGCAAGATGTGTATTTTGGCAATGATGAGTAGGCGTGCTCCAAAGTTCGGCATAAATGTTGTCTCGCTAATCCTTGGAATCAGCTTTTGGATACCATTCGAAGGGGTCCTGTCCGATCTCCCAACGCCCTATGGAGACCAGAATGATGCCACAGACATGCCCGACGCGCCACTTGCTGTCCACCAAAATAGGGTCTAGTTCGTAATAATATCTCTTCTGCATTCTTCTTTGCGATTTCAGAGTCTTGTCACACTCTTTGAGAAATTTAACAAGGGATCAATGTGCACTTTAATTATCCAAGGCCAGCGGGAAGACTACACTATACTTCACCTCTTGCGAAGTATACTAGGATCTGGATAAGCTGCTCCTCTAACGAGCCAGACACGAATAGCGGACGTGGAAGTACTATAGAGAAAAGCGACAAATAAAGACTATATTATACGATAGAAGCCCTGCCTCTATTAAGTTATCTAATTTATATAGCTTTGAAAGGCGATATGAAATAATAATATATACCTAAGATAAGGTTAGCTTATATATTAATTATTTATTAAATAATATTTTATATAATAAAAGAATCTTTATAATAATTTAAAAAAATCCTAAATATAAGTAATTAATCTTGTTTTATTTATTTCAGATTATTCATAGTAGCACGCCGCTAGCTTTATAGCTACACGACTCTTTATACTTACTCTATTATTCTAAGAACACGTAGTTATAGGGCATGCTTTGTTAAACCGAGGCTAAATAATAACGAGTGCGTAAGTAGTCGTTATATTAACATATGCGCATAGTGACTTTAAAATCCAAAGGTGGCGGTGCTGTTAGAAAATGTCAAGGGTTCTATTCGGAAATACTAGCGCTTGGCTGTTTAGCTTAACTATAGACTTAAGTTCTCCGCTCTATACTGAAGTGGCATGTATACTCTTGCTAATAGCTAATCATTCTAACTTGATATCGATGCGAGCGCGTCTCGGACTTAGATTCGTGCGGAGTTCCAACTGTATTAGACGCGATAGTAGACTAGATACTAGATATGACCTTACATTTGTGTGAACTCGGCTGAGTGTCCCCATTGTATACGTTGCCAGGGAGCCGTGCTAGACAATCGAGCTCAGGCGCACTGCTGAAGCCTAGTGGATGCGTTCTCATTGTCACAGTCTCACTCTATATTTCCACTTCTAGAGCTGCTATATCCAAACCCTTGAAACACATTCTGTAATTCCAAAGAGGGAGTTGGGCTCTATTGCGCAGATAGACTGGATTGGATTGCCTTGTCGACCAATCCGCTGACCTATTATGCATCCGACTCCAAGAGCCCTTCGTTCCTCAGGGGACTAATATCGCCAAGGCTACCAAACGTCCGGCGCTAATGCAACCTATTAATATCAATCCAGCCCCCGCCAAGGAATGCTAACGTGAGCCGCAGCCTCGACAGTGCCTCGTCTTCTGGCGGGATTCTTTTATTACGGCCCTTGTCCAGGGCGGCGAATGGAAGAAACAGGAACAGAATGCCAGCGTCTCTCTCTAGGCTATAGCTGTAGGGCTGTGTGCGTATGATCTCGTGTGCTCTTTAGGGGTTTGAAGCTGGTTTTTGGTACTGGGCCACGGATGTTGTATACGTATTCTTCTCGGCGAAGGATATGCCACAGCCTTTGGCTTGAATTCCGAGGGCTCGGAGAAAATTAGCCTTGCTCAATTAGTAGTTGGGGCTTGACACTCTATTACAGGCATGTCCTAGGTGTGCCCTTGCTTCTCTACACGGACCTGGACCGAAATACCGACCCAAAAACGAGTATTCGCCCCGCCATCAACAGATAGAATGGTACTCGCTAGCACGGGTTTAGAAATCCGTTAATTTGTCACTTGATACGTTCAAGGGGGTTTTCTCGCACATTTCGCCTGCCTCCTTATCGACCTACCAGCATCTTAGCAAAGCTTCGTGGCCGACAGCGACAACGTGACTATCCATGTTACACGGCCATCTTGTTTTGTGTCCCACTCGGTATTCCAGTCGGCATTCCAACCGGAATTCCACTCGGTATTCCACTCGACATCCCGCTCGGCATCCCACTTATCCCACTCGGTATCCCACTCCAAAGTGTCCATCACTGCGTGTAGTTTCAGAGACCCATAAGGTCCTCGTTACACATATAGCAGAGAGTAAAAATTATAGCTAAAGTAAGATCAAATAACTTTCTGCGTTAGGTATTAGAGCGTTGGAAAGAGCATGTGCTGAGATATAGCGGTTGGAATACATGGATCTAGGTCCGGCGTGCATAAATGAAAGAGTGTTAGTCAAAAGGTATCGAGGAGCTGAAACAACGCATGTTCACGGCTCTCACGGTTGTTAAAACACCTGGTGTCGCTATATCTTTTGCAATGAACAAGCCACTTGAGTGTCATTCACCGCGGCATATATCACTCACTACGTTAACGTAATCTAGCTGTGTAAAAAGTTTGAGCGTTAACCGCAAGCGGCAGATGTGCGTACCTGATTAGTCAGTCCACCCACTCGAGCACTGTTATTAAGAGGTTTTCTGCTCCCGCGTTTCTTAGGGCGTGGTTCTTTCCTTTCTCCTTCAAAAGATTGATAACAACAATATTCAGTACCTCACAGCATCTGTCGGGAATGTCGTCACCGAGACGAATCGCTGTCATCGGCCATCGTGGCTGGGCGAGCTCAGCCATCTTGGGCGCATTAGCAGCGTCGTCTGCATCTGTCAAGGTTCTCCACCAAGCTGACTCTGATGTCTCCGGTGTGCCTCCCCAAGTTACGACCACTCTCGTGGATTTCGCGGACGTACCCGCGTTAGTTGAAGCACTCCGCGACATCGATATTGTGATGTGAGTGTTGCGCGCGCGCAATCTGCGGCTCTTGCGAAGACGATCATTTAACCAAAACAGCTCCCTCGTTGGCCCCCCTGGAGTGGAGAAGCAACAGGCTCTCGTCAAGGCAATTCCGCAGACAAACGTCCAGCTTTTCTCACCGTCCGACCTGGCTGCTCGTTACGATGGCCAGGGTCTGTCGATTCCAGTGAATAAGGCCAAGTTAGAGGTCGAAAACGCCGCCAGAAGCGCGTGCATACCTATTACGATCGTACTTCCAGGCAACTTTGCCGAGTTTGCGCTATCCACACCGTAAGTCATTCATCATGGGTCAACCCCAATGAACCCTTTGCTAATGTGGTAGGGCAATGGGGATCGACTTGGAGAACAACAAATTGATACACACTATCGACAGTGACAAGCAGTCTCTCAATGTATGGTAAGTACGGCGCTGTGGGCACATTGAGAAATGAAGAACTCGAACCTTCATTCTTCATGTACAAAGTTGACACCAGTACAGCACCAGATCATACGTCGCTGCTGCATATGTCTCGATATTTGCAGAAACACCGATATCACAGCTGAAAGACCGCGTCATCGGCCTTTCGGAGTTGACATTCAGTGGCGACGATCTTGCACAAGCGCTTCACGCAAGGCACGGGAGGTTCCCGACTCTTTTCCGCCACAGCCGTGAAAAGGTAGACTCTGAGATTGAAGCTGCCTTGACGCAAGGCTCGCCTTTTTCTCTTCCATGGTATTGCCGGAAGATTTGGGGCACGGGTCAGCAACGAACGATGATCGGCCAAGACATATGGGAGGTTCAAGACTTTCCAAAGGCTTCCCTAGAGAGTCTGGTCACTCAGGGGCATGTGGAATCGTATCGTGAGCTACCATCCTTCGTGCAGGAGTATTTCAGATCGACATTCGTTGATGGCTAGGGTATGTTAGTACGGAACATTGAAGACAGTGCAATGGCTAGCCTTATGCGCACAGAGGGGTCGAGTCCAGGGAGCCTCGTTGGCGGTGCACTGGACAGGAAAATGGCAATTGCCCTTCTCCGCCCGAAGTCTGTCCAATGTGATGTCACGGCGGTTTTGCAGATTATGGGGCTGTGCAGCCGACTCAAAGCCAAGCCAAGCAGGGTCCTAAACCATGATCGTGCGTCTTAGCGTCTGGTTTCCTTTCTCCCCTTTTGTAAACAAAACCTCAGAATCGACCATCAAAAGCCACACAGCGCGGGGGTATTGCCGAGGGAATCAGCGTCAAGGTCTATACGAGGCCTCAACGTGAGTCTCTCGAGGAAGAAGACCTTTTCGTTGAATTCATTTCTGCGTCAAGAGTCATGTCCAATGACGAGGACCGCGACATTCCTCCGATAATTGACAACCAGTCCAAGACTCAAAAGGCCACGTACCTCCCAGAGAAAAATCAAGCCGACGGCGGCAGAGCAGACAGACTACTAGGCTGCATCAGCCCCAGCTGCCATCGCAGTACCTGGACGACAATGGCAACTTTGGAGGCGACTGACGAACCCTCTGTCTAGTGAATTCAGCTCAACAGTGTCTCCCGTTGTCGTAAGCCCAAGTTTGTTCATGCTGAGCCGTCAGATTGGCTGCAGGACGCCAATGCAAGATCAACTGCGTTGTCAAAAACGTTGTCTACTGGGAATCCGAAATCAGCAGCTGGCGATGTTTACGTGCCTGGGATGCCGGCTTCACTCTGGAAAATCGAGCAACTTGGGAGTCGCATTCAGAGCGGACTTTTGAGATTCTGACCAAGTGGCTCATTGACGTCGACATTTTATGGGTGTCCGAACTGTGGACTTTGGGCGAGTCGAGCAAGTGGTCAACAAGATGGTGCTCGGCGAAGTTTAGTCTGTCTGGGAGGCCGACAACATCCAGCAGAGTTCCAGCATGCTTTAATTGTCCAAGCCCAGCGAGAAGACCATACTGCACTTCAGCCCTTGCGAAGTATGCCCGGATCTGGACAAGCTGCTCCTCCAACGAGCCAGACACGAGGGGCGGACGGTGGTTGAAGTGAAAGTCCGCTACCTGGGGTCCGCTGGGGGCCAGTGGAAGCACTGTCCAGGAAACCGACAAACAAAGACTTTATTGTGAATTGGAATGACCTCCTCTGTCTAGCCATCGAGTTTGGATGGCTTTTGAATGTGATGCATACAACCTGTACCCGAGAGAAGAACAGCCGGCATATTGACTATTTGCTAGACGATATCACGCACAACGGAAGAATGCATGTGGCAACTTCTAGAAATCCCAGACACGAGTGGCTGATCACACTTTGTCCGTAAGATCATCCATACTAGCAGCTAAGACTGAATCGGCGAAGCTATTCATGCCAGGCATGTTTTTGATACTACCATACGCAACATGAAATTGGAATACCTGGCTGGCTGAACCTTTTCAACAAGGAAACGCATCTGGCACCTGTACACAAGAATAATCCCAGCGCGAGCGTGGCGATCAGGTGACGGGTCAGACAAGAACTCATCAAGGGTTGTCCAAGCTATCTGCCTGCGCAGAATAGGTCACCGCACACCTCAGTCCCCGGCAGACTAGCCGTCCTCTTTGCAATAAATATGGACAACATGATCTGGGTCACCACCATGCACTGTCTACGGAGCCGTTGGGATGGTTGAGGTTTTCGAACCAGTTCCCGTCCCGGTCGTTACAAGCACACAGGAGCAGACGGTAGTGCCTCTACCTCGTTCATTCATTGATTCTTGCGGCTCCCGACTTGTTGGCGTTCCTGTATCTTCACTGCGTTCCAGCCGACGCAGAGGATGGACCCATTCTCAACCTCGACAGTCGTTCGGGAGGAGTTGCAGTATCTTGTCAGGTCGGCCCACGCGTCGAAAGAAGTTGCTCTGTCATGGCAAACGTAGATAGAAGGATTCCTCGGTATACCATGTCTTCCATCACACAGCGCCGAAGACACAATCGAAACTCCCTGAATACAACTGGGTCCATGTTGAACGCTTCCTTGGTGAAATCGCCGTGCTCGGCAGGATTATCTCATGTCCCACAAAGTTCTCGTACAACAATTTCAAGTTCCGCCCAACTCGTCCATTGACTAGAACGGCGACGCCACGCCATCGGACATTCTCGTCTGTCCCGACTTTTTGCAACAAACCAAGTTAGTCCTGAGTCTTGGGATCCAAGGCTCAAGCAGGCGTCAGCTAATCCACTTTCGATCGCTTGTGGCTGCTTACTTCCGAATCCAAACTCCCCCATCCAACGACATGGGGTGTGCAAATAAGCACATGGAACTCTGCTTGCTATGCGTGAGAGAGTCGATGACCCGGCGTGCGTGCATCTGATCACGGCTTCGAAAACACTGCGTGCACCCCTCTCACTGACCTCTTCCCGCTCTTATATCAAGGTGCCTACAGTCCTTTGCCGCCAGCCAGTGGGGTGTCTTGTCCCGCGATGTGTTCTCTCACGCAATAGTCGAGAGGACAGTCAATCTGTCCACTTCCGGATACGAACTGGGACACGATAGGGCAGAGAGTATCAAGGTCCCGTTACAGTGAATTTGCTTGACGCGTGGCCAAGCGTGGCCAAGAAGTGTTGACAGCCCTCGTTTGTTCATATAGCTCATCTCACAGATAATCAATGTCTCAGACTCTTTTGCTTTGGCACATCGAACCATGACGTCGCTCCACCGAAAAGGATAAGGAAATTGAAAGCAGAAGCATTCGCGACCTTTCACGATACACACCGCGTTCAATTCGGTCCTGATTCTTTTTATAGACTGCCGACTCATCAGGCTTTCGTTTCAAGTAACTTGAGTGTCCTACACTACCAAATCAAGGCTCTATCCTTTGGTTCCGACAATGCCCTTACTCGATTTGTCGAAAGTTAAATACAGATATAATCATACTCTCCACTCAGTGTACCTTGGCTTGGCTGCGTAGGCCTTCGAATCGTGCATTGCTCCCACTCGTCCGTGTAACAGTATCCACCACTGCATGTTCCCTTGTTACATTGGCCGGAAGAGACTTCCATAAGGGGGTACCACACAATATATCCGCTTCCGTTGTCCGGGCAGTCGATCGTGATAGTAGTCCTCAGCGACGTCTCGACCGCCTCGCTGTACTCGGCGGAGAAGGACGCGCCAATGTCAACAGCATCCTTGAGACCAGCAGTTACATCCAGGCCAACACTGTATGTCTCGGTAACAGTGACGGACTTTGTCTTGGAGCACGAACCGCCGTTAGGGAGAACGTTGTCGCACACGTTTTCCCTGGGGCCGCGAATATCTCTTATAGATGAGAAGAAGCCATCCCATCGGCTGTTGGCAATAATACGACACGCGATGCGGGCAGTCTCATGGTGCACCCCCTCCTCGTCAATTGTTGGCAGGACCAGGAGGACATTGTCGCCATCGGCGTCATGTGGGTGCTTGAAGTAGATATGACGGATCGGGGGATGAGGAGGTGCGAACGGCTGCACGGGCGGTTTCACCGTGACTTGTCGTGCGGCCATGGATGGACTCTTGTCCGTGACTCCCGGGCCGTGTTGATGGTGGAGACGCGCGAGCCACGTAGCGGATCAAATCTGTAACGAATTTGCGCCACACCTAAATTAATGGCCTTAGCCACAGGACTGCCGCCGCTACCTTAGCGCGATTCTCCCGTGTCTCCACGTGATGCGCGCTAGTGCAGATTACCTAAGCAATGACGCGGCACTGCGGGGGCCGGCATTCGTTCAAAGTTCAAACTTCGATTCGCCTTCAACCTCGGAGAAATACCATAACGGCTTCAAACAGTGCAGGCATACCGAACATGCGACCAAGCATTGTGCCGTGCAGCCGGGACTGGACCTAACAGCTTCCAGACTCTTCTTGCTGGAGTTTGACAGCGTCGATTATTAAGGTCACCTCTTTTTCCACCAATTGACCAAGCTGCTTTTTGCAGCTTCGTGTTTCAGTTTCAGTACTCAATCTCGGGTGCTAGGAAACAATGTGGCCCTCAATCTCGAAACACCATGCCGGTATGCCGAACCCAGTTCTGCGCCGGCATTTTCATCCAGAACAAGCCATGTTTGCGGTTGAACGGCATTTCAGATGCGCTGTTGGCTAACAGACAGAGCTTGGCATGCTTATCATCTACTGTATAAAGAGATGGTTTGGGTTGACGATTGTTGACTTGCTTCATTGCATTGCAAGTTTCTTGTGCTCTTCTTCACTTCACTTTTTACATACTCTATCTTGTTTCTTCATTTCGGCAATATCGTATTCGACATGTTCCCCTCACTTCTCATTCTCAGCGGCATTGTGGCATCCGCTCTTGCGCACCCTGCTCTCGAGGCTAGGGCTAGCTGCACCTTCACCGACGCTGCCACTGCTATCAAGAACAAGGCTAGCTGCTCGACCTTGATCCTCGACAACATTGCTGTTCCTGCTGGAACTACTCTGGACCTGACAAAGCTCAAGGATGGCACACACGTGAGACGATTTGATCATCAGCTTTGGTGCCGAGTCTAACAGGCTGAATAGGTCATCTTCCAGGGCAAGACCACCTTTGGCTACAAGGAGTGGGAAGGACCCCTCATCTCCTTCACCGGAAACAATCTGCTCATTGAGGGCGCCTCTGGCCACTCTATTGACTGTGAGGGTCAGCGATGGTGGGATACCAAGGGCAGCAACGGTGGCAAGAAGAAGCCCAAGTTCTTCAGCGCCCACAAACTCGAAAATTCCAACATCAAGAACTTGAACGTCCTCAACACTCCTGTCCAGGCCTTTAGCATCAACGGTGTCACCAACCTTGCGCTTTACGATATCCACATGGATAACTCGCTGGGTGACACCAAGGGTGGACATAACACAGACGCCTTCGACGTGGGCGCGTCCACTGGCGTATATATCTCTGGTGCTGTTGTCAAGAACCAGGACGACTGCCTAGCCATCAACTCTGGTACCAATATCACTTTCACCGGTGGGACCTGCAGCGGCGGCCATGGTCTGTCCATTGGATCAGTCGGTGGGCGGTCCGATAACGATGTCAAGACCGTTCGCATCCTCGACTCGTCCATTTCTAACTCGGACAACGGCGTCCGCATCAAGACTGTCTATGGAGCGACTGGCTCTGTCTCCGATATCGTGTACGACTCTATCAGCCTTTCCAACATCGCCAAGTACGGCATTGTGATTGAGCAGGATTACGAGAACGGCTCCCCCACTGGCACCCCTACCGCCGGTGTGCCTATCACTGATGTCACTATCAACAAGGTCACCGGCTCGGTCAAGTCCAGTGGCACCAACGTTTACATTCTTTGTGCGAGCTGCAAGAACTGGACCTGGACGAATAACAAGGTGTCTGGTGGTAAGACCTCGTCGAAGTGCAAAGGCGTCCCCAGCGGAGCGTCTTGCTAGGACTTGCTTGAGGGGAAAGAGGGGCGCCAATGGTTGCGTGAGTACAAGAGACGTAGCGGGCTACTCTCGTTTGTGTGACAGTTTCAATGTACCTTTGTGGGCCAAGGCCCAGGCGTCTCTTTCTGAGAGCTGGATTGCTTTCAGCGCGATCGAGCGCTGTTGAAACCACTTTCCCACTTCCCTTTTGTCGTGCGCCCACGAGATTCCGAGTACGTTTATGCGTTCGGGAATTCCGACTCCATAATAAAACGCTAGTAGGAACGCCGCGGATGCTGCCGCACGACTCGGTGTTGAGGGTGTCAGCCAGGTGCATTGGCGTCAGCCGGGTGCATGAGGGCCAGGGTTCATGTTATTATGCTCGCCAAAGGACGGTAACGCAGCCTTTCAAAATACTTAAATTCTCAATTCTCACTGCGGTCAGAACCCCATGAGGTTGCACCCACCAACTCAAAATGCAAGACAAAACCTACATCATCACCGGTGCGGCCTCTGGCATAGGCCTCGCAACAGCGCAACAGCTTCTCTCCCGTGGCGCGAATGTCAGCGCCTGCGACATCAATGAGGCCAATCTCGACTCTGTCTATCAGCCATTAGTGGCCGAGTATGGAGAAAGACTACACTACGGCCGTGTCGACGTCACCAAACGTGACCAAGTCAAGGCCTTTATCGAGGCCACGCAACGAAAGTTTCGCACATTGGATGGATACGCGAACATTGCCGGAACGGGCGGACTTCGACTCGGCCACGACGCAATTTCTGACACGCCTGATGAAGAGTACGACTTCATTATGGACCTGAACGTGAAAGCAACATTTATTGCGCTTGGTGAGGTTCTTAAACCTGGTATCTTCCAGAACCACGGCAGTGTCGTGTGCGTCGGCAGCATGTTTGGACAACGCGGGTTCAAGAGAGGTGCCGTGTTCGCCGCATCAAAACATGCAATGGTCGGATTGGCAAAGAGCGTGGCTTTGGAGGTCGGAGAGCGAGGTATAAGGGTGAACGTTGTCGAGCCGTATGTCTTATTTCCCTCGTCCGCTTCTTCCCAGTTTTCAGACCTTCTAACCATCATGTGTGCGTCCACAGGGGAGCAATCGATACGCCCATGCACCAGCGGAACATGGACAACAACATGCCCGATCCGACACCTCAGAATCCTCTACCGCGGCTAGGAACACCGGAAGATGTGGCAAATGTGATAGTATTCCTGTTAAGTGACCAGTCTCAATATGTGACTGGTTCGACTTATGCCGTGGACGGTGGCGCAAATACTTGATTAAATATAAGAGATAATAAGGGCGAAGAGAATATTAAGAGACATCTCGTAAGGCTGTCTCAAACGTTACTTTCCTTCTTCCGCTTGAACACTTTCAACCGAGTGTAACGTCGGGGTCGGGGTCGGGGTCGGGGTCGTGGTCGGGGTCGCGTCGCGTCGGACTTTTACGGATTTCCGCTGACGAAAGAGGGCCAGAAGAGCGTCCCCTCAATCAAATCGTCACCGTCATCATCTATCAAGAGCCTGCATCATGCAAGTCCAGAATTCCAGATACACAAAGCGGCTCGGGCGGGAGTCGGGCAGTCAACGAAATGTGGAGGGTCGATGGGAATGCTTCCACAATCTAAGCGAGGATTTCCCTGGTATAGGAAGAACACTCAAAAGATAGGCGAGCATAGTATAGAGCCGTCAGTTCGGAGCCTCTATATATTGAAGACACTGAGGGTAGGCTTCTTTGCTGTTGGTGACCGGACCAATAGTCTGCTGCGCTCCACATACTCGGCTCACAGATGGGACGGGCCGCGAGGGCAGAAGCGGATGATGCAGAGGGAGGCTTGGGAAGCATCTAAATGCCGGGTGTCGGTAATCGAACGCTTTACTAGCGTCTTAGAGTGGGTTTCCATGTTCTTTCGTGCGGACATTTGCAGAATGCCGAAGCGGCCAAGGCTTAGACTTAGATTGCCGATCGGTCTGTCGCCCATCAACCTGCGGGTCGTCGGTGTCCAATGTTACCTTGATGTTAGCGTTCGGAGACCTTCTCCTCACGATCATCCCACCCGCTGGCCTTGGGTTGGATGGGATGCGGTAACACTGCATTTGCATGAAGCTCGCGACCAGGCAGGACGGCCGAAAGACCGTTGCTATTCCATCGAGCTCTAACTCCGCTCGGGTCTAGGCGGGCATAAGATCAGGAGATCGATACTTCTCACCTAGACCAAGGTTAGTATAAGTACCGTCGTCCATCTGCCCTCTGAGCTCTTCAAACTCATCCACTACACTCGACAGGCCTGCTGTCAGAACCCAGTACAAGCCCCAGGCCATTCAACTACCCAGACAATCGGCTTCCTACCAGGCTACCATTGCAAAAGTCCACAATGACTGTCGACGCAAAGGACACTCCGAAGCCTCGCTTTTGGCTCCTCACTTCGCCCCGCACTGCCTCCAATCTGCTCGTCAAGATCCTCAACCTGGAAGCGCAGGGCATCCGACCTGCCTATGATGGCGGTTACTTTTTCATGAAATCTGCGGTCAAACGATTCCAGACATGTCTGCAACCCCTTAGCACCTGGGATGAACAGGCGATCCAGGAGCTGCGAGATGCCCAGCAGTCCGCTTTCGACGATCTCCTGAACTACATCCAGGGCGCCGAGGCGGAGGACCAAAAGATCTTTGTCAAGGAGCACGTCTTCATGATGAATGACCCGTACTTTGAGAGCGAGTATGAAGAAGGCAAGGCGAGTTATGTTGGGCAGCCGACGCCGCTCACTGTCCAGGGCTTGGAGAATCCGACCCGTTCTCCCAAGAACCTCACCTCCATGCCAGACGAGTTCCTCAAGACTTGGAGACCGACCTTCCTCATCCGCCATCCCGCCATGATGTTGCCATCGCTTTACCGTACCGCCGCCGCTGATATAGAGGTCGAGGGTTTCAGGCGACCCAACAATGAGCCGGTGCCTCGGGAGGTCACCATGAAGTGGATCCGCACCCTGTACGAATTCTTCGCCGACTTCTACGGCGAGGGGAGCCAGTGGCCCATCGTCCTCGATGCCGACGACTTCATCAAGGACCCTGCGCTGATCGCCAAGTACGCTCCGCTGGTCGGCCTGGACGCTGACAAGCTCCGCTTCTCGTGGGACAAGACCCCCGAAGAGGAGATAAAGAAGAGGAACGCGATGGCGCAGAGGATGCTGAGCTCCATCAGTGCCAGTACCGGCATCGACAATTCCAAGCTAGCGGGTGACGTCGACATTGACGCCGAGGCTGTTAAGTGGAGGGAGGAGTTTGGCGACGAGGGCGGCAGGAAGCTCGAGCAGTGGGTTAGGGATGCGATACCCGATTACCGATTCCTACACTCTAAAAGGTTAAGGATTTAGTGAATATGCACGCATTCACTTAATAATTCACTTAATAGCACGCTAACTTCGCTCGTTACGGCGCCGCAACTCCGCCGCTCGTACCCACTTGTACCCGTAAACTCCGTGGACACGGATCTATTACTAACTTTCTATCGTCGACTAATCGCTCCTTCCGTCCACGACCTTCCACTAGATTAGTAAGGACTAAAGGGGCCTCGGCCTAATACAACTTGGTAGTATCTACGTAGTAGATCCGTAGCTCCATAGGCCTTACGTCACGACAATTATCCTCACTGAATATATATCCACAAGCTCTCCTCTACGAACATTACTTGTACGAACATTCCTACTACGTAACTACAGTCTGCTTCCCAGAATCCTTTTTCCTGCAATCACGCTTACCCCTACCCCTACACCCAAATCATATCCATCATGACCACCAAAGCCGTCGTCTTTGTCGAAAAGGGCAAGGCAGAGGTCCAGGACGTCCCTGTGCCCAAGCTGCGCGATGAGTACATGCGCGTGAGAGTCAAGGCCGTCGGCCTCAACCCCACCGACTGGAAGCACATTGACATGGCCATTGCCGATGCCGGCGCCCGGATCGGATGCGACTACTGCGGCGTCGTGGAGGAGGTGGGCAGCAAGGTGACCAAGAAGTTTGCCAAGGGTGACCGCGTCGCCGGCTTTGCGCATGGAGGGTGAGTCTTCGCTGGGCCATCAAATAATAATCAGCCTTGCTCAAGTTGGCGCTGACAAGTTGAGCGCAGCGACCGCACGCAGCATGAGAACGGCGCCTTTGGCCACCAGATTGTCGTCAAGGGCGATGCCCAGATCAAGCTGCCGGACAACGTCAGCGACACGGACGCTGCCACGCTTGGCGTCTCCGTCGTCACAGTCGTACGTAAAACCGACTCGCCTTGTCTTCTCGCCCGCTAACGCCAACAGGGCCAAGGACTATACCGCACCCTCGGTCTGCCCCTGCCCACCGAGCCCGCCCACAACGAGGACTACGTCCTCATCCACGGCGGAAGCACAGCCACAGGCATCTATGGCATCCAGTTCGCCCGCCTCTCCGGGTACAAGGTGGTCGCGACCGCGTCGCCTCACAACTTTGACTACCTCAAGGGGCTAGGCGCTGAGCAGGTGTTTGACTACAAGTCGCCCACTGTCGGCGAGGACATTCGCAAGTACACTGACAACAAGCTCAAGCTGGGCTGGGACTGCACCGGCTCTGGCAGCAAGATCATCGCGGGCGCCCTCAGCAGCGACGGCGGCAAGTACGCCGCTATCATCCCCCCTAACGAGGACGAGATCAAGAGCGTCAACCCCAACGTGGACGGACCCCACAACACACTCGGATATGCCGTCCTCGGCGAGTCCTTTTCCAAGTTTGGCAAGGACTTCCCCGCCCAGCCCGAGGAGTTTGAGTTTGTCAAAAAGTTTACCAGCATTGCCCAGCAGCTCCTCGTCGATGGCAAGCTCAAGGCGCCGCGCGTTATCCTGAACAGGGGCGGGAGCGGCCTCGAGAGCGCCCTCAAGGGCCTGGACGAGCTGCGGGGGAATAAGGTTAGCGGTGGAAAGCTCGTCTATACTTTGTAGGGAATTTAATGCAATGGGGATTGAAGAGTCGAGTCTGTTGATAGACGACTAGACGGGATTCTGTTCTTAGTGAGGGCCCTTACTATTTGGTGTCAGACTGGGCAATGTGTAAAGAGGAACTTGGGATGGAGGCATTTTATACAATCGCTTCTCTCTTGCCCCCGCTCCTTGCTCTCGGAAAAAGGCAGAGCACTGCAGCCTGCAGGTTAATACGTTTGCCAGTCGTTGTTGGTTCGCAAGAGTGGATTTAGCAAACAGGCACACCGTCCACACGCTTTCCCCGCCCATGGTCTCGACTTTTGAATCTATTACTCTCTTGCTCCAACAATCCTTCTCTCATTTGATTACCGTCGCTCCATCAATGTCGACCTTGCGACTATGGGGCCATCATATGAGCTCTACGATGATGAGGCATGGGACCGCGGTGAGGCTATTTTTGTGGCCATGGAGGATAAGCTTTAGAATGAGGACCTTTACTATGAGATTGCCAGGTTCGTCACCAAGCACCGAACGGGCGGCAGCCCAATGAAATTCTTGCCCCCGAGGATGGGAGGTTTCAACTTCCACTACCGTATCCAGTATTCCGACGGTCGCTCTGCCATCATTCGCTTCCCCCTCCCGGGCTTCTTCCAGATGGCTGAGGAGAAGCTATGTGCCGAGGTAGCTGCAATGCGGTATATCGCCGATAACACGACTATACCTGTGCCTTTTGTCCTCCACTACGGCATGGCGCACGAGAGCCCAGGGGCGCTGGGTCCCTTTATAATCATGGAGTATATGGACAATTTTGGCGATGTTATTGATATGCTCAAAGCACCTGATCGACCCTTCGGAGAAAAGCCAGTTCTAGACCCAGACATGGAGGAAGAGAAACTCGAGTACATGTACAGCCAGATAGCCGACATTATGCTCCAGCTGGCCAAGTGCGACTTCTCCCAAATTGGATGTCTTGGGATGCGGAATCACAATGACGAGACTGACAATGTCGACCCGGAGGTCACCTGCCGCCCGATGTCGTTCAATATTGCCCAGCTCGGGGAAGTAGGAGGTGTTCCTTATTTTGAGCTGCCCGCCGTCTCCAAGACCTTCTCTACCTCTTCCGAATACTACTCTGCTCTGGCCGATATGCACCTACAGCAACTCTCCTTCCAGCGTAACCAAGCTATCAAATCAGCCGACGACTGCCGCAAGAAATACATCGCTAGGTGAGACATAAAAGCCCCGTCATGGTGAAATGTCCATTCCACATCAGGCGATCACTAACTCTTCCTGGAGGCAACTATTCCGCAAGCTGGCCGCCGAGCGTCGCATAGCGTCATCGGACACGGACCTCGGCCCTTTTAAGCTGTGGTGTGACGATCTCCGCCCAGGCAACATTCTCGTTAACGCCGACCATCGCATTGTCGGCGTGATTGACTGGGAGTTCACCTACGCCGCCCCAGCCGAATTCATATACTCCCCGCCGTGGTGGCTCCTCCTCGTCATGCCTGAAGAGTGGCCGGAAGGACTCGATGACTGGGCTGCCAAGTACGAACCGCGACTCAAGACCTTCCTCCGTGTCATGGAGGCCAAGGAGCGCGAGCTGGTGGATTCAGGCCGTCTTCACGAGTCCCAAGTGCTGTCAACGCACATGCGCCGTAGTTGGGAGACGGGTGGCTTCTGGCTCGCGTACGCGGCACGCAAGTCTTGGGCGTTCGATGGTATCTTCTGGAGGAGCCTCGACGAGCGGTTCTTTGGGAAAAATGCGGGCGGCTTCATAGAGAGGCTGAAGCTTCTGCCGTCAAAACAAGTCGCTGACATGGAGGCTTTTGTAGAGAGGAAGATGCGAGAGAGGGAAGAGTGCACCTTGATTGATTGGTACGCCGAGGACGCAGAGTCCAAGCTGCCGCCAAACGTCATTGAAGTACTTACATGTAGTCCCACAACAACGGCTACGAGTCAAATTGACATACGACTTGGAGGATTATGCTCGAAATAGATTTGGGGTGTTCTGAATTAACATATCTGTTTTCGTTTACTTGTAGACGTGGCGTACAGTGTGCCAAGAAGGGCGTTGCAACTTACAATTGTAGCGGACGGAGAGGAGACCTTAATAGACACTGCGTACTAGAAAATAGCGCCATGATTCTGGTTACTGTAAGAGGTCCTTTCTTTTGACAATAATAGCTTTCAAGGTCATTCGCACGGACATGGAAGACTGTGAATTATAAAGTGCTTACGACGTTGGGCGTCCGCACCATTGACTACGTAGGGTAACCAAGCCCAGACAAAGCACCCCGCACGGGCCGCCCCGCGCCCGCAATCATAGGGCGGGGTAGCTTATCTAAATATAGTTTCGCACGTTGCTCTATACCATTACGAAGTAATAAGATCGCTAAATATTGAACTCTAGATGTTATTCTTCACTAGGACCTAGCTCTTGCTATCATGGAGTTCCTCCATATCCTCGCGCTCGTGGCCACCGCCATTTGCACATACCTTCTCTACTTGCGATTCACCACAGATGCTACTCTGCCTCTTCCACCTGGGCCCAAACCGCTGCCCCTCCTAGGCAACATCGCCGACTTCCCTCCCGCAGGCGTGTCCGAGTCTGAGCATTGGATCAAACACAAGAATGCGTACGGCGGCATCTCTTCCGTTACTGTCATGGGCATGACGCTGGTCATAATCCATGACAAAAAGATGGCGCACGATCTACTGGAGCAGCATGCTTCTCAGACGTCTGGACGGCCCAGGATGGTCATGGCGAACAAGCTGTGCGGCTATGAGTCTATTGTGCTCTGCCAGGGGTATAATCCAACCTTCAAGCGCTGCCGGAAGCTGCTTCACCGCGAGTTAGGGACAATGAAATCTGCGGCCCAGTTCCTGGGCGTCCAGGACATGGAAGTCAAGCGACAGCTCGTGCGCGCACTCAATGAGCCCGACAGATGGCTAGATCACTTCAAGACGTAAGAACCTGCTACCTTGTCGTAAGCCTTTATCATTAATCAAGAGTCTATTTAGGACTGCTGGCGCAACTGTGCTCAAGATGGCGTACGATTACGTAGTTGAGCCTCACAAGCCGGATCCCCTCGTCACCCTCATCGACAAGATGATGACCGAGTTCTCGCTTGCTGCTTCCCCCATGGCCTGGGCAGTGGACATTTTCCCTATACTACAGCACCTTCCGGAAGGATTTCCAGGCGCAGGATTCAAAAAGACAGCCCGCAAGTGGCGACGCAGTATTGAAGCCACCGCTTACATCCCCTATCACTTTGTACTGCGTCACATGGATGCCCACACAAACAACCCGTCCTATGTCTCGAAGCTTGTGCAGCAATGCAAATTGGAGACAGGTGGCGAGGAACTCGGGCAAGAAGATTCTGAGGCTATCGCCTGGACAGCTGCTAGCTTATACGGCGCGGCCGCTGATACCACCGTCATTACTTTGACCGCCTTTACCCTGGCCATGCTCCAGAATCCAGAAGTCCAGCAACGTGCCCAGGCTGAGATTGACCATGTTGTTGGTACCGACCGTTTGCCTACCTTTGCGGACCGCGACAATCTCCCCTACATTACAGCTCTAGTCAAGGAATCGACACGCTGGTGGCCTATTTCGCCAATGGGTTTCCCTCATACTGTGACTGAAGCTTTCGACTATAACGGCTATCATATTCCCAAGGATGCCATGCTTCTCCCCGCAGTGAAGTGGTTCCTCCATGATCCCTCGGTATACGCCGATCCTGAGCAATTTGACCCTGCGCGTTTCCTGAGCCCACGAAACGAGCCCGATCCCACGGTGGAGGCGTTTGGATACGGTCGCAGGATTTGCCCGGGTCGCTTCTTCGCCGACCAGAGCCTCTTCCTTAACATTGTCCATTCGCTCGCCTGCTTCAGTATCCGACCATTGCTGGACAGGGCGGGCGAGCCAGTTCCAGTAGATGCCAAGCCCAAGCCGGGCATCTTGAGCTACCCGACAGCGTTTGACTTCAAGATCGAGGTAAGAAGTGAGAAGCATAAGAGCTTGATCCTAGCAGCTGGAGAGGAGGTGCCGCTGGAGCCTAGTGATGCTCGCCATCTAGAGAGCATAGAAAACTTTGAGGCAAAGTAATTTCGCGAACTTGAATATATCCTTTATTTACCTCCGGAACACGAGACATATATCTTACCTACCAGTGCTTCGGACCGATAATTTCACCACTATTTGGATCCAATGTCTTCGTAACGGCCGTCCCCAGTGCGTCAAGATTATTAAAGGGCACGGTATTTCCCCACCACGAGGGGAAGTCTGTGCTGCTGAGCCCGAGACCGATGCCCGAGACAACGATGCAAAGAGCTGTGCCGATATCGAGCGCGCCGGACAGAGTGAACGTGTATTGGGCTGGATTGATATGTCAGTAATTTGTAGCCAGGTAGAGGTGGCAGGATTCGGGGATACGTACACCACCAGCCAAGGTAGCGCCTCTTAATCCACCAGTTGAAAAAGAGTCCAACAATAACATACTGACCGAGGTACCTGTACAATGTCTGTTAGCACTTGGGAGGACGCGAGCAGGGGAGTAGGTCTAGACTTACCACATGGTCGCGGGGGGGATCATGCCAGCCGCACCAAAGACAGCCGGGAAGAAGACGTATCTCACCCAGCTTCGCGGGTATCTTTTGGCGATGAAGTACTGGATCACAGGGAGGGCAAAGCCAATGAACCAGAACCAATTGATCCAGGAGTATATGCTACCAGCACCAAACACGATACGGGGACCCTAGACATTGGTTAGTGGTGAGCACACGTGACGTTTGGTTTGAGGAATACTGACAATAACACCCCAGATGACACTGGCATTGTAGAATGTGCGCGCATAGGCGCAGGTGAGGCCCTGGGGCTGGTCCTCTGTGCAGATTCCGTCAATGTTGCCACGCAGGAAGTTGTACACGGCCATCTGGACAATGGAGAGCCAGAAGACAGCAAAAGCCTGTGCCGCAAACATGCTGCGGGGGGGAATCTTCATATAGTGGCCGACTTTCATGTCCGAGATATATTGCAGGCCGTTGTACGTCGACATGTAGGCGTAGCTCTTGAACAGCATCATGGCGACGGGGCGGCCGGGGAAGATATATCCAAAGATCATCTCGGCCACAATGTTGAGGCCTGTCTGCTGGTTGGTGATGGCCTGGATAATGCCAATGGGGATCATGAAGAAGGCCGGGATGGCGATGGCGAGAATGTACATGTACCACGTCAGATGGGTGCTCCAGGCGATCGACGCGGCCATGCCCGCGCCAAAGCTGATAGCAAAGACAACCAGGTACCACCACTCTGGGGCCTCCTTGTACTTGCGCATCAGCTTGAGATGAATGTCGGCCTCCTCGTAGCGAACGTTGCGGGCGCGTCGCCAGATATCGGGGCCATAGAAGACGGCGACGTGCGTGAGGGTGGCCGTGAGCGCGGCAAAACCCATGCCGTAGCTGAGCGAGAAGGCGGGCCCCAGCAGAATGGGCGAGTACTCCTTGTAGGCCGTCACGTTCATCGTGTAGTCTGGGTTGAGAATCAACGATGTGTTGTAGGGCTGGGCATGGTTGTCGTAGTTCTGGTTGGCGGCCAGGGGCAGGTATCGGTAGTAGTCGGGGCCGGCCCAGGCAAGCCCAATGACACCGATGAACATGATGACAATGCCGAAGCCGACATTGGCAATGGCAAAGGCGGGTGTCTGCAGCGGGCTCAGCAGGAACCCGGAGATGACGTTCCAGTCGAACGAAATGGGGAGGAGACCCAGGCCCGTCTGGCCACCAAAGACCTGGTTGACGACGACATTGTTGGGGGCGATCCAGCAGGCAAACATGAAGAGCTGCAGGAACTGCGCGAAGACTTGGGGAACCCACTCCCAGACAAAGGTGAGCAGGGCGACCACCAGGAAGAACCTATAGCGACCAATCTTCCAGCCGTTGGTCTGTGCCGGGTCCGAGGGCCTGTGGTCATGCAGCGAGTACATGACGGTCGTCGTGATAAGAACCGCGGGCCATACCATGGATGAGGGCCAGACGAGGAAGCGACGCGACATGCCGGCCATACCGAACCCCATGGCCTGGGTAGACATGGTGAGCAGGATCTGGTACCCCCAGCTGAAGTGCTGGCCGTAAAAGATCTCCTGGGCGAGCAGGATGTCGATCGTGTACGAGGCTATGGACCCGGCGGCGGTCATCATGGTGATAATGGTATGCTCCTTGACGTTGAAGGGGCCTGGGTTGAGAGAGAGCTCGTGGCCAAAGAGGCGAAAGGTCTTTGCGGGCACCACGTTGGCCCAGCCGCAGCCGATGGGGTAAGCAATCAGCTGGACGACGGTGGAGGTGATGGTCAGAGGTGCGCGGCGCATGTTGAGCAGCACATTGCAGGCGGCGACGATGGTGCACATGAGGGCGCCAATGGTCCACGCGCGGATGGTGTTGATGGGCATGTCCGTGTCCGTGGGGGGCACCGAGATGCGAACCTCGTAGTAGGGCGAATCCTCTTGGATGAGGGACTCGTCGAGTGCAGCCTCCTTCTCCGGATCGCCCGAAGCGATAGCTGCGTCGATGTTGTCGAGCTTCTCCGTTTCGAGAAAGGGATCCCACTTGTGCTGCTTGGAGAAGTTACGCAGCTCGCCATCGGCATTGCCAACCTCGCCCACGCCGGGAAGGACGTCGGAGCCAGACGCCTCGACGCCGTCGATAGGCCGCGCCCGGGTGCGGAAGACGTCCTTGATTCCCATGGCGGTGGATATGGGGGTCTCTCGGTGACTATGTGGCGTTTGATTGTTGGGTGCTCTCACGCGCTGGCTCTGGCATAGGGCAGGGAGGCGAGGACGCAATACAACAGGGGGACTGCCCGGTCTCATATACACGACGCATCGCCGCACGTGGAGATCATGGCACTGTGGGAGCACGCGGAGGGCCGTCAAGGTCCAAGGGCCTCGGTATGGCAATCGAAAGGCCGCCACCCTCGACAGGACCTCGCGTTCTGCCGCTCGAGCTGGTTTCCTCACATCTGTTATCTCCAAAAGTTCCTCTGCATGGCGACCACTCTTGTGAAAGGGTGCCGGAATCCGTGTGCTGGCCCCCCAAAACAGCCTTGATAGGGATGATGTGGCGCAAGAGACGCGGCGATACCTACGTCCGTACACGTACACGTATTGTGACAGTTGGGCCAAGCCGGGTCGGATCAAACGTACATACGTGGAGGGAGGGACCCTTTGTCGTGGTATCAGCAGCGTGCCGCACAACACGAATGCAACACCAGGACCAACAGGCAATGATAGCTGTGGCACCACCAGGTGGATGGCGTATACTACCACATGCGTTGGTCTTTTGTTTGGCGGGAGGGAGCCCACCCTAGACTGACTTGGAGTTGGGACTCGAGACAAAAGGTCCCATGGCACACTGCTGCCGGCGGGCGGCCAACAAGTGCCGTGGCCTGGTTCCAGTCCAGTCCAGTCCTAATGCACGCCATACATAGTCTTGACACTTTTCGCCTTCCCGGCTGGGGGTTAGTCGCCGCGAGAGGATGCATGTCCCCTATCGGCCAACTTGACCTTCGCTCTGATTCAGTGGTCGATTGCGGTATGCTTGGACGCGGCGCGATCGCGGTTTTCATGCTCCAGGCAGGCTCAGGCAGCCCTGGCAACGCAGATCAACCACGCAGTTGGTCCAGTTGTGGAGGAGACATAGGTAGGTGGTATCAATCAAATGACTGGAATGCGGTCGATTCCGCGGATTCCGCTGTTTCTGGTGCCCAGGCACATGTCCGTATTTTCCTAACTGGGTCGGTAGTTGATGCTAATAGGTAATGCGCGCATCGTCATGTCAGCACTCTATCGGTCTTCGGCTGAGACGGCATGCTATCGAAGATCTTTTAGCGGCATGGCACGAGCTCGACCCGCACGTCCGTTCGGTTCGTGGGGTCGCGACAGACCTCGACACCTCATTCGACCAAGGACTTGACAGCCGGCGAGGAACTTTTAGAATCCTGTCCGAAAGGGTCGTAGTGGCGTCCAGGCCATAATCTGGGGCCGGTTACAACTTACGACTTCTAGATACCGTCGCCGAGGCATCTGCCACGCGGTCGCGGATGCGGCGATTAGCGCTGTCCAAGCCGACACTGCGATGGCTTTGGTTTCCCCGAGGGCACTTTGGACAAGTCACTTGACGAGAAGCAAAGGGGCTTGTCGGTATCCATGATGCGCTGGATCTGGAAGGTCGAGTCTCGCAGTTCAGGACGTTGGCGGGTCCCGTTGGTCCTTGCGCAGGTGCCTCGACGAAAGCACGCCTTGGGGTTACGTTACTGGGCGTTTTGCATCAGTCTCTCTAGACAGGACTGTCTCTTGCGACCGCAGAGCGCCTCGCTTATTGTATCGCCCTTCTATCCTCGTCTTGGGCACGGAGATTACGCAAGGGGCGACAAACACTTTGGCTCATGCAAACTTATCGGCGCAATGGCTTCCCCCCGAAGTAATGCCAATCATGCAATATCACCTAGCCAGGATGCGGCTGCTGGCGCGGGTGGGACACCAGTGGCAGCGAGTCGTCTAGTCGCGCGTAGTGGCCGATATCAATCTGCCGCTTGGTATTATTCATGATGTCTTTGTCAGTACCGCCGCCGCGTTGTTCGGTGCTGCGCAGTGTCGCTGATGACCTTGTTGCTTTCGACGTATTGAGTTGTGGGCAAGGATGTCCGCGCAAGACGTCGTCCGCCTCTGTCCTGCGAATGACGCTCCATCTCACGCTGTGGCGCACTCTGCGTGGCGTGTTCTCGATCAGTCGCTGCAGAGGTTGTTGCTGTAGTGATTTGTGGTCGTCTTGCGTGGGTCGCTTACGTTTTCGATGGTATTTTTGCTTCATTGGCCGTTGTTCTGGTGTTCCCGTGCGGTCGTCATTGGGTGCTGGGGGCTTGGTCTTGCAGGCATCGTCCGTGTCTAGCCCGCAAAGGGCGACTGGGTGTTTCTTGAAGTCTGTCGAAAGGGTCAGCAATTTGCGGCTTTGGATTGTTTGGTGGGAGAGAGCAGACCTGAGAACATCTCTTGGCTGCCTGTAGCGTACCAGTCAAGCCGTGCCAATTGGAACTGCTGCTCGTCTGACAGTTGATAAAGGGAACCCGACACGAAGACTGCAGGGAATGCCGCTGCGAGCGCTGTTCAGTTCTTCCAGTATTCTGGTCCCTTCTCTCCAGCATCCGGCGATAACAATTATCCTTGTCGCGAGCTTCAATGGGTGGAATGCCTGGCCGACGTGGATGGAAAATGGCACGGTGTTGAAGCGTACCTGGAGGCTCCCAAAGAGATCATCCTCGTCGAGGCCCAGAGCTCAAGCTGCCAAGCGAAACTGGGGCTCTCCGTCGAGTTCAGGAGCCCTCGACTTGGATTCACAGGGCATGGCGTCTCTTGGCTCTTGCCAAAGATCAAAAAGGTCGGATACACCGCAGGTTGGGAAATGGCTAATTAAGGTGTTGGGTGGATTGAGAGATCATTCGGGACTGCGAGTCCAAGCATGCAGATAAAGCGAGTAGCTGTTTATCCGAGGAGCCAAGAGGGCGGAGGATTACTCAGCAACATTCCTAGCCCCGATATTATCAGATATAGGCAACTAAAGGTGTCTAAGCATTTACGCGTGGCATCGCTAACTACAAACTGCGCGCGGGGAGAGTCAGGCGCGCAATCATGCACCAGCAGGCGCGTATTATTACTCTTCGACACCGCAGGCGCCATTATCATTGCGCGCAATGCCGGTCCATTTGCGATGCATCTCGCGGCTCTCCATATAGACGGATCTGGCGATGACAGCGAAGGCCTGGTTGACGGGGTGTGTCCCCTCAGCCTCAACACCAACTTGCCTTGGACAGGCTGGGGAGAAAAGGTTAAGGAAAGGCACACGCGAGCCCCAGAACCTTATCGCTAGCCTGGGACTATCTACTCCATTTTCGAAAACTTAATCGTGCGCCACGCCGCCAATGATGTTTTTGTCAGGGATAAGCTTCCTTTGTGTCTTGGGCATGACGCCATCACACGCGAGCCAACGCAAGCCAACGCAAGCCAAGGCTCAGCATCAGCGCCACACCTCCCTCCTTTTGTTTAACTGCCCCAATCACCAAGCCCGCGAACAAGGGATGTATAGCCAACGTCCTGGGCGCGCTTGATCATTCGATAACGGCCTGCTTCGCCCAAGCATCCTCGCAATGTTGACGGGCGCACACAAGCACCAGCCGACAGGGATCCTGTGTGAGCATTGATCGAATTGAGTGTGGTCCCAGTGCCTCAAGGCACCGACTTTACTCGCTTGCTTACGACAGTCGCGGGCATTGTCCTCTCTGCCATGCACCGAAGCGTCGCATGATGCATTTAATCCCTGTCCTCAGCGATGGTGTGGGATGAAGAGAGTCAATCACTTGATCAGCGCTCTTGGCTTTGGACATGTTCGATTTGACTTATTATAGGCGATTCCCCCGATGAGCGAGCGATACGGCCTTGCTTATCACACATCTTCCTTCTACTCGTCCACGGCGTAGAGACAATCCGACTGGATTCATCGCCCCCTACCCCCAACCGACACCAACCAGACACCAACACGACAGTTCCTCATGGAGGCACTCAAGAAAATCGGCCGCTTACTTGCGCCGCCTCCCGACAAGGGCGAAGATGGCCGTGACCAGTGGCCGTCGCGTGCCTCCTTCATCCTGGCCTCCATGGGTGGTGCTGTCGGCATGGGCAACATGCTGCGGTTTCCATCCCAGGTCTACAACAACGTCGGTCTGCAGTGGTTCGTCCCTTACCTGCTCGCCGTCTTCCTCTTGGCCATTCCTGCGCTCGCGCTCGAGCTCGCGGCGGGCAACGCCTATCGTGGCGGCTGCGTGGTTGCCTACAATTCTATCAGCACGCGGATGAAGGGCACGGGCATGGCTCTCAACTACGTTGGGCTCATCGTCGTGACCTACTTTGTGCCTATCCTCGCTTGGATCATGATTTATTTCCAGCACTCATTCTCCAGTCCTTTGCCGTGGGAAGGCCGCGGGCAGGAGTATTTCATGTACAACGTGGTCAGCGCAGTCGACCCTGTCGAGAAGAATGGCTGGGTCACCTACCCCGGCATCAAGGTTGTTGGCGACATCATGGGCTGGAACACATTCACTTGGTTCCTCGTCTGGCTGTGCATGTTCCGAGGCGTGGGCATGACCGGTCGTGTCGTCTATTTCACGATGGGTCTGCCTATCATCACTATGATTATCATTCTTGGCCGTTCCGTCTCGCTCGAGAATGCCGGCGAGGGCATCAAGCTATACTTTGGTTCTTGGTTTAGCGAGAAGCTCGCCGGAGGTAAGATTTGGCAAGATGCGGTCGGCCAGGTCTTTTTCTCGACTGGTGTCGGATTCGGATACTACACGGCTTATGCCTCGTACAACCGTGCCAAGGCCAACACTGTGCAGGATGCCTTTATCATTGTGTGCGCCAACTGCCTCTTCGAGACCATTGCCGCCTTTGCCGCCTTTGGTGTTGTGGGCTTCTTGAGGCTGTGGCCCTGGGAGAACGAGGCTCTCGGGACCTATAGTCTCGGATTCGTGACCTATCCTGAGGCGATACTCGCGATGCCTGGCGCCAACTTTTGGGCTGTCTTGTTCTTCTTTACCCTTATGCTCCTCGGCGTCAGCTCGTCGTTTGCCATGTTGGATGCTGTTGTTACACTCGCCATGGACTCGGAACTGGGCAAAAAGCACAGTCGCCCAGTGGTCGCCACTACAATCGTCATTGTGTCCTTCCTGCTGTCTATTCCCTTCTGCACTGAGTTTGGCTACTGGTATATGGACGGTGTCGACCGGTGGATCAACAACATCGGCCTTGTCTTCGTCGTCTGGGCCGAGTGTACCTTTTCCACGACACTCTACCGCTGCAAAGACGTTGAGGGCCAGGTTGGCGCCCCGGCCTTCTACACCTACAACTGCGCGTACTTTGGTTCTCAGATCCTGGGTGTTGCCATTGGACATGCCGTCATGCCTGGGGTTGGTGCGGGCGTCGGCTTTGCCATTTTTTTTATCGGTGCCGCCATTGCGATGTTCATCTCCAAGACACCCGACTCCCCAGGCACCCCAAAGTTCTGGTCCAAGAACAAGTTCTTGAGCGCCCTGTTTTATCTAGCCTTCTACTCGGTTCGTCAATATCCTCCCCATCAAGATGAACTCGTTTACTGACCGATGCCAGGGCGATCAACTAAGGCTAGACTTCAACAATGTTGTCGGTCTGGGCAAGAATTGGACATTTCCAATCTTTTGGGCCCCTCTCCTGCGATACATCACCGGGCCCATTCTCGCCATCATCTTTGGATTCGCGTACCCTTCCTTCCAGACTGTGAAGAATGATCCGATGTATATTTTTGGATTCATTACGGCCCACTTCCTCCTTGTTTGGGTTCTTTCCGGTGTTTTCTATCCCCGGTGGTTGAATGTCTTCGTACCCGTTGAACGCAGGGATGACGGCTTTATCCCTTACGCTCCGAATGTGCCTCGAGGTGTCATCTTTGGCGAAGGTTCTGACGAAGCCGTCGAGACGGGGTCTGGAACCAGAGACAATGATGGTAAGGAGAAGAAGTCGGATTCTGAACCGATCCCCTCTTAGGAGCTTTTGTGAGATTGTTGTGTGACGGGATTGACGGGATGACTACTTGTATGTGTCGTGAGTCGTCGTTTTATGTGACATTCATGAGGTGATAATAACATACTACATAACGAGATACCATGTGACCGCATTAGACACTGAATGAGCTAGTGGGTTCCAAGTTTGAAGTCAGCCATGGCCATTCTTTCAAGCTTGCCGACTGGGTGAACACAAGACCCGTAGTGACAACGTCCGCAGCTTGTTGAGGTGTCTTGCGATCCCAATAACGATTATCCTCGTCGATGTCAGCCCACGAATTCTCCATAGAGGCGCTCTGTGTGTGCTCCAAGACATTCGCAGACACTATCCTAGTGGGCATCCTGCAGCCTATGCTGTGCAAATATGTCGACCGCCGATCATGACTGAGTAGAGGAGGAAATCTGCGATCCTATTGGCCTCCTCCTATCTGTGATTCGAACTTCTGTGAGGCTCTGAGGAGTATGCACTTAGCCCAAGCTTCTTGTATGCAAAGAATCGTGTATCACGAGTCGAGAGCTGTGAAGATCAGAGCAAGACAAAAACTAGCCATTGTTCACTGCATCAAGCAGGCCAGAGGGCCAATCATCGATATCTTGGCTCCTCAGCACTCTTCATGAGCTGCCATGCCTCGACATGGCACTCCCTTGCTGACAGTCTCATGCCTGGATCTTCAACCACCATATTGTCCAAAACCCAGGACAGGAGAACACTACCAGTCTGATAGCAGTGGCTTTGAATGTGCCTGCGCACTTCTTTCGCCCACGCCCGCGAATCTCGCCGCATGCCTAGCTCATAATTCGGTAGACCACATTCCAGCCAAGCCAGCACCAAGCCAAGAGACCATATGTCGACAGACTCGTCGTAAGGTCGCCGAAGACTGAGCACTTCCCGGGCTAGCCATTCTGGCATTCCGCATATGGTCTGGAGGAACTCCGACTCCTTGGAGAGGCCAAAATCGGCAAACTTCACAACAATGCCACGTTCTCCCCTTTCTGAATCCAGTATATTCTGGGGCTTGATATCACGGTGGGTGATGCGGACAGGTCGATTGTGGAGATACTCCAGAGCTGACGTCAACTGGCAGAGGATTTGTGTTCTCTCGATAGTTGACAGGCAATTATGTTGATCGAGAGACCCTCCGGGGACGTACTCGATCTCCAACCTTGGCTCGGGAAAGAAAGTTGCATTCCTGAACGCGACAATGTGCTCCTGGACATCTTGTTAATATGACATATCGCGGCTCAAACGTGAATGGAGGAACTGACATGAGATATGCTTCTCATGATCGATGCCTCTCTCTTAAAGTCTCGAGGACTTCTTTCTCTTGTCGAAGATTTTGGTGTGGAGACTTGACCGCGAATTCCTCCCCAGTCTTCACGTTCCATGCGTATGTGACAGTACCAAAGCCTCCGCGACCGACGACTTGTTCGAAGAACATGGTCTCCACGGCCGAGGGTGATTGCTGTCCGGTGGGAAGTTGAGTCGAAGAGCCACTGGAAATTCCGAAATTGCCCATGATGCTCTCAGGACCAGCCGTTCCCAGGCGGAATCTCGCAACTCTCTGAATATAGTCAGCTGATTCGACGTCATGCTGAGGCAAAACGACTTTGAACTGCATCTTGTCTGCAATGTCAAGTACTGGTAGCTGGTCCTTGACGATGCTGGGGCCTTGGATCAGCCATTCAGATCCTTTAACTCGTGGCAGCTTCTCATCCTTGTACACAACTCTTGTTCCTCCGCTCGAACCCATGTCTCGTGCTACCAACATGTTTTGGTCGTTAAAGGTCAACGCAACGTGACTTCTGCTGACGCCTTTCCGTTCCCTGAGCACCACATCGGAACTGTCCGAATGCCCAAGCACAATACCGGCACCGGTCTTAGCACCGTGACTGAACAAAAGCACTAGACCATCTAGATTCTCAATCAGATTCTCATCAATCGAGTCCTCTCCTCCACTCCTCTCTTGACTATCGCGAGCTGAGTCAGGTGTTCGCTCGGCGGCCTTGAAACGCCTCTTGTTCTTCTTATATCCAACCGCTGATGCTGCGTCTGGGAACCCCTCTCCTTTGTGTGGGAAAAGATATGCAATGACATCTTCGGGTTCAAAGGCCATGTCGACGGTGGTGGATGGGGAGTGACAAGCGCTAGTTTATCTGTGGCAGGGGAATGTACAGGTATGTTATGTCAAAGACAGAGACACCTGACTCAAACTGTTGGGGGGCACAAAGAAATTATAAGAGAACATGACGGCTGGTACAGCCCGTATGCCAGCGTGCAATCCAACCAAGACAGTTGGCTCAGATAGTCACACAGAGTTGAGGCGAGAGCGTCTCATTCGTTCGGCTTCAATAGAGTAGTGGCAAATTCAGCCCAAGATTCATTCAACCTAGTAGCCAGTACTTATATCTTCCATTCGTCTACTGAGGCAGAAGGCGCAATATTCGAGTATCGACTACTAGCTCTAGATGAGTCTTGGGCCTCACCGGTGCGGGACCTCATGCTGTCACAGCCGAATGAATGTATCGTCGCGCAGAGCCACGCAACCTTGCGTATCAAATGTGCAGGTTTGTGTTACAACTCATGTGTTAGAGAGCCCTCATGTTGAATCCAAGGCCGTGATACTGATTCCTGGGAGCCTGGGCAGGGATTCCTGGAAGGCTGGGAGGCCGTTGACCGGTTGGCGTAGATGATCGTTTCATTGGTCAGGGGAGCGGGGCCATCAGGCACGTATCCCTGAGCTTCTGAAGCAGTCTTTGTCTGTATCGGGACTAGCGTAGGCGGATTTCTGCAGGTCTTCCGCAAGGCGGCCGGCGCTAAGCTCTAGTTGGCCGTGTTTGATGAGGGCCCCCACCCAACCACCCACGCTCTTGGTTACCTATGGCAGACCGTCCGCGTTACTTTTGTCAGTGCAACTCGTCAGTGTCCAAGACTCCAAACTCCAAGTTACGATCGCGAACATTACATCTTCTCCCATCGTTGAACTTACCAAACACCAATTTTGCCAGCTATCGTCTCTCCATGAGGCCCTATCATGTCCATAATGGAAGACGAGGGCACTAACTCTATATCCCTGGCTGATTCGACCAAAGATGCGAAGGATCTCCTAGCTTTAAGCTATGCAGAACTCCGTGAATACTTGCAGCGCCACGGCGACGTCAATGGCACAAACGCAATTCTCAACGTCCCAGGCGTGACTGCGCTTCCGGCTGGGGACCGAACTGAACTAGCGCGCAAGGTCAAGTAAGAAACCAAACTCAATGCACCAGCGTGCCTTTGTGCTTACGTTTCGTAGTGCCGCTATATCGCTGCCGACACCATCAACACTCGACGTCGACGAGCTATTCAAGCGCTTGGGATGTATACCACAAGAATGGAACAAACCTGATACTCTGAGCCCGACAATACGCCGTGATTCGACCCATAGCTCGAACGCGACGCGACCAGATGATGATATGCCTGGGGCTCAGGAAGTGGTCTGCCGAGAGTTGCTCGTCGAATATGGCGCCCGGCCCATTTGCTCCATCGAAGAGCGAGACAACCCCCCGACCCCCACCGCATCCAACTACGAAGCAGTGTGGTCTTGGTTGCGGGAGCGCCCAGAATCAGAGGTTGGGCGACAAGACATGAAATCAGTTTTGTCTGAGCAGTGGGCCCGGTGGTGGGAGTTCCGCAAGTCGCAATGGCATCACAGGGGAATAAGCGACAGTATGGAAGGGTACTCTGCGTTCCTTGCTGCAGAAAAGGAGTTGCTTAGGAGACAAGGAGAGTGGAAGCTGGCTGACAATCCTAGAGACCACGAGGCCCAACAATCCATATGGCAATCGATGCATGTTTCCCAGCAGATTCCGCATGACCATGGCTTCCTGGAGTATAGCGAAGCTGTTGAACGGCGACTCGCGCCGCACCGTTTCCAGCTTCCTCTGGAGCTCAAACCCAATCCACATGAGCAGTCAACATGGACCAACTGGCTCGAGTATGTCAATTTCGAACAGTGGCATTTGGAGGATCTGGAAAAGAATGCTAGTGCCATGGGAGAGGACTGTCACTGGGTTCCTTGGAAGAAGTTGCGCTCAGATAAGCAAGCGGCAGCGGAAAAGTCGAAAGACTTGCGCCTAAAATTAGAAGACGACCCAGAAACTGCGCAGCGTGCGCTGGCGGAACTGGACACTCTCATCCTCTTGATTCGCGACTATTTCAGGGGTACACATGAGTTTGCCAAAGTCCAGAAAAAGATTCACAAGCAAAGGCTCCGTGTCAAGTGGGAGTGGGGGAAGCTCGCTCGATGGAGATGGAGGTCGCCCAGCGACCAGAGTCCTCGGGCAAGAAGCGGTGCGTTGACGATGAGTCCTTTGAGCCACAGGCCAAAAGGTCTAGGCGAGATGATGGCAGCCGAAATGAAGCGTCGATCTCAGTGTCCGAGGGTGCGGCGCATTCAGAAAGAAGTTGACGCTTGTTGGACGACACGGAGAGCTCCTATATCGACGAACCAGATTACTTGGATTGACCTCTCGCAATCGAATATTATTTATTTGACTCTGGACCGCATATACTTCGACTGAATTGATGGACGGCGTGTTCGTTACATCGCCACATAGTCCACATCCAAAAGAATAGTGCTCTCAGTGATAGACTCTGTCGGAGAAATCACGCGCCACGGTGTGTCTTTGAGTTATATTCGTGTCCATTTGTTTGCCGTGCGCTCGTCAATAGCAGACCCGTTACAGCCTGGGCTTCCACTCGACGCGAGATTAGGCGGCCTTCATGGTTTTTATTTCTGGCTGTCAGTCCTGCTGACCGAAAGTTAGATCCAAATCGACAAGTCCGCTCGAAGCTTCGACCGTATGGACTCGACGAGGCACTTCCTGACTCTGACCACCTTTGACTCAACAGCGCCTTACTCTACCACTCCCTTCTTAGTACCATGGCTTGCTTGGTCTATGGCCCGCCCAAGGGCGATGCTGTATGTACGTTAGTCGCACTTTGTCCTCGTACGGGCTCGGCGTTCCGGTATCGCTTGTTACTGATTTCGCCTTCGCCCATCTACATACGGTGGCCTAGTAGCTATTTACTGGTCCTCGTGAGCAGTGTCCGATAATATATCTGCCTGGCGCTCGTCACAATCACCTTGACATCCCACCCAGTCTCCAAGCCTAGATCTAGGTACGCTCTTGTTTCGGGCGCCATCTGAGTCCTTCCCTCCGCTACCGTCCTTCAGAACAACGGCTCTGTTTCTCTTTGGCATGACTCTTTGCTCGCTATTACGCTCATCGCAAGTAAGAAAGACAAACTCGACACGGTAATCTTTCAAGATTTCAGGAGCGTCGTAGATCTTATCCAGCACGGGGACGAGCTCCCCACCTCTTTCGCTATCATCACTTATGAGTGGCTAGCGTCCGCTCGGGTAGATGTCGTTGAGAGAAAGACGACAATGACCTGGCGCGACACTTGCGTTATTATTTAACCAGGTTCTGTCCAAATACGGTAACTAACAGCTGGTATATTGCGGGCTACCCTGTACTAGCAGCTGGTAGTCAATAAATTGTTAGCTTATATTAAAGCCGAAGCGAGGAAGAGGACCGGTGGGACAAACTTATGGAGACGAGGGAACGCCCGCGAGCTGCCATCATAAGTAAAAAGTGCCATCAGCTCATTCACCATAGAAGAGTGATTGGGAGCTGGGAATCTCGGGACGTCATAGAATTCTTAATTATCACGATTTCGCCCTCACCCAGGTCATCACTGGACACCTCGGTATCGTTTATGATGCACGTCATTGTGCCCCTGTCAGTGGTCTCGAACACGGGGACATAGCGAGCAAACATACTGTTATGATTGCCTTCATGTTGCCTCCTAAGACAGCTTGAGGTGTGTATCTCGTCGTGGGTTCCCGGATCCCGACTGGAGGAGCGGCGCGTATATCATTGGTCACCCAGAAGTTAAGCTTATTCTCGATCCAAACTAGCGCTCGGCCCGGGGCGACGCTAGCGATGCGGGATCCTCTCTTATGACGTCTAGCTCAAGTGGCAGATCGTGAGAATTCCGCCTATCGGCATTGCACAGTCAATCTAACTCCCAGATCAATTCTCGCAAGGATCCGGCATTACATACGTCGACGCTCACGTGTCAGTTGGAATTCCATGTCATAAACTGCTGTCAACGCAATGCTACGTCTGGCACGAACCTCTGAGCCGTCCATTGTCTCGCTCTCGGTGAGACACAGCACTGGGCCATCTCCGACGTAGAAAGTCTGAAACCTGGCATAATGCCGTCCCGAGGTGTGACGTCGAAATCAATATAAACGGCGTAGAATCTGGCTTGGATCGCCACCATTTTGAAAACCTGTCAGATAGTGGGACCATTTCAATCTTACAGCAGATGCTCTATCGACGGGGTTCCTGCAGCTTCCAATTCGCGCGACGATACACAACAGGGCAATCCCGAATACTCGAGGGAGCAACCAGCTATAGTGGTGAGAGATTCGGGATTTTTGTCCAACATACACGTTCGCACGCTGAAAGGCTACGCAGATGCCAATCATTGCAACCCTGACCTCTCGTCTAGCAGATGCTACATGTCAGCTACCCCTCCCGAGTTGACTGGGCTCACTCGTCATGGCGCCTCGGCGAAAAAACTGCCATTGGACCCGTCGCACGATCTCTCTCATCAAGACCTGACGGGACAACCTTCGGCTGGGGGACTAAGACCTAGTGACTAGTCTTCCGCTCTCGTCTAATGGCCTATCACAGAAGCCAGAGATCTACAGGCGAGCGTTATCACTCAGATCAGATCTAAGCGAGCAGGTGACTGTAGCGTAGTGACACTGTGCGTGGCTCATCTTCATTTTGATCCTTCGCCTCGCACAAACTCCAGGAAAATGGTGTAAGTGCTGCACACAGTTGGCCATTTCATCGGAGGAGCCCGCTGCGAAAAGAGCGATCAAGGAGACTCCATCAACATATATGCTCTTTGTCGTGCTGCGACACGCTGCATGTATTGCGCAGCGCCAAGATACGACCAGACACCGTCGCTGCCACGGCGCGGCCCAAATGAGCGCGATTCTTGCACTTGTCTGCCAGTACCTTGGCGCCCGATACGTGATTGTCGTCTAGTGCTGCGCCTTCATGCTCGAAGATATGCTGGCCGAAAGATACCGTTAACCCCAGGAGGCAGCACCAACATGCTGCTGCTGCATACACCCTTGAACTTGTTACTATTGTCGATGCCATTAAGATTGCGCTTATCCGAGGTCTCAGCTTTGCTACTGTAGCGAACATGAATCAAGGCACAACAGCAGCTAGAACCTCACGTACTTTTGCAGAGGAATATCTCGCCAAGACGTCCCCCGAACCAGCCGTCGTCGCCTGCGTTAACAGTTCCTCAAACGTAATACTCTCGTCTTTGATGCTATTGGTGCTCTCGAGTAGATAATGGTGGCAGACGGTCTGCTTGTCCGTAAGCCAAATGTCGCCCCTTTGTACAGCTCGGCGCACATGGGAAGTGCGTCTGGCAGTTCACTACCCAGAAATCATTGGTCATCTCTCGCCCATCGACAAGGGTAAGTCGTCCAGAGGAAGCGAGGAGACCTTGATGTATTCGTGCCTGACGAGAGGCCTGGTCACCCGTGAACAGCTCAGCCCCGGATATTGATGGTTCAATAGTGTCACAGTCGTCTCAGCTTGATTCCAGACAACATGAAGTCTGCCGAGGGGCGGCGAGCGACAATACGGCGGAGGATTCTAACGTCGACAATCTCGATGACCATATGTAGACCATCAACACGGAGTATGGAGCTCTGTTTCGAAAGGTGACCTCGCTTAAGGCCCTCCTCACATTATCAGCGTGGTTTTCATATGCTACCATCTGCACGTGCTTGCCGCTTTGAATGACGGGCGATCAGTGTCAAAGGCGGTAGTGACAAATGGCAACAGTAACATGTTTGCCGCTACAGAGCCACGACATAGGACCGGAATGCGCTTCCGCGGCTAGAAAACGCTCGCGTTCAAGAGTGAAGGCCGTCGTGAGATAGTGGGCGGCGTGATTGTTCCTGGCGATGTCTAGTCGCGTCCCAATATATTTCCAGGGGGCTTTCCATTTCGACTAGTGACATCGAGTGGCAGCGAGTATCACAAAGCTTTAGAAGGGCTTAAGATTTTCGCCAGGGTAGATTAGCAGTATGGAAATATACCCATCCTCGAGTTTCAAAGCCTTACACCATTCACAAGTCATCGCGCATTCGACAGCCCAGGAGGAATCGTTCCCCAATCGCCCACCAAGGCCTAAGTGGTAGCACGTTGCAACCTTACCTTCAGTTCCTCTTTGATAATTAGGAATTCCTGTCAGAGAGCCTCTTGTCTGTCAGTTCGATTCTTCTCCCCCGTGTTATCAATGCTGGAACGGAGTTTGCTGACCTAGGTGGCACTGTTCATGTGCCTTGCATTTCGGACGAGGCGGGCCTCATCGCGGTGCTTCAAGAAGCCAATGGATCGTCAAGACCAGTTCCCAAACGCCTTGGTGATTCAGGCGTATTCTTGAAATTGAAAGGTTTGGTAGACGACTAAAGTCCATGTTGTCTCGCCATCGAGAACTTATCGTCTCAAGAGCCACTAGATCCTCGCGATTTGGAAGTGGCCATTGATATCATTGCCCTAGCAGCCAAAAATGGCCCCCTGGGTTCTCCCAAGAAGACTTGGGGGAAAGGCCACGGGTAATGTCTCGACGATTGACGAGTCAATCACAGCCCTCAATATTAATCTATCCCCTGATACCGTTCAATCCACAATCCTGTCAAGAGTCTCGGATCAGGCCAGTGACCTCTTCCATCGCTGCCAAAGATGCGACCTCCATGTATGTTCTATTCGTGACCGCGCAGAATACCTTGCTCGACGTCGTTAGCCTGCGGTGAGGGCAGCATATTATCACCAACGGAAGTGCTTTAGGACAGTTGGGCCGCAGCAGCTACAGATGGCTGGTGAGCAAATGCGTCGTTCAACGCCAGGAAGAACAGTGCCACCACAACGGCCGCCGGCATCGTTGGTGACTTGGGAACGGACACGAGCACGTCTAAAAAAGGCTCATGTACCATCCGTCCCAGCAAGCATAGCTTGAGTCCCGCTCACATTGACCTAGAACAAGTTATTGATGCTAAGCTAGACACATTCAAAAGGCTTGTCCGACGTACATTGACCACTTTTCGCAGACCCGGAGTCCTTGACTCTTCGGCTCGCTTTGTCGGCCGAAAATCCTTTCTAACAGCCACAATGACCAAATTTCTTAAGGCTGCTGTGTCTCCGCGATCAGGAGGTAGCAAGAATGCAGAGTAACTAAACGCAATTAACAGTCTCCCCCAGTGTGACGTCTTCAAGTGCGATGTCACTAACGCTTACAACGTTATTTCTGCCTTCCACGCCCTCGAGTCTCAGAGACAGCTAGTCAACGGGGTTTCCCAATGTGCCATGGTTTTGAAGGTATGTCTTTGGTTTAGGATTCCGTTCTCTGCCCTGCTTATCGTCTGCCACTAAGTCCTAGCCCACTTGCTAAACCTTCCAATAAATCATGGCCACTGACCAATTAAGGACACTATCCCTCAGAATACGACCCATGTGAAATCTTAGAGAGATTTTCTTCCCAAGACTCGCGGCTACCGGAACCTAATCGCCCAGCTTTCGCCGCAAGACGACCATGGTTCATGCTACTCCCCTCTATCACATGCGTAATCAGCAACGCCGCCCAGTCCAACGATGCCTCGGGCCACAGCTTTGAGGATGAATTGGCTCATAACTAGCCTTTCGTGTATATGGGATTGTGCGGCGCAAAGCTACAGCCACAGCGCTCGCCGCCGATGAGTCGATCCCTATCGTGGCGTATCAGACCTCTAGGTATTGTTTCTGAAGGTCCTCACACACGTCTCTGTGTGGTACTTCAGAGTAGTGGTCACCGAGCCCCTAAAAATGTTTCTGCTTTCAAAGGAAACCAATGGCGTGACGTCTCTGGGGCCGTGGATCAATCGGCTTTTGTCTCTGTCCTTCAAGATGCGCGCAGGCAGTTCGATGCCTCGTGTTTTAGTCCTCGGAGTGGAAAGACAATCGGAAGAATCGCGCGGCGACCGAGGCACTGCTTTGGCTCATGACTCAACACAACTTGAACATTGAATCATGGGTTAGATGTCGTCAAGGACAACCATGCCAACAAATCACTGCCACTCGTCACTTGGGTGAGCCGGAGGCCAAAACTTTTGCTTTGACTGAATTGTCCCTGTCTTTCCGGGGTCCCGTCTAGGTGGTATACATATATTCTATCGCGGTGCCAGAATGGTGGAATTGATCTTCTTTGCTCTTACGCTTGGCACTAACTTCATATATGCACTATTTCAGAAATGTCGCAAAGGGCATCCCAGTGTCTCGACGATACCACTCTTGCCTTGTAGAGTTTTCCACTTGCCCAGATTGTTCCTCTGTATGGCTTAGACCGGTCTAATACAGTGGAAGAAGGAGAAGCACCAACGCCTGCCACAGAACAGAGCTTTCTCGGGTTTTCAAGTACCGCATTTTTCATCACAGGGTCCTTAGAGCATCGAGTGTTATACCTCGATCGTTTTGGGAGTTACTCTTTGGGTATGTCGGACTCGCGCGGGGAGATACGTTCCGTGACCTGCTAGAAAGACTGGCGCCCCTTGCTCCACGGCAACGTCCGATGTGGAGGTTGGCATATGTACGTTCGGCTGGCAGTGATACTGTCACTGCTATCTTAAACTTATCATCCGTCCTCGGACCACGGCGCTAACATATTCAAGACCAGGGCTCTTTTCAATTTCATCCAGCTATGACACAAAAACCACAAGTATCTTTCATGTCGCAGCTCCAATGGCCTCGCCCGAGGCTGGGATCAAGAAATCGCTTCCCTGGACGCGTCCATCTGCACCACGTGGGCCTCTCAGTTTCGAGTCATTGGTACTCACAAAGTCGCTGTCCGACCAGCTGTCGTCAGAGTCCCAAGAGTTGCCAGACGACTCGACAGCGTCAATCAGCTGGGCCTGGCCGTTGGCATTGTTTGCGGCAATGTTGTCGCGCATGACAGACGACGAGCTGCGCATGACAAAGCCCGTGTCACCATTCTTCCAGGCCGTGTTGCGCTCAAATGTGATGGAACCGGGGTTTCCATTGTCAATGAATCCCTTCTTGTAGTTTTTGTAGGCAATCGAGTTGCGGACAACATGGTCTGTAGGCGGGTTGCCTGAGATACCGAGCTTGAAGCCATTGCCATCGCCCTCAAAGGGGCTGAAACCCCAGCGATTGTAACCGTTTCCCCATGCGTACACCTCCTCGAGCGTGACGGGCGAAGTAAACATGTACAAGTCGAGGCCGTCGTCGACATTGTTCCAGAGGCGGGCGTTGCGCACTACGTTGCCTTCACCTTTGCCACTCTTGCAGGCGAATCCATCGGCGCTCTCGCCGTTTTTGCGGGGGTCGCGGTTCATGTACGAGTCGAGGTTGATCACCGTGTTGTTGGAAGACGCGCCCTCAAGCTGGAAGCCAGTCTCATAATTGTCGTGTGTGGAGAGGCCTTCATAGTAGTTATGGGATGCGTCTCGTGCGTAGATACCGTATGGACCGTTGATGAGTCTGGGATGTTAGTGAAAGCAGACTTGGCGGCCACGAGGAACTTGCTCGAGATTGTAGAATGCCCAGTATTCGGCATCCTGAATGTGGAAGATGCCTCGCTCAGAGTTGGGCAGGCTCTCGCCCAGCTTTTTGGGTGTCCTGTCATCTCGAATGTCAGCCAAAGATTCGCTTATAAGTGGCGGATGGAGTCACTCACCCGGGCATGTTCTCACCGTTCACAATCACCTTCTCGCTCCCGTAGGGGCGGACAGAGATGGGCGAGGTCCGACTCCTACTCTTCCCAATTTGAATGTTCGCAGAGGGGGCAAAAGTGCCCTCTCGAAGGTAGATCACGTCGCCCGCGACAGCTTCGTCGACGGCATCCTGGATGGACCCGAATGGCGCATTGATGCTTCCAGAGCCAGAGCCTGACGGCGCAACGAAGATGTCGCGCGCAACGGCGCTGGCGACAATGGCCAAAAGAATTGAAGACTTGCAGGAGACACGATACATTATGAAATACAACACTGCGCTGTTTTCCACCGTGAGGTCAGGACCAGAGGTGCCCAAACGAGACGATGGAGTCGATCTTTATTAAACAAAGGAAGGCCAATAGTTCGTAGCTAATATCAATTCCGTGTTTCTAGCAGGTTTCGACTCTATCTACAGTAGCTTCGGTATCAATTATAAACCTTCCACTAATTGTGTTTCGGCCTTCTAACTAATATAAGGCGAAGACAATATACTCCTTGTTGATTGGTGGGTTATGAAGATCGCGACTGCGAGCGTACGGGGACACATGTTCCGTCCTACACTACGTCTACATGTAGCTAGCCATTTCCGAAAGTACATCCGGCCCGTAGTCGTGACGAGCCACGTACGGAGTACCGGTACTTTGTTTAGGCGTATGGGCCCGTGGGGCCGTGCTGGCAGGACATGCGAGCACAATTAGATAGAAATGCCAAAGGTAGATCACGGCAACCCGATGTTTAAAGTATTTGGGATTGTGTCCCGTCGATTGGACAAGCGCCAAGAAGCCGTTTGAACCGGCGCCGGTGGCCCCGCAAGCCCGGAGAAAAGGTGGGGTAGATGTCGAGCGAATGCAATGATTGGTTGAGAATTCCGAGTCCGGACCCGGATGCAGAGCCGATGCGTACGGCCACCCCGATCGAGGCAGCCAAGCATGGTACTTTATGGAAGGTGACAGAGTCTGGTTTGAGCATGGTAAGACGCCCTCCCGATGCAGCTTGTTTCTGACAATATAGGTCGGACATTCCGATGCCTAGATCCAGTCGTGCCTCAAAATCTCAACTCTTGGGAAAGCTAAGCTGCCCCACCGACACCAATCAGCGGCTAGTGTCCTGACTCCTGAGCCGAGGTTATCTCTGACAGGACCAAGAGTCAAAGACCCCGCATGAACAGGTTGACCATTATTACATATCTTCAACTGCAACTTCCAAGCTCCTTTCCTCACATCGTCTCGAACATCCACATATAACACCAAACCTAGTCCTGGTAGGGAACTCTGAAAATCCCATCATTCACTGCCCGTCTGGTACGGTGGTACATTGTCTGGATCCGTCGCGCCAAAGTCCTCTTCGCCAGCCCGGACAACACACGAAACAGCTTTCAGGCGCTCTACCTTCGCCCACAGAGCTTCTCGCCTCCCCAGGACCTCGGACAGGATATTTCCATCAACCGCGTCGATGTGCATGAATGGCCTCTCTATCGGGTCTCTGCCGATACTGGCACCAGCGGCAAGGAAGCGCGCCCTGCGATGCTCTACGTCCATGGTGGCGCGTTCTTCCGCGAGATTGACCTCCAACACTGGAAATTTGTGACCCAAGCCGCCCGAGACACGGGCCTTGACGTCTTGGTCCCCATCTACCCATTGATTCCAAGGCCCACAGCGACAACGGAGAAGATCGCCGCTGGACTCATCGACATCTGCCGGCTGTCTGAGCAGCGGATCGTCTGCGTGGCTGGCGATTCAGCCGGGGGGCATCTGGCTTTAGCGGCTGCTCAGCAGATGCGTGAGCGTCAGCCTGACCTCGCTGCCCAGCTACGCTGTCTTGTCCTCATATCTCCCGTATTGGACAGTGCCTTGGACCATCCAGAGGTAGTCCGACTGTCGAGAGATGACCCGTGGCTAGCTATTGAAGGGTTGCGCGTCCTAACACCGTTTCTGTCCGGAGGACTGCCGATTCAACATCCTGCTGTCAGTCCCCTATACGGCGATATCAATCATCTGCCGCCCATACTGCTGCTTTGTGGGACTTCAGACATGCTCTGCGGGGACGCTCGCCGGTTGAGCGCCAGATTCCAGGGCAAAGACGCCAAGGAGTGTATGCCGGGGAGTGTCCAGTTGGATAAGTTCACATACGTGGAGCAAGCCGACATGATTCACGTCTACCCATTACTGCCACATAGCGAAGGGGCCGAAGCCCGGGACCTGATTATGAGTTTCGTCCGCAAGAACGTGGAATAGCTACAGACAACGCAGTCTGCATCGGCAGTGCTGGATCCGAGACCTCGCTTGTAATGAGGATGGCTTGAATCGGGCCCTCTTATAGCTATACGCACACCGGAACTGCGCTGGACATTTGATTTGTATTGGGGGCTCCCATTGTCAAACAGAGTCTGGCGGGACGGGCGCTGGACATGTACGAGATACTGTCTCCTTGACATAGCCCAGTCGACTCTGCAAAGTTGCACTCAGACCTCGAGGATACTTGCGGGTGACGAGTGGATTCTTCACATCAAACTCACGAGGGCCAAAGACGCCGTGTCAGAATGTATGATAGGAATGGAGGTGATGCAATAACAGCCCTCACCTTTCAGCTTTCTCGTCGCCCCTTGGGCTTTATTCATCCCAAAGCTGGAGCAGAGTCCAGCTGCGGGTCAGCACGCAATCATCACCTTCTGCAGAATTAAGAGTCCTCGATCAGCCTCTTCTCACTTTAACTTGAACACACTTTTCAGTCTCAGCAGGGCTGATCAAGAGTCTTTCCTCATTTTCTCCCCCGCCTGTTCCTGGATTGAAACCTGCACCTACTCCTTCTCCAGCTGGCTCTTCACAAACTTCGTTCAGCAGCCTTCAGCGAACCTCTCAGACCCCGGCAAGCAACATCGACGAAAGCCCTCGCGACCGTTTATCAGCCTCGCCTCCTCGAGTTATCTTGGCTCATCCCGCCACGCTCAATAAGGGTACCCGTGCGTACTGGCCCTCGATGCCGCCATGATACATTTGAAGCTCAATTGATACAGATGCCCATCGCGATCAACGCGATGTTCACCTGGCTCTGTGCCACGGTGTCCTTGCCCTGGTACCCGACCGCTCCCGCCCCGAACGACTCATACGAAGACGCGGTGAACCGGGCGATCGACGCCATGTTCGAGGCAACAACGGCGGAGAAGTTGATGGCGCGTCATGAAAACAAGCACACAAAGCCATGGTGAGGACATATGCCCCTGTGGAGGGTCGCGAGTGGACCTGCGATCGCAAAAGTTGCAAGTTTCGCCTTTCGTGCACATATTGGGGGTCATGGTATAGGCTTTTTAAGAACGGCCCTGTGTAATTTGTCCGTCGCCGTTCTTGGGGAAATACAAAAGATCCATGAATGCAGTTCTTCAAGTGACTGTTGTGCCATCCAACAACGCAGCCGGAAGCTTTCGCGAATAGTCCCATGCGACTGGGCAGAGATGTAGCTGGACATCTGCCTTCTTTAGGGTGAGTGCCCATTCTCACGAGCTGCTGTAAGCCAGATGATATCGATCATCAGGTGTCGCTGGCCATGCTTTTGGCAATATTCCAGAGTTCCGTCGTAATAACATGGTTGATGAAACGCCTTGCGTCAAGTTGACAGGCGTATCAAACCACTTCACATACAGTAGAGTTTTACACCTAAGGAGAACCGCGAGAATGCGTCGCAACGGTGCCTTGTGTTGACGTTTCTTGGCCTGGAACACGGGCGATGGCGTGGAAGACAAGACCAGTCACAAGTAGCTCGACGAGACCAACATGTGCATGTACTGGAGAATGAATTATGTACATCGAAGTCCAGATGTGGCTCCGAGCAAGCGAGACCTGGGTCCTGGACGTTTGTATTGCCCGAGCGAACAATTCGAGGCTGAGTTCCCCTCCCATCTATGTCTCCGTATTCTCACAGAAACCATTACGACCCAAGCACTGTCAATCCAGGATGTGGTGAAGTTGCCACCATTAACAAAGCCCCGACGATATGCTTGTCAGTCCTGCCTGTGTGCAAGACAGAAGCAAGTGTTTCGCCAGAAGCCATATGAATAATACATATCAATACAAGAAGCTCCTAACGAGTCCGTTCTATCAAGTGCAATGTTTGTCTTACCTGCTAATGGCATGCTCAGCAGTCCGTTCAACATCTCATAGAACACTGCACACCTTAGCCGACTGTCTACACACTTGTGAATCCCATGTTATCAAAACTCTCTCCTTGATACCTACAAATGCTTTTCTAGGTCACGGCGAAGAGGACATATTCTTGTGCCCCCTGAGACAGCAGACACGGCACCAAAATGAACCTAAGCATGCGGTGAATAGCCTGATAGACCACCGTTGAATGGACGCCAGGGACTGGATTCAAGTCTTCAAGCCCTTGTCAAGCCCAGTTCACGCAAATCCAGGGATTGGCCACGCGGTCGGAGAAGACAGACGCAGGACACACTCCTGGCCTCCCCTCGAGCGAGCCATTCTAGCCAACTATCGCCTCTGGCCAGCGTCCAGGTCTTTGCCTGCGCCAGGAACATTGCACAGCATGCATATAGCGGAATCGTCATGGTCCGCCTGTAAAAGAGAGATGCGCAAATACGTCAGCTCACGGCCCCTCGTGGAGAGGTGGATGAAAACATTGGGGGCTTCACAAACCACAAAGCGCACCTGGCCCCTGTACCATAAGTCAAGGTCATTTGACAGCTCATCTTCAGGTTGATTCCCATTACCAATGTATCCTCACGACACGATATCTAGCGCAAAGGCGCCGGTCCTCCCAACACAAACAATTTCGGCCCTGGTCTTGGCCAGTAAGACTTTTTCGCTCATTTTACGCCCTCATATTGATAAGCCACCATGTCGCAGAAGCATACTTGTCCATGCCTACTACCCAGTGCAATCACAGAATCTAGTCGACCCCTCCAGCGGCGAGCTCGAGCGTCCTTTCCAATCAACCGACCGCAGCGCCAGCCTGTTCTTCGCCAGAGTCCCTGCCACAGATCAGTCGTGCATGTCTTGTAAATATCCAGCTTGACATACCTCAGCTTCTGTAACATCTCGTGATGCAGGGCTTGGGCAGCCGCTCTTCCTGCCTCTGAGCGCAGGACCTTGCAAGCCTGAAGCACAGCTACTCGGTCGTCGAGGTCTTGGGGCTTCTGCCGGAGCGAATTCACCCTCGCCGTGTGATCACTGACTTCCTTCTCACACTTGGCGACACTCCTCTCGGTGCAGTGCCTGAGTTCGCCGTGTACGATTTCCCTCTGCTTCCTGTTCTCCTCGATCCATCGGGCTAGGCCCAAGTTCCGCAGCAACGGGCGACTCTCGTCCTCCGACAGTTGCTGGCCAAGTCCAGGCAACATACTGTTCAGCGACTCATCATACATGGTAAGCGACTCGTCGTGCGCATGCTGTTCCAGAATGGTGTCGCGACACTCTCTATAATGAGCCAGTTTCGATTTCCCTTTGGATAGTTGCATCTCGGCGTCTTCTAGAGCTGATAACGTGTCTTCTCGGATTTTCTGTACCGCAATCATCTCCGCATCTAGCGTCGCGGCAGGAAGTTCTAGGAGATTCAGGGCGATTGAGCGGCCGGCAAGTGACGAAGATGCCCCATCAATGGCGCCGAGCGGAGAAGATGCTTGTGTCTCGATAGGTATCGCAGCGCCGTCGGTGCGCACCTTGCGTTGGTCCTGCAACCATGCAGAAGCCTTGTGGTCAGCCATGCGGCTGCTCAAGTCTTGTGGCTCACATCCGACTTTTGCGTTGGTAGAGTCATTGTTGTTGTTGTTGTTGTCGACTGAGAGTCTGAGCCATGCTTGACGTTCGCCCTGGGGATCGAGTACTTCGGGCAGTCGCATCTTTCGATGAACAATATGGTTCATTGCGCAGACGACATAGACCCCGCAATTGTGAGCATCGTACTGTCTCGGACCGTCCTGCGATTGCTGTCAGATGGGTCAGTTGACCGTACAGTGTAGCTTACCAAGCTTGCAAAGTCGACCAACCGAGTGTCTTCCTGTGAGCGAAGCCAGGCGAGCAACGCACTATGAACCTCATCGTGGCTGGCCCTGTGAGGCAGTGGATCATAATGCCTTGCAAAAATTTGGTGCTCTGTCATCTCAACAGACAGAAGCGACCAGTGCGATCGCTTGGGATGGTAGATTGGCGCAAGTAAATGGGCGATCGAACCAGCGTCTATGTGACGCAGCGTGCTCATGCTGCTCAGGCCATCATCTGACGGCATTTGAAACCAGAGAGAATCAGCGATGCGCATTCCATGCTTGTCCAAGCCAAGGTCTGTGCATACTTTGCTGATCGCCGAGCTCGTGAGGCAAGCAGTAGGTGACTCCAGCTGTTCACGCACAGATTTCTCAACCTCTGACAGTTTAGGACGCTTCCGATCCGGCTCCCCCTCAGGAATAGGCCGCAAGGCATATCCGTCATCTTCGTCTTCATGGAGAGAGAAGTCAGACTCAGGCCCTCCATATCCTCCCATATCGTCATAGCTGAGAGAGGAGGCATCAGAATCCTCGTCGGCTTCTTCGAGCGCTCGCTGCGGGGAACCTCGAACTGGCGTGATCGTACGCGTTTCCTCTGCACCGACTACCGACCGTGAAGCGTCGAGAAAGCTGTGTTCATCCGGCAGCGGGGGAACTGGATGCAAGCCAACCTCGCAGACTTGCGTTTCTTCCATGGGCAAGGTATCTTCGTTATCCTGTGACGGCTGCGGACAGACGCGCCTGGCCTTTAGACGCTCCAAGACGGACGAAGCCATACTGAGGGTGAAACGTTGGTCTTTTCCAGGCCGCTCGGCGTCTTCTACGGCCTGACGTAGTAATCCGCCAGATTCCCATAGCGAGCGCATGTCGAGCCCTTGCTCCTGCGCTTCGGTATACACAAGCAATAAGGTCTTCAGAAACTTGAAGCCCAGGGCTTTGGAGCTCCGCGTTTGCTGAGCTTGGTCTCTGAGTGCCGACGGCAACTAGTCATCGCCACCCCAAAGCTGCGCAAGCTGGCGCTCGATACTCTGAACAGACTTTGTATTGTTATCTCTGGTATTGGACGCGCCATAGAGCAGCTTCTCAGCCTCGTTCTTCAAGATGCGTGCGTGCTTCATGAATGTAGATAGATCGTTTAGTGTTTTGCTGCGCACAGGTCCCTCGGGTAGAAAAGCGGTGACTTGCTCGACGGAAGCGATACTGCTGGTGGTCGGGTCAACAATGTTGGTGACAACGTTCTGCAGCTGGGCCTGTTAGCTGACCTCGTAGATCATGAAATGGCCAGGTGATGAGAGTACCACGGACGTTCGAGACCGTTCTGTAGGATCGAGGAGAAATGTTCCTGACGTACGGGACGTTCCAACGGCAACAGAAGGGACACCGACGGTCGAGGACCACTGCAAAGGGAGCTCGGAAACTCGCGGAGCCGAAGGACGAAGGGGTCTCATGCCTGAAGCGCAATTATGATGTTGATCGGCAGAAGGGTTTGCATGCTCATGGTGTTACACAGGCGTAGAAAACGAGGGAGAGAGTGACATGGAGTGCGCAAGGACACGAGGTTGTGTGAGCGAGCAGTGCGAGTGCGTGTTCCGCCTCGGGCACGTTCATTGTGAGAAGCGCCAAGGCAGGAAGCCACAGCGTGCAGCCTACCTTCCGAAGGAAAGAACGCACACGCTGCAAAGGCGGCGAGCCAATCATTTTGTCAGGAGTTTTTAAGTTTCACAATATCCTGATCATCTGATTCGCCAAAGCCGTCTGCCTTCCCTGGCTACTAGACCAGCTGCTACCTGAACCGACCGTAGCTTCCAAAATGTCTGACGCTGCAGCCTGTTAGTCTGCCCGCAAGCATGCTGATGTTGATTCCGAAGCAAATGGTCTGATGCTGTGGGTTAGCAGCCGCGGTCTCTCCCTCAAGTTTGCAGCCATGTTGTCGGGGAACTTGCCCGCGACCCATCTCGATGGCGCCCTCGTTGTTGTGATGTAATACCCGCATCACAAGCCCCGGCGACGTGGTATTCTGGCTGACTTGTCGAAGTGGATGTGGTGCTCTGCGTAGATGGCGAGGAAGGCGGAGGCATGGCCCAAGACGTTATGCCGGGACCGCCTTAGCTGGGCCTAACGCTGGGTGGCATCTCTCCCGTCGACAGGTTTGTTGGCGGTGATGGTGGCAGTATGAATCGCGGCTGCTGGCAGTCGTCGTCTTCAGAGAAAAGGGTCGGAAGTCGCCAATAGCAAAGGTTCGAACCAGGGGCTTGACATCAGTGCAATCAGTGAGCATTGGAAGATACGAGAGGCCGCGGGTCAGAATAAATGACATGTGTGGAAGCTGTGGTATTGTGAAACATGTCGAGAGTTTAAGTTCAGCAGCCCGAGAGAGAGTAATGCCTCGTCGTAGACTGTAGTTGACAGAGTCCAGACCACTGAACCGTGACGTCGTTTGTTTACGTCCTGCGGTCACGGACGCGAGACCACGTGATAGCGCGTTTCCCGGAGTTAATCTTCCGCTCCGAAATGACCAACACAGAAATTCGCAAATTGGAGCGTCGACATCTAATTGACGATTGCAATACCTTTCCCGTAGTGCAGGAGAGCCTGACACAGGTTGTCATGTCTGGCAAAGGTCGCCTTGCCTGGGGACTAGACAGCGCGACAACTTGGCAGTTCGTGATTACCCTAGAGCGACACGTCTCCACAAGATTAATTGAGCTTTCGTACTCTCGGTGTTTGGCTCTGAATCAGAACAATCCAGCGCCAGCTCACCTTTCTCTCGAATTCTAGCTCCCTTCACAATCTCAAATTATTGCCTTCTCATCTCGTCGCCGCGAATCAGACATGTCACTGTCGCTTCCCCTAGAGAGAGGCATGCCACGAGGGCGCAATGTCTAAAGGAAGTGCGGGGGAAGCTTCCTACAACGCGCATGTCCGTTCCTTCAGGGACAGACGTTCCCGCGACGTCAATTGAGCGAAGGCAAAAGTGGATTAGGGCACATCAGCAGAGCATTTCACCCTTTGCACGCCAGAGGGAAACCCGGGGGTGACGGGAAGGCCAGCAATATTATTGTTGACAAACAAGACGATGCTTGGCTAATTGACCTTAGTGGTGGCTGGCCAGACATGGCTGGGCGGACGGTTTTTGGAAGAGCGCGTGTGAGCTCGCACTGTGCAGTGGACAAACACGGCGCGTTCCCTGCACGTGCTCAGGGGTGTTGGACACGCAGGTGGTCACAATCGTGACAAGCTTCAGATTTGGCACAATTTGGTCATTTCTCAATTTCTATTGACTTTTTTCTATCACACTACGGCCCTGGTGGCTATTATCCGTCACCGATAGACAGTGGTCAGCCACTCCCGCTGCAGTCGGTCGTGTTGTCCTTTGCCATTGTGCGGTGGATTTGGTCAAAGCTTAAGAATGAGAGAAGAAGCGTCATCGCTGCAGTCGGGCGCGTCTCCTCTCATTCCCGAGCTCTGAGGTCTTGTGCATTGCGTGGCGAAGCACCCCGCGAGGAGGCAGACGCCTTGGGTTGCGTTTTGTTCGAGCGTTGGGGCAAAAGACGACTCTTGAACGCTCACAAGGGACGGAGATGGTGGAGGAAATGACCATGAACGAGGCTGAGACCGCTGCAGTCGGCACATTCTCGTCGTGTTACACCTTTCACTTTGCCTCCCCTGACGCACCCATTGTGATGTTTTTTCTTGTGGGTTTTGTGGCGTTTGTGGTGTTTGCCATTGTCGTCTCGTGGCGTTTTTTGGAGCCGCAAATTGATTCTCGCCTTTGGATGGTGTGGTTTGGTTTTTGAGCTGATGCTCCTTGGCAGTCGACTGACTGGTGTGGTTTTTGATGTGGTTTTTGATGTGGTTTTTGATGCGGTCTTTGGTGTGGTTTTTGATGCGAGTTGAGTGGTTGGGTGTTTGACACTCCGACCATTCTATTGTCATGGTCTTGAGTCTTGACTTGCGCTGGTGTCTCAATGGCGAACCTGCGCCGTGGCCAGTCTGCCTGATCATGGAGATGCGTATTGGACATATCTAGGCTTTGGAGCGCCATGTTGATTGACGTTGCCTCTAAATCACGCGCCGACTGTCTGTGCAACAATCTCATGATCTCAGGCAACAATGACAGTCGCAGAGGGCCGCACTTCCCCGTCATATTCTGATTCTGTCACACCGACAGCCCCACGCTTCATGGCGGAGAACGGACCTGCTGCAGTCAGGCGTTCCGAGACATGATGCGCACGGCCGGCCGGCATGAAGAGTGCAAAGAAGGGTGATTTGGAAGTGCTTGAGAACTTGCCATGAGCGAGAAGTAGACTTATGAGGAGATGCTCCATCGAGAATGGAGAGATCTGAGAAGCCGTATTTCAACAGAGCTTGAATGGGGATTGTGACGGACCCCTAGGTTGAGATTGTGGATTCATTCAAAACATGAAGCTTTGTCTCTCAGTATGGTGCGCAATTATCAGCCCTGCCCATTTTACACCCTGCCCGACTATGCTCGTGATATCTGCTATGGTTGATTCTGTCCTCTCGAATCGGGAATGTGACTCTCATATAGGGAAGGAAAGAACGCACGCTGCAAAGGCGGCGAGCCAATGACTTTGTCAGGAGTTTTAAGTTTCATAGAAACCTGATCATCTGATTAGCTGGTTTTATTGTTCACAAAGGCTGCTTGCCTACCTTGGCGCAAGATGCCAACACCCGTCATATTCAAAAGATGATTAGAAGCTCAAAAGACACAAGAGACTTCAACGACTTCAGAGACAGCAAGGCATGCGTCACATTCACGATGTCGGTAATTCCAGGCTCAAAACCCCGTGGCGGCTTCAACGCAAACATCAAGACTTGCTTGCACTCTATCCAATCTAACGCCAGATTCTCAGGAGCATTCATGAGCTAGCTACCTTGTCGCCCAGCTGACGGCTTCGTTGCCATGAAATGAGTCATCGCGACCACGGAATCACCAGACCATCGAGACTTATTGTCATTGCTTCTTGAGAAGTGCTCACCACGAGCGCGCGGGCGTATTGTGGTTAGAGAATCTCGCAAATACATGTTTTCTCGTTACCAGTCTCGAAGAATTTGATGATGTTGTCCACGTTCATATCAACCTTTGTGATCGATACCCCTAGGTTTCAAGCTCTCTGACACTCATATTTCCTATTGCTATTCTTTCACATCAATCCCTTATCTATTCGTCCTAGTGATAGTACTTTCGCTCAGATCGATGGCGAGTGGCTTCTTCACCAGCTCGAGCTCAGTGGCGGCATCCTCAACTACCATGTGGATGACAAACTGCGCCTATGGAACGGCCTGGGACAGTCTAGGAAAGCTGAGTGACTGCTAGAGTCACTCTGGCTGTTTCACGTCGACCCGAAAAAAGTCCGTCCTACAAATACACTTCCAACGCAATCAGATCTGTTGCGAGTGTCACGATTGGATCTTGGACACAACAAGCATACAGCATCACATTAACAATAGCAAGGGATGTCCGAAGGTCGTTGTTCATATTTTACCGCCTTGCCATTGATCCAAGTTTCTACACATGAAAATTGACGCAGAAGGAAAGACAGAGGTTCACCTAGTCCGGATTGCTCATTTCCATCGAGTAGTCTAGAACAATCCTATTCCAGAACCATCTCTTGCGCCGCTCGACGACAAAAGCTCATGGTCTTTGGACTTCTCAGGATCCCACATTCCGGTCTGAGACACCCAGTTCACTTTGTCGACCCAACTCCTCTTGCTGCCGCAATAGAGCTCCTAATGCCTGGTTCCGGCGTGGTGGAATCCGGAGCCAGGAGCCAACGCCTCTCGCTATGTTGGTGCGATCTGTGCAATGATAGTCCGTCGCAAAGGCGCGGCCGACAAGGGAGGATGTTTTCTGCTCTCGTCTGCGGACGCGCTTCTGGTTGCCAGGCTCTGTGTTCGGGCCTTTGGTGAGGGTTGGGAGAGGCCACTGGTCAGGCTCTGGCGCCGTTTGAGGACTGCTGGGCCTCGTCGGCTCCTGATCTTCCCAAATGACGAAGTTGAGAGCCTCAATTTTTGCATTCATGTTGTCACCCATCATCGTCTTCTTGATCCTCGCAGCGGAGAGCCTCAATTTTTGGATTCATGTTGTCACCCATCATCGTCTTCTTGATCCTCGCAGCGGCATGAAATCAATGTCGACACGCAGAAGGTGGTCAAGAACGTGGCTCTGCATGGTCTAGGAACGCTTCCATATCAGCGACGACCTCGCCAAGGGTTTTTTAGAAGCAGCTGACTTCATCGTAGATGCTCCGCGATGTGAAAGAGATGCAGACCGTTAGGAGAACAAAGAGGCCGCATTAGTAACAAAAAGTACAGACCACGATACACAGCGCGGCCTCCCGAAATGGCAGATCTTGTCATATTCAAACTTGCAGGCTCTAATAGTAACAAAGTGCTGTTCCGGATTCAACGTCACCTTCCAGACAATTGACATGTCATGTTGCGTTTGCTGGATTTCTACGGCATAAGCAATGATTCAACATAGCCGTCCTTACTCTCGTGGTCTCCGTACATGCGGGGCCATCTAGACGGGACAGATATAACTTGATATTGGAAGAGCTCCAGGAGTCCAGTCGGAATGTTGTCTGATTGAGGGAACCAGGACATTGATGGAGTGAATTGCCTCTCTATAAGGCTGCTGTCCAGGAAATTAACCTTGGCTACCCTGCAACCTGTCTGTTCTCGTTGACCCGCTGCGTTCACTGCGTTCACGCTGGTAGTGCCACGTTGACGCTAGTCGCACGCTAATGCTTCTTATGTTCTTCAGGGGTTAGCCTCGCGCTATCAGCTGCGGGGTCCACTCCTAGTGGCCAATAGGGCCTCTACCCGGAGCAAGTTGACTTGCCTATTGCTTTTCGGCTTCTTCAGCTTTCAGCCGCTCTTGTCCAGACTCCTAACGCCTACCTATAGGCTGTCGCTGCCAGGATAGCTTATAAGCGTGATGTGATCCGTTGTGGTCTACTCAATATCGTCGCCTTAGAATCTTATGCTGCATGCGATCAAACAAGAGTAGGCTCGTCGACAGATTTCCGCATCATGTCGGAGCCCTCTGGAGTAGTACCATCTAGCCGGAGGACTCGAGGGAGGCTCCTGAACCTCCTCTTCACCGTCTCATTGGCCATCATCAGTCTTGCTTGCTACATCCTGCTCATCATGCTCTACGTTCGGCCAGAGCTGTACCATATTCCATCCCTCGTCTATGTGGTCGGCTCGTCATCCATCAAGCCCACCGTGGCCGTTGGCCTGATCACCGCCGTCCTCGCTGCCGCCACGTCAGCTTTGATCACCCGCTGCGTTGAGCACTCTCTGTGGCTCAAGCTCGCGCCTCGTCATGTTCGGCGCCCCCTGACTGGGCGCGAGACCAGGCACCTTGCCCAATGGAGCGTATCCCCTCTGGCGAGGCTCACCTATGCTGTCAACGGCCGATTCTGGCTCGTCAAGATGAGCGGCTTGCTGCTCCTCGCCGTTTCCATCATGAGTCCTGTCCTCCTGGTTGGCATTTCGCAGACGGACCTTGTCGAGGTCTCTTACACTACCACCTCCCACGTGGAGGACTATTGGGCACCCTGGATCAACAGGGGAAATTATCGTTCCCGTGGAGGCAGCGCCGGCGATCTCACGTTTGGCATGGCCGTGCAAGCCTCCAATGGAAATTTCGCCCCACCGGTCGCTCCAGTGTGCAGCAACGACTCCTGCAGTGTGTCGACCACCTCGCCTGCTCTCCTTGCTACCTGCGACGCCCGCGCGATGGCCAACACCAAGGGAATGGGCCTGCCGGTGTGCGACCTCGGAAGCACGGTAGAGTCGGACATGGTCACCGACTTCTGCAGCAGCATTGTTCCGTCCATGTGCGTCAATTTGACGTGCGGCGCCCCGTCCGTCTATGCCAACTTCAAGACTGGGCTGGACTACACCTGCGAGTCTGGCTCGGGCGACTCCTCCAGTCCTACTGCATGCCTGGACTCTCCCGGATCATGGTCTGTTATTTTTGGAGCCTGGGTAGGCGGCGTAGACTTTGGTGTCGGCAACAAAGACCTCATCAACACGGTCAGCTGCCTGGTCCAATACGGCAACGTCACCATCACCCAGACAGGCGAGAACCCCCCACAATTGGATCGAGGCTCGTTCAAGAGGTCCCCCTATCTCCTGGGCAACTACTCGTCCCCGATATCAGGTGTGCGCACGTTCACGTGGGGCGAAAACAGCGCGACAACGCCATACTCCTTCACTCTCCGAGTTGTGGGCACGGGCTTCAACGACATGTACCAGGAGCCCTTTGCTTCGGGATTGCTAGGTGACGACGCATCCAACGACGCCGAACATGTCGCACGCCAGATTGAGCAGAACTTTGACTGGGCAACAATGGGGGCCTTTGCGAGGATGCCCAACGCCAGTGACGTGGTGACAACGAACCGCACCGCCACCAGGGTATACGTGTACAACCAGCTCGTGCTCTTGATCCTTCTGGCGCCCTTCTTGGCATCGATAATGGGCACGTGGGGTCGATGGAAGGTCGGCTCCGACGATGATGTTCCCGGATATGATCCCGCGGCGATAGCTGCACGCGGTCCAGTAGAGGGTGTTTCGCCCACTGTGTTGGTCGCGAGGCACGGGTACAGGAAAGCCTGCGATAAACTGCGATTGGTAGGCTTCGAGGAGTCTGTAGTAGACCCGTCCACAGGACAGCGCAGCGCACGACTTCGCTTACTAGCTCAGTAGTAAGTGTTTTACTCTCAGAAGTCTTTGGTCACGCTAATTATGCACATCGTTCTTAATAGCTAGTTTTAATGTAATTTTCTGGGGCTACTGATTTCTACCTACTAATTCAACAACGTTCTGAACATGCCTTGGGATGCGTTCAATCCACCGTTGTATCTACTCTTGTAAAAGGTTATTCTAAGCCTTCTCCTAGTGCGCGCCAGGAACATTGTTGTTAGAACACCTTCGAAACAGCTCTTGTCGTTCTTGTTTTCATGAGTAGCGCCTTGCCGCAAGTCGATCCTGGGGGCGTCGAGACCATATCCTCCTCGACAGTACCACCACCCGCACCAGCCGGCCTTTCTAGTCTATTGAGCTATTCCGAATGCCACATTTGCTGTCCCTGTGTTCTCAGTGCGTCGTCTTGAGCCATACATTCACATTCAATCGATGACTCCTTTCAAGTCTTGGCTTTCCGACGATGTCAAAAGACTCACAGTTCGCGCTTTTAGGGCATGTCCCTCTGCAGACCATGTGCCGGCACCCGTCTTGTGGCACTATATGACATGGACGTCTTTGCGATACTGCCATGGGGGCCAAAAGAGAGCGCGAGGACCTGCTTCAGCGTTTGTCTGCTGAGAAGCCTGCTGAGATTTGAGACCCAAGTCATCAACTATTCGTTCAAACAAAGTTCTTTACGAGCGTGCCTAGTTGAGTACGTTCGCCATTCTATTTGTAGACGCACTGGGTCCTTACAGCCCATGTCCTACTCTCCCTGTCCGTCCATTAAAAACCAATGACTATGCATACTCCTCCCAATATCGGCGCGACAATCTATCCCACACATACTCGTGCCACGCGTCATTGTCTATGGTACTGGTCCTTGGCCATGTAGCAGCCTCCCATTTCCTCAAAGTCTCCTCCGCTAGTTCCAGCTCGCGAATCTGGACATCCAGCGGAGGCAGTTTCACCTCCGCCCGAGGTAGGAGACACCTCGGTACGAGGTTAAGGAGAGGGACGAGATTTGTTGGCGCGCTGGCGAGGGCTTGGAGCCAGCGAGGCCGCCGTGTATGGCTGTTGGTGTTTGATGATCGATGGACAATCCAGGGACTGAGGCCGTACCGTGCGATGCTATGTAGGTCTGCTTCTGAAAAGGGGCGTGTGACGGTGTCGGACTGGCATTGGCGTAAACTCTCGTCGACTTGGAGGGCTGACCGCTGCGCTCGGCCTAGCGTGGTCACGGATGGCCAGGGATTGTCCAAGACATCTTTATTTGTGCCGTCCGGGTAGCTGAACGGGGCGCGGAGGGCGTGAATCGTGTCCGTCGCACACACGGGGTACACGAGAAGCGGCTTCGCCTGCGCAATACGCCAGTTCCAGCACCACAGCTTCCGCCAAGCGTCACGGTCATCGACCTCCTGCGGACCCCGCGTCGTGCCTCGCTTGATGGTCAGGTTGAGCGTATCGGCGGGTCTAGAGGTCGGTGGCCGCGTCAGGTCTTCAGGTGTGTGCAGAACCCAGTGAGGATGGGCAAATGCGTAGCGGGTGTGGACGCCGTAGACCAGACGGCGGAGGTGATCTGCTGTGTCGAGGGCCTTGGCTACGCCGCGTGCATACTGTGCAAAGTCCACGGCCGCAGCGTCTAGACCGGTGGTCCATGACGTGCCTGTCTTTTGAGCGCGCTGGACATCTCGGCAGCATAAGACTTTGCTTTTGGCTCTGTGATTCGTGCAGCACGCTCGTTCCAGCTTCTCCGTTATTATTTGCGCATGGCTGTTGAGGTCTCGAAGCTGCTGGGAGACGTTCATCCGCTGCACGGCCAAGTCCAGCACCGCGCCAACCTTCAAGCTCCAAGACAGATGGTATGCCGTCGATGACGTCTTGTAGGCCGACTTGTTCTTGCGGGTGTGCCGTTTGAACTTTTCCTCCGTCGCGGCGTCTAAGAATTCGTGGATCTCGTGGGTGAGGTAGGCCTCTGAGACGGTCTCGGTCTGACTGAGATGCTGGAGATAGAGTCGCATGGCGTCCCATTCCCACTCTTTCCCTTGACGTGCTTCAAGATCTTCCAAATCATACCGTAGATCGCGCAGGATCCACGCCAGACGCAAGGGGGCACCGTGCTGCAGCTCCCGGGACGCGACGTGCCCTAGTGCCTCGGTGGATTGCTTCAGATCCATACACAAGTCGGCCAGTCTGTCCATCCTCTCGCGCGCGTCGACGTCCTCAAGACGGCCGAGGCCAGGGGCCATGTAATTGCGCATCGCGCGGGCGAACTCGCCGTCCTCGGCAATGGGATCAGCCCACATGTCGTACTTGAACAGTCCGTCCTCGTTCACCAGACCAGCCCATCTCCTGTGCCACGCACGCGGCGTGGTGCATAGCTCGTCGAGGTACTGCGTCGCATTCCATATGGCGCGTTGGAAAGTAAATGTCTCGTTGCGAAGGGAGGGAGGGACAGCTGTAACCGCGTTGGCGAGATCGATGAGCGGGCGGTGGATGTCGCCAAAGAGTGGAGGTGGGGGTGCCCGCCGATGCTCCAAGTGGATGAGGCCGAGGGTGATGGAAAAGAAGAGCAGGATGCCAGTGAAGATGCCGAGGAGGGGAGGCAGGAGAGATCGTAGGAGGCCGAATCGTTTCTTGGGCGGTTTTGCAATCGATGGTGATCGTCTGCGCGATGGCGCTGGTTTGGCTGTGGGCTTCAGAGGGACTGAGATTGTGGCGCGACGGACGGTTGTGACGCGACGCGACATGGACCCGCCAGTGGCTGAGCCTGAGGTGTCGGTGGCTTCACAAGCGCTAATGGCGCTGGCGGCGGCAGTCATAGTGGAGGCTGGCGGGGCAGATCGCCGCTGGGTTGCTCTTGCCGCGCGTGGGGTCTGGTCTCGGTGGAGGAAGGCGTCACCAGAATCTTTGTCGGCGCGCGCTCGCTGAGCTCTAGTGACTGGCATGACGGGAAATGAAATAGAGCGTCAAAAAAGGAGATGAGACGTGAGTTTGTTTCGAGAAAGATTTGCGTTGAACTTGGGCTCTCAAGATATAATTACAAATACGAGAGTACAAACACAGGCCATGGTCAATCGCAATTCATTGTTCACATCATTTGAATAGGCGCCACTACGCACGGGCCTGGCTGGCCTTCAAACGCTGGACAATGAAGGTCCAGGTATAGCAACTCCACGCCCCAGGAATTCTCCAAAAAAGGGATGCATGGTCAATTCATTTGAGCGCTCTCTTTCCTCTTCCGTGGCATTTGTACCACAGCTGCCCTGAGCATGGTCAGCGTCTGGCTCACATGCACCAGCGTCCTGGCACTCTGCACCGCCTACGGATACTGGTGGACCCAGGCCTCTGGCCCTCCGTCCGACGAGGATATCTACCGCAGCATTCTCCGTTCGTGTCCCGATTTTTAATAGACATTTGTGTTTTGACCGACTGACAATGTAGTCTAGCTACCATCTGCCCCCTCCAAGCCACCATCTATCGCTCCACTGGCCGCCACTCGTCCCTCTACGCGTTCCTCGGACTGGCAGAGCCCACCTCGGACCGCGACGCACTACACGACGCGTACACTCACCAGCGCCTCACGCACTACCGCTTCGAGCTCGACGTTGTGGGCAAGTGCGCCGCCCAGCGCGCGCACGCCCACGAGGCACTCCCGCCCGCATGCACCACGCATGAGTACGAAGAGGCCGTCGAGCGGCTGGATACTCTGTCGCAGGCGCTCCACACGATCCATGCGGCCCCGGCCAAGGCGCTAGACAATGACTTTCGGGAGTTCGGCAAGCAGTTTATAGGGCTGGACAAGGCTCGGACCGAGATGCACCGGGCGGAGCAGGAGGGCAAGAACCAGTGGGGGTCGAAGGAGTGGGAGAGGCTGGAGAGACGGGTGCAAACTGAGCAGAAGAAGGTGGATAGGGCCCTGAAGAAAGCATGCGGGCGGTGGTGGCCCGGTTAGAGCCAGCTCCGCCAGCGACCTTCTTCAATGCCATGATCGATGCTGCATTTGATCACACTTAGGGCCGCTTCCAACGAATCGAACGTGTGTGTCGGGGGTGTCGCTCTCGTGATTGTGGGAACAAAAGGTGCAAGAGCTTGACGAGATGGGCCTACCGTAGTAACTCAGAAATTTCGCAATTCTTAGCCGACCCATACTTAGCCGTGCTACACGCTTATATTAGCAACGACGCCAATTACGTGCCTCGGACAGAATAACTTCCGAGACCGGCTGAGCCAAGAGTCTCGCTGATAGGCCTCCCCGTACCTAGTCTCGTGCATAAGTAGACCGCGCTAGATTGCGAATTTTCTGAGTTAATACGTGTGATACGCTATGGAGAAGGTTATTCAAGTGCCTTATATTATTATAAAAGAGATAGCCGTTAAGGCTCTATTTATACGCTCTTAATCGTATAAACCTATCCCCTTAGAGCTTTCTTCTCTAATTTCTTATATTCCGGGTTATTTACCTCCGGTTTAATTAATTTCGGGTTCTTACCCTTCTAGTATTACCTTTTATTATTAACGGTAGAATCTTAATCAAGCCTAACCCCGCTATAAGGTAGGCTTATTATTATATATCCCTTACTTATATAGTTATTTAATTACGCGAGTATTATTATTATTACTAATTAATAAGGTTCTAAGGTAAGGTTTTTACTTTATTTAAGGCGTTAGAGTACTATTATAATAGTTATAATACTTATATAAATTAATCTAATATTATTAGGTTCTATAGGTAGCGTTAGTAATATAATAATACCCTTAATTACTATTATTTATAAATAGTTATTAAAGCTTTAATAAGCTATTTATAACTCGAATAATACTTTTAGAGTATTAAGGTAAGAGGCCGAAAGTATATAAGAGAGTTATATTCCCTTACCTAAGGCTAGGATTTAATATTTCCTTTTTATATTATTTTTATTATATCTACCCGTATATTTAATATACTTAGTTTAAGTTTTCTAAGCTTAGCTAATATATATAAGTAATTCCTTTATATTACTAGCGCCTTACTTAGACTCGCGCTTAAGTAATAGAAGCTCGGTAGCTAGCCGCTAAGTAAGCTATTAAGGAGACTAACGCTCGCGAGAGTATTAATAACGATAATAACGATAAGGTTAAGACGCTTAAGAAGCGTTAAAAAAATAAGTTTTCGTGCTTTACTTATTTAATTTAAAAGCTTATAAAATAATATGCTTTTTTAAAAAATACTCTCCGGTACTTACTATACCTTTAATATATCTATATATTTATTTTAGGTAAATCTACCCTTAAATATTACGAGCCCTTTTCCTAGCGCGCTAAGCGTTATTAATACTATATTATAAGCTATACTTATACTCCTTTATAAGTCTAGTAATACTCTATACTTAAAGTTCGAGCTTTATTAATTATAAGCTATAGATTATTTATCTTTTTATTATAGATAAAGTAATATACCTCTAGCTCCTCCCCCGCTATAAGTAAACTTTAGTCCCGGTATTTATTTACTCGTTCTTAGTTAATAGAGCTTTATATAGTATTTTATTAATTACCGAAAGGTATTACGCGCCCTCGACGAGATATATAAAGGTAAAGGATTTTTATCTAAGGCTAAGAAAACTCCCGCCCCCTTAACTAATACTCCTTAAGTAGCGCTCGTGCCCTCCTCGCGCGTTAAGGCGTACTAAATAATCGCTAACTTATATAAATAATTAGCTAAAGCTCTTAGTGAGTAATAGATAGTTTAATAATATACTTTTTAGAGTAAAGGATTAATTAATCTAATACTCCTAAAAGAATTATTTATTTATCCGCTTTATATACTTCAACTATTCTCTTTATATACTTATATTATATAATTAAAGTATTATTCTTTAATTTTAAAATCTCTAATAAAATAATACCTTAGTTAGGCTATCGGCCGGTATTTCCTTTATATTAAAATATATAACTTTAAACATACTTTTCTAAAACTCTTAATATAGCTATATACTCTAAATATTAATATAGCGTAATTAAGTTATTATTTATATATTCTTAAAGTATATTAAGCGAATAATTTATATATTATTATATTTAAGGTCGATTTCTTCTTCTAAGTTAAATTATATATCTCTAAATAAGTAAGTTATATTAAGGGCTTCCTTCGTTATTTATTTAAGCCCTAGGAGCTTTATTTCTATAGTTAAGGTACTTATAATAAGTTATTAAGTAGCTTTCTAGATTATAAGTCCGCCGAAGAGGCTAATAATTATACCCTAAGATAATTTTCGGGTATTAAGATTATCGCTAAAAAAAGTATCCGAGGCGATAGCTAATACTCCTCTCATAGTGCTCTATTTATAATAAAGAGTAAGGTTTCGCGTTATATATAAGTACTTAATCGCTTAATATATTACCTTATAATACTCTAGTATTAGGTTTTATAAGAATCTAAATAAAAGTAAGGCTATAAAAGTAATATTAACCCGTATTATTATAGCGTAATAAAGTAATAAACTAATAAGTTCTTAATAATATTTTACCTCTTTCGCGCTTATTATTTCTTTATTCTTCCGATATTCAATAATAAGAATAAGAATTATTAAGTTACTTATAGAGCTAACGAGGTCGTATTTAATAGCTATCTTTTCGATATACTAAGTATAGCTTAAGTAAATCGTATATTCTATATAGTCTTAAATAATCTTAATTCCTAGGAATTACTCGGTATCCCCTTAATTATAAATATTATAAGCTTCTTTAATACCCTTAATTATAGCTTTAATTACCGCGGGTTATAAAGGGTAATAAAAGACTAATATATTAAAAATAAAGAAAATAACGTAAATATCTTAAGTAAGCGAATAAAATATATAAGGTTCCTTAGCGCTTTATATAAGTCCGAGGTCTTTAAGTTTTAATAAGAATTCCTTAAACTATAATATCGGTAAGTCTTTTAAGCTATATAGCGCTTTATCGAGTTCTATATATATATCGGGCTATTTAAATCCTAATAAAAGCTTATAAATTACTAATATACCGTGCTTATCGCGCTTTACGTTAAGGAATACTATCTTAATATCGAATTATTTAATATCTAAGCCGAAGTAAGCGGCTAATATAATAAAGATACGAAATAACTATACCGTAAGCGTAGTAATATAAGTTTATTATATTATAATCTCCTTTTATAAGTCTCTATATATATAAATATATACTTTATAGCGCTTTAATATACTTATAGAATTAAATTTATATAAAAATACTTATTTAAGTAATAAAGGTCTCGAGTATACCTCTACGTATAAGATCTCGCGCTAAACTCCTTTAATATATATTATTTCTATCTCGAGTAATATTACCTTAAGCTATTTAGCGCTTAATAAGTAAGCTAAGGCTTTTTTTTAATTCGTTAGTACCTTTATTAGTGTTACGACCCGACATGCGACCGCATGCGCCTCTCACGTATACCCCACTTTTTCCTCTAATTATACCACCACGCATAAAGTATAGCTCGCGACCTCACTATAAGCCTACGCTCTAATATTAACGTATAGCTTACTAGATCACGACGCTCCCGTGAGCCCTTACTTTTATAAACTAATATATAGGAAGCTACGCTTTACTATAATTAGTCTCTACCTAGCTCCTTAGCTATTAATATAATTATCTACGTAAGATCTACTATCTCGTATATAGACTATAACTCGACCGCTTAAGTTAACGATATCCTAGTATACTTAGTTTAAACCCGACTTCTATTCTATCTACCTAGTAGCTAGTCTAGACCCGAACGTTATATATTAATAGCTCTTATTTAGTATATTACCGTATTAAGTACTTAAGCAATACGATACTATAGCCGATATAGAGAATAATAACGCTAGGGACCTTAGCGAGACGATTAAGCCTAAGTTACCTAGACCGTTCGATAGTAACCTAGGATAACTAAACGGGTTCTTAACTTAGCTTAAGATATACTATCGACTATTCCTTACTAAGCTCGCCGACAATATAGATAAGATCCTTTACGTAGGAATATATCTTACCGGCACGGCCTTAGCGTGGTTCGAACTATATATAAGGGATTTTATAGAGACTACGGCTAATCTCTAAGACGACGAAACTTAAGCTATATTCGTAAGCTTTAAAGGTTTCGAGAGCACTATTAAGGACATCTTCGGGAATATAGATAAAAACCGGGTTAATATTAAGACCCTACGAACCCTAAAGCAAACGGGATCTACTACGGACTACGTATTAAAGTTTCGATAATTATCTAGTAGACTCGGATAGGACGACGAACCTCTTATAACTTACTTCTTTAATAGTCTAAAGTTAGAGGTCTAGGAGTAACTCTACGATAAAGATATACCTAAGTCCCTCACGGAGTATATCACGAACGTAATTAGGATCGATAACTAACTATACCTAAAGCGTAAAATATTAGGAAAAGGGAGGAATATAAATTAGTCGTACTTAAACTTTAGAAATAATAGTAACGGAGGACGTCGCTACTAGCTAAACTAAGGACGCCCCCGATAGTAGAATATAGTATAGGTATATACAACAAACCTAGGACCTATAGACCTAGACGCTATATAACGATAACTCGCCGCGATAGATAATAATAAGAAAAACTTAACCTACTATAACTACGGTAAGCTAGGTTATTAGAAGCGCGAATACCGCTCGCTAAAGAAGGGGCGAGGCTAGGGCTAGAGACTAATACCTAAAGGTAAGCCGAAATAACTAAATATAACTAGGTCCGGCTACGATACGAAGTACCTAAACTAGTCTAAGGTACTATACCCTAACTAAGTAACTAACACGGAAAAAATACTAAAGAAGGTTAATAAGTAACCTATAAACTAGCTAGTAGCGCACGAAGCCCTATATTAGTTAGGATACTATAATAATAACTACTATACCTATAAAAGCGGTAAGGAAGAATCGAGATAGTTTCTAAAGGCCCCGAAGGTAAGGACCCTTACTATTATATAG